CAGCACTAATATATACCCTAGTTAAGTAGTTGAACTTCAAGAGTAAAATAAAGAAATACTTTTTCAGATATCCAGACAGAGAAAATAAGCTGTATTTAAAGACAGTAAAAATCTGGCTAGCCTCAAACTTCTCCAAAACAACATTTAATTAAAAAACTTAGGTGGCAATGTCTACAAAATTCTGAACAAATGAAAGTGTGACACAGCGATACTAGAATTAGACAATATGTCATTAAGTACAGAGCCAAAACAGATTTTTTTTTTGTCTTTTTTGAGACAGGATTTCGCTATGCAGTTCAGGCTGGCCTTGAGCTCACTTTGTAGCTCAGGCTGGTCTCAAACTCACCACAGTCCTCCTGCCTCAGCCTCCTGAGTGCTGGGATTACAGGCATGCACCACCATACCAGGCCAAAATGGACATTTTTAAGCAGGAAGAATTAAAAGAATATAACATCCATGATGAGATGTTCAAAACAACAAAAATAGCAACAAGTATTTAAAGAATTTAGGAATAAAAAAGCCACATAAAAAGATTGATGATAAACAATGATCCATTTAAATATTATTATCAATACCAAAAAAATTGTGAAAAGGATGGTTACAGAAGGACTATGAATGGGATAAATTTGAGTATGGCAAATAATAATAATATAATTAACAAAATGCCAAAGCTGGAGATTTGAATTCCAAGCAAGTCTAAGATCTCAAATGCCCTTATTTCTCAAAGGTGAGAATTTAGATCTACTGTTCAAACTGAAATACATATCTTAAAATCCCTAATTTAAGAGAGGGTTTCAAAAAATACATATTTCAGAGTCCTGCGTTCCCTCTAGTAATGGTGAGTCCTGCAATTTCTCCGCATCCTTGTCAATACTTAATACTTGTTGTTTGTCTCTTTTTCACCATAGTGGCGTGAGACACTATTACAGCTGCATTTCCTTGATGGCTACCACTGTTATACTGTATACCTTTTCTTGCTTCCCCCCTTTTTTTTTTGCTATTTGAGTATAGTTTGGAGAAATGTCTATTAAAATCCTATGTCAAATGGGGATTAATAATTTTATTGAGATGTGATTTACTTATAATATAATTCACTATTAAACAGCTCAATATATTCATAGTTATGGAACCATTCTCTCTAATTCCAGAATATTTTCATACTTCAAAAAAGAAACTCATATCCTTGAGTTGCCAACTCCCAATCCTCTCCTTTTTCCCAACCACGGGCCATTACCACTGTACTGTCTTTCTGGGAATTTCATATAAATGAAATCATAGAATATGCAGGCTTTTTTGACTGGGTTCCTTCATTTAACTTAATGTTTTCAAGGTTTATCCATGTTGTAGCCTGTATCAGTCTTTTGTGTGTGTGTGTGTCTTTTTGAGACAGGGTCTCGCTATGCAGTTCAGGCTGGCCTTGAGCTCACTTTGTAGCCCAGGCTGGTCTTGAACTCACAACGATCCTCCTGCCTCAGCCTCCTGAGTGTTGGGATTACGGGCATGCACCACTGCACCAGGCGCCTGTATCAGTCTTTTACCAATTTTATTGCTGAAAAATATTCCATTCTCTCAATGTGTCAAATTGACTTATCCATCAGCTGATGGACATATAGGTTGTTTTTTCCTTTTGGCTATTTTTAATTATGCTGCTATGAACATTAGTGTACAAGTGGACATATAGCCTGATTTCTTGTGGGTATATACCTAAGAGTGGAATCTGAGTCAAATAGCATCTCTACAATTAACTTTTTCTGGAAATACTAGACTGTTTCCAAAGTGGTCATACAGGGCTGGGGATATAGCTCAGTGGCATAAGTGCCTGCCTTGCAAGCACGAGGTTGTGAGTTTGATTCCCAGTACCAAAAAAAAATTAAAAATAAAAGGCAAATGACCAAAGTGGTCATACTATTTATAATTTCCACCAGCAGTGAATAATGGCTCCAATTTCTCTATTTCCTGACTAGTTATTATCTTTCTTTTGTTAATTAAAGCCATAGGTTTGAAGTGGTATTTACTCTGCGTGTGTGTGTGTGTGTGTGTGTGTGTGTGTGTGTGTGTGTATTACCCAGGGCCTTAATTTAATGGCATCTTTTGTATACTCCACTCCTCAAACTGACATGAGATTTAGGCTGTCCTATTGTGTTGGTTTGGGACTTATTTTTGCAAGGAAACACAATATAATACAGGACACATATTTTATAAGATTATTTATAATAGTCACCCAAAAATCATATACAAGAAAGTGCAGGAAATCTGCCCATACACCAAGACGAAGGAAACTAGCTGAGAGCCTGGATCCCATGATAATGTCCTATATGAGTCCAGCTGAAGACCTAGGGCTCATAACAATGCCTCCCACGAATCCAACTGGAGGTTCAGAGCCCATAACAATATCTCATGTAGGCCTGTTTCACGGATCTGCTGTGAAAGCCCAAAAGTCAGTGATGGAATCTAGGAAGTCTGTAGGCCTGTTTCACAGATCTGCTGTGAAGGCCCAAAAGTCAGTGGCGGAATCTAGGAAGTCTGTGCCAGCAGGAGGAAGGATCTGTGCTAGCAGGCTGAGGGATCTGCACTGGAGCCAGGAAGTGACACTCAGAAGAACCGGAGCTCCCCTGAAAGGTACCACAGCCATCCTCAGCAACAGTGAGGTCCCGAGCTCCTCTGATGATCAAGATGGCTGAGTTCCTATCAGGGAAGCCAACACAGCAAGCTTCTCCAGGAAACTGGCAGTGGACCATCCTCCCCGCTGGAGTCTGGAAGCGATGCTCAAAGTGAGGACCAGAGCTCCCCCAAAGTGAACTGAAGCTATTCTCAGTGCCAACAAGGTCCCGAGCTCCTTGGAGGATGAAAACAGCCAAGTTCATCAGGAAAACCAGCATGATGAGTTCCTCCAAAACAACTGACAGCTCCTTACAGCTTCTACCAGCTCCAACATCCATTCTCTGCTCCCAACAGCCTCTTTAATTTCAAAAGCCTTTTTGCTTCTTCTCCAGGTCTGCCTCTTATGCTGCTGGCGACAGTTCCCAGGTGGGCCTCCCACACCCAGCACCACCCTTACTCAGTTCAGCTGGGGGTCATAAAGTGACCACCAGTTGTCAATCTACCACACCTATCAAAACTCTGCTTATCTTGGGCCAGAAAAATTAAACATAGCATTCTCTGATTGGGTCCAGGTTCGGGTCCCTGGAAACTTTTTCTGGGCTGTGTCCTGGACCTCGGTGACTGACAGGTCTCACCCACTTGCCCAGCCCTTTTGTCACACTCTAATCTCCTGCCTCGCTATCTGTCCTGTTTTTGAGACAGGGTCTTGCTGTGCAGTTCAGGCTGGCCTTGAGCTCGCTTTACAGTCCAGGCTGGCTTCAAACTCTTAACTCAAGGTGATCCTCCTGCCTCAGCGTCTGGAGGGCTGGGATTACAGGCGTGCACCACCACGCCCAGCTTCACTACCATTCTTGATTTCCTAAAGTAACCTCTCAGTTTAATGTGTACATGTGTAATTTTGTGTTTAGTTAATTCTATCCACCGTGCTACCTATGAGGCGAGCAATAGTCTTAAGAAAGTCCTTTGAAGAAAAAATGGTTGTTACGGCAGATGTCCGTAGAAACGGTTGGACTCCCAGCACTTTCTTGGCCCCGCTGCGGTACACGGTCACAGCGGACACTCTGCTGTTGCCTGTTTCCTGCGCTCCCAGCACCACCTCCAATTTTACTTTTTTGCTTTACAGGAAGAGAAAACCACATCAAAGTATTTTAAAAGTACATTAAGTACCAGACTTTATCCAAGTATGTGAGGGTCCAATAGTAGTGGGTATTATTGGGGCTTTAGGGACACTTCGGTAGCAGTCAAACACGTTCACTTCTTAACTCCACTCCGAACGCTCAATTTCTGCTGATTTTATGTCCTCATATACTGAGTGTAAACAGCCACTAACAAATTAATAAAATTGATTATACTAAAAGTTAAAGACAAATCCTTGTTAACATCTCACAGGGGCTCCCGGTGATGGTATGTAAATATTTTTGTACATATGTATGTTTTTATTTCCTTGTTTTTAATACACACTTGCCTGAGAAACACGAGGAAATAACCTTGCGCGTCCCTTAGTACATAACAGATCTCGGGGGCTGAAGCTGAATCACAGCGGCGAGGGCAGATAAAGAGGTTGATCCCGAAAGACCCGCCAAGGGCTTTGCCTGGTGTGAGGGGCGCCTTCTCTGTCCTTCTAGAGGGCAGTTACTGGGGGGCTCACAGCGGGCCTGTGACGCTCGGAGCTGCGTCCTAACAAGATTGGGGTGGCGGTGCGGAAGTCAGTGACAGCAGCTGCAGCAGAGGACAGGACGACGGGGTGCAGCAACCGGGCGGCGGAGGGGGAAAGGGAGGAGCTGAGGGTAACCCAGCCTCGGGTTTGCGCGGCTGGGTGCAGGGCGTTATGACACCGGGGAAGGGTTGGGGGCAGGACAGACATTCCCTTTTGGACAAGCCGATGCGGAGGTGCCAAGGGATGCTGGGGCGCGGCCGTCGGCGGTCGGTGGCCGGCGGGCGTGGATCGGGGTCCTCGGGCGCGGGAGCCGGGGGAGAGCGCGCGGTGCAGGGCCCCAGAACTCCGGACACCCGTTTTCTGGGGAAAATGAGGTCGCGTTCCCCGAGCATCCGAGATGCTACTGATAACAAAGCTCGTCCTTGGGGCAAGAGAGCTTCTGGTTAGCGTCAGAACCTCAGGCACCTCATTTTACCTCGATTTCCACACCTGTAAACTAAGCAAATAAGCATAATAGTAGCATCTGCCTCATAGAAAAGTGCTTGCTGTCTTTAGTTTCTTTAAGGGACCTGTGACTAAAGAGGAACCCAAGCAGGCGAGGCCGATCTGCGGACGTAACTGACGATCGAGCTAATTCGCCTGGCTTCCGGGTTCCGAGTCCCTGCACGACCGTGTAATTCCCAGGACGGCCACCAGGTGGGCCCGCCTCCTGTTCCGGGGCGAAGGTCACGACCCCGGAAGCACTTCCGTCGGCTTCTCCTCAGCGGCGATGGCGGCGGCGGCGGCTCGAGCGGTGCTGCTGCCCGCGGCGAGGCGGCCCCTGTGGGGTTTCGCCGAGAGGCTCGTGGGCCCCGGCGCGGCCAGGCGGGTGAGCTCCCCCGCGGCCTCACGGCCTCGGCGCGACGGGGACCGGGCGGGTGGCCGGGCGGGGGGCGGGGTGCGGGGACCCTGGTCGCTGGCCGGCTCTCCAGGGCTGGGACCCCGAAACCCTGCTTGCAAGTTAGGGGGCCTTTTGTTTTTCTGTACTGGGGTTGAACCCGAGATCTCCGCTCTGAGCTACGTCCCAGCTCTTGTTTCACTTTTTGAGGCAGGAGTCTCGCGAAGTCACTAAATCACCCAGGTTGGGTTCCAGTTTGCGATCCTCCTGCCTCAGCCTCCCAGGAGTGCTGGGATTGCTGGAGTGTGTTTTGGGGGAAACTAGAGAAACTGTTGTCTCTGTTTCTGCCTAAAACAGCTTCTTCCTCAGCTGGGCTTCTCACGAATCTCAGACAGCTCAAGTACAACTTGGTATTTTCATTTTTCTCACTAGAGCTTCTAGCTTTCTGTAACGACATAGAATATATATACGTATATATTACATATATACATATATGTATTGTACATGTATAATATATACATATGTGTTATGCGTATATAATATATATGCATACACTATATATTATATACATATGTGTATTATACATATATAGTATATATTATACACACACACACACATATATAACATATATAATCTATATAACCCAAAGCTCATTTCTGTCTTGGCCTTTCCCCTGCTTGTTCTGAGCGTCACGAATGTGAACCATATCTGGATAAGCATTGAAATCAAGCCCGCTTCTCTGTGGGCAGTGGTTACCGTCCACGCTGTTGGCTTCCTTAGCCCGGGAAGGGCGTGCTCGCCATCGTTGCTGGGATGGGAAAGTGGTTGGCCAAGGGCGGTATCTGGGCGGGTCAGAGGTGGAACCAGAGTGAAGGGAAAAGATTTTATTTATTTGTTGCGGTGCGCAAGGTTGTGCCCTACCACCGAGCTGTGCAAGAAAGAGTAGAGTCCAGGTAGCTTTGGTTTTGCGATTGCTGTTCCGTACCGGAAGAGTAACGTGGCCTTACATCCCCTCCTCCGCCTCCCGCAAGCAGCCGCTGTGTTTGGGAGGGAGCAGACTGAGAAGCGCCCAGGCCGCTGCGCAGGTTGTTCTGAACGTGCCTGAAACCCGGGTGACGTGTTTGGAAAACGGACTCAGAGTGGCCTCTGAGGACTCGGGGCTGTCCACGTGCACAGTAAGTGACCCAGACTGCCCCCCAGTGCTGCCTCCTTGGGCAGGGGGCAAACTGTGGGTTCTTGTGCAGTGCTGGGGGTGGTTCCCAGGGCCTGTGCCTGCTAGGCAAGCGCTCTCCCACAGAGCCACCCCGCCAAACGCTGGGTGTGAACCTTTACCTCTGTAGTTGGTCGGTGGGTGTTTTGCCTTGACAAGTTTGTCTGAGTTGTGAACCTCTCTTCCAGTTCCGCCTCCATCCTGGACCCTGGGTGCATTGTTTCGCTGTGCACATCTGTTTCTTAGAGAACATCGTATTGTTTATTGTTAGTAGTATCGATGGAGAGGTGTTTTTTTTTTTTTTTTTTGTACTTGAAATCGAACTCAGGACCCTGCGCTTGCCAGGCAGGTGCTGTGCCTCTGAGCTGTATCCCAGGCCCAAGGTGTGTTTCTTGAGCTACTCTGTGACTTGTGTTTTACATACATTTTCTTGCTTATTTGATTTTTAAAGTCCTTGTGGTAGGCATCGTCCACATTTCATAGTTGGGAAGCAGCCTCAGGGAAGTTGACTGGTTTTGTCCAAGGTCGCAGCTGATACATGACTTGAACCGGAGCTTTCTGATGGTCCCTGTGTTCTTTCCACCAGTTATTAACTGGCTGTAGAAATGAGTTAGGCTAAGATTCCGGGTCCTTAGTGAAGCCCCTAGATAGTATTAGTAGCATCTAGCAGTAGCTTGATGGTCAGAAATTTAAACCCTGGTTCAGAAGCATGAATCATCAGTTCACTCAGGTTAAGAAGACTTTAGTGTTTTGTTTCTTTTTTTTTTTTTTTTTTTTTTGGTACTGGGACTTGAACTCATAACTTCACGCCTGCCAGGCAGGCACTGTGCTGCTGAGCTACATCCCCAGCCCGAGAGTGTTCCACTGTAAAATTCGTGTCGGAAAAGGAAGGAATTGTTTAACTGAACTGCTCTTTGACTGCATCCAGGTTGGGCTCTGGATTGACGCTGGAAGTCGGTATGAGAATGAGAAGAATAACGGCACAGCTCACTTTCTGGAGCATATGGCGTTCAAGGCAAGTTGTGAGACTGACTGCACAGGAGTGAGTTCTCTTGATTACGTAGCTTTTCCCCTGTGCTTATGTGGCACCCAGGGCCTCGAGCCAAGCAAGCAGTCAACCACAGGGCTCCATCCCCAGCACTGCACTGTGTGTAAAAGCCAGTGAGTGCAGAACCTCAGTACTTTAAAGCTGAGAACTGCAACAGTATGGTGTGTTTTTAGTTTTACTTCTCCGGGGCAGTGTCTAAGATGATTACTGATACTTGATTTGTAAAATTGAAACAAGGACTTGCTCCTGGAATGCAAGGGTTATGTGAACGTGTATCATTTTGAAGCTGAATGTATTTTATTTTATTTTTTTGGTACTGGGAATTGCCAGGCAGGCGCTTGTGCCACTGAACTATATCCCTGGCCTGCCGAATGTATTTTAGAAACCAAATTTGTCCTTGTATAAAACTGGCCTTGGCTTTTGTCCTCTATTTCATTATCTGAAGTGTTTCGGGAGATGAAGGATAAAGAAAGGAATCACAGTTTGTTTTCCTCCCCCGCCAGGGCACCAAAAAGAGATCCCAGTTAGACCTGGAACTGGAGATTGAAAACATGGGCGCCCATCTCAACGCCTACACCTCCAGAGAGCAGACTGTGTATTATGCCAAAGCGTTCTCTGAGGATTTGCCAAGAGGTATCGCTGTTATTTGTACTGGAAGATAATGTAATTTTCACAAGAGTACAGAAATAATTTGGTCTGTCTTTATATCTGTTATGAAAGTGACCCGCAGAAATGTGAAAAAAAATGAACCAAACTCTGGGTGAAGGGCAGCTGTTCTTACTTTTTTCTCCAAATCTGACAAATGATATCAAGTGTTTACCAGTTGAAGACGTGTGCAAACAGGCCCTTAGCACTTGCTTTGAACCCACTCCTTTCAGAGTCGTATATGAGTGGTATTCTCACTCACTTTCATTCCTTGTTTGATACAAAAACTATTGGTTTTGCACAAAGTAAGCAAATGCTCACTCAGAAGATTATTGTTTATAAGGCAGTAGAATAGAGGTAACTTTGACTTTGTAGAAGTAGAATAATTTTGACAGCATAGCACAGCTGTTTGTGTAGAGTGTTTTGAAAATCTTCAAGCAGTGTTATTACACAAAATATTTTTGCAGTGGAAGAATTAACAACAGAACTTTGCATTTTAGAACTAATTTGTGGTTATCAAAGGTCCCTACATAACGTGATTTTATTACTTTAAAGTTTGGGGTTTCTAAGGGAGTCTTTTTAATAAGTGTGAGCGGCACTTTGCCCAGGTGCTTGTGTGTAAAATGTCCACTTGATGCACGTAGTACCTGGACGGTGTCACTGCTTTGTTCCTGTGGACACTGAGGCCGAGACTGGCTTGAGAGACAGTGGGGCAGGCTCCAGTTGTTTCTTTTGACTCAGATTCATTTGCTGTGTCAAGACAACAACAAAGCAAAACAGAAAGCTCATCACCAGTACATACACAAAAAAATCAGCGCAGTGCCAAGGCCACAAGCATAACGGCAGCAGGGGAGGGTGTGTTGGTTTGAGTGGCAGAGGCCATCCTGATTCAGGAGGCCTTGGTGCAGGCTGACGGGGGACTGAATGAACGGCCGGCCGTGTTCTTTGGAGAGTTGTTCTTTGTAAACCACCCCTCCTTTTTTTTTCCAGTCAGGAATTTCTAAGGTCATTTTATTTATTGATTACTGAGGCTTTGCTTGTGATTTTTATCCCCTCAGCTGGGTGAAGCTGATGAGGTAATAATTAAATGTTTAGATTAGAGATCAACAAATGTTTATGATCACTTGTTATTTTTTTCTTTTTGTGGTACTAGGGATTGAATCCAGGGCCTTCACACTGAGCCATATCCTCAACCTTTTCTTTTTAAAATTGTATTTTGGAACAGGGTCTCACTAAGTCACCAGCTTGGTCAGACTTGGCTCGATTTTGCAATCCTCCTGCCTCAGCCTCCCAGGTTCTTTTTGTTGGGATTATAAGGGTGCACACCATTCCTGGCTGGGTCACCCATTCTTATCAGTAAGGAACTTGATCCCACAGTGGCAGGATGTTAAGTACTTGGACTACTCACCAAACAGCCGGTTCTGATTAAAACAGTACCAGGAAATAGGGCCTATCCCCTTGGACTGCTGGCCCGCGGACTCCATGCTGCCCTCTCCCTCCACCTCTTCACCGTCCTCTCTCTAAGATGGCAGTTTCCTCATCTGAATAGACGGCTTTTGTTTGGTGTTATCAACAGTTTTTAAAAAGAAAATAATTTTACTGATAAATTCCTGCTTTTGGTCATGCTCTGAATCTCGGTTTGCTCTTAGCAGTCTGTTTTGTCTTGTTCTTGGTGTTTGAACATAGTTCACGTTCAGAGCCAAGGTGCCTTGGAGCGAATGTAAAGCAGCAAACACGAGTTTACAGTACTTCAAAACCATGATTTAAGACTATTAAATTGTGCTGGGCTTGGTGGTACACGCCTGTAATCCCAGCACTTGGGAGGCTGAGGCAGGAGGATCCTCACGAGCTCGAGACCAGCCTGAGCTACAAAGTGAGCCCAAGGCCAGCCTGAACTGCATAGCGAGACCCTGCCTCAAAAAGACAAAAAAAAAACCAACTATTAAGTTTATTTTATATTTAAGAACATTTAGATTTTGATTTCAAGAAGGAATTGGAGCATTCTGTTTTTAGTGGGGTATATAATTTTTCTCATAAAATTCGCTTCACTTTTAGATTTTTGTTCAGTCAAGTCTGAGAGGGGCACAGCTCCATCAGGTGCGGTGGGGGCGCGTTGTGGGTTGCAATGCTTCTCCGCCTCTGTGGATAGCAGCCTCGCTGCTGGGACAACTTGGGTAGAAATGTAGATAATTTTCTGCTTCTTAATTTTCATACAAAACAATCTATATTAATTAATTTATTTATTTTTGTGTTTTAAGACAGGGTCTTGCTATGCAGTTCAGGCTGGCCTTGAGCTCCATTTTGTAGCCCAGGCTGGTCTTGAACTTGCAATGATCCTCCTACCTCAGCCTCCCAAGTGCTGGGATTACAGGCTTGCACTACCACACCCGGCAAAACAATCTATGTTAATTAGGAGATTTCTGTGGCATTTTTGAAGTAGGTAGGGTCATTAAAAGGATAGCAGATTTATGATTTTTCCCCCAAATGCCTCTGTACTCACAGGAGTTTGTATTTTGCATTTTTTATTTTTAACATTGTCCTTTTAGATATATTGAATATATGGAAGAATTTTCTCAGGTTAATCACTTCAGTCATTATTGGTGAGTGTCATGGTTTCTGATGTTGGTTTAAGAGATTTTAATATCAAAAATTAAGATTCTTGGTGTTTGTGTTTTAACTTCAACTAGCTGTAGAAATTCTTGCTGACATAATACAGAACAGCACGTTGGGAGAAGCAGAGATTGAGCGTGAGCGTGGCGTGATCCTTCGAGAGATGCAGGAAGTTGAGACCAACTTGCAGGAAGTAGTTTTCGATTATCTTCATGCCACAGCTTATCAAAACACAGCACTTGGACGGACAATTTTGGGACCAACTGAAAATATTAAGTAGGTATAAAAATTTATGATATTTACAAACTTCCAAGAAGTGTGTTTCAAAAGGTCATTTCCCCTTTGTAATCTGAGTAGGACTGTAGTTAGCTACCCTTTAAGTTCACAGAATTCCCAGGTGTTCGGGTTCATAGTAAGCAACTGATGGTGTCAGATTGCCTTCCTTGACATAGAAAAGTTGAAGGTCTGTGATAATTTTTGTCTGTGTCCCATTTCTTTTTTTTTTTTTTTTTTTGGTACTGTGAATCGAACTCAGGACCTTGCACTTGCTAGGCAGGCACTTATGCCACTGAGCTATATCCCCAGCCCCTGTGTCCCATTTCTGACTCTTTGTAACTCTTATAGTACTGTTAAGGTTCCATTTGATTTCAGGTATGTTACCTGGAGATCTGTCCCTTTTATTTCCTTTTAAAATTGTTTTACTCCATTGACAGGTCTATAAATCGTAAGGACTTAGTGGATTACATAACCACACATTATAAGGGGCCAAGAATAGTGCTTGCTGCTGCTGGAGGTGAGTCCATTGCAATTTCTGTAAATATTTTATGCAGTTGTTAGAGTGGTGTTTTCATCAGCTTCATCCTGTTGGGAGCTATCCTAAGAGTTTTTACTCACAAAACAAATTGTTGGAAGTGTGTTACGTCAGAGGAACGGGGAGGGGAGATACCTCAGTGGCACAGCGCCTGCCTCGTAAGCGCAAGATTCTGAGTTCAATTCCTGGTTCCAAAGGGGAAAAGAGTATAATGAACAGTTTAGAGGAATGTGGAGTGCAGGGTCCAGTTTCCTTGGCTGCTTTTTAGGTGGTTTCATTTGTAGAAAAATGAGGTGAGCCAGTCAGACCCTCAGTGTGCACACGTGGGGTTCGCCTGCAGGACTAGGGCGGATGAGTGACCTGGGAGACGGTCACCCTTGGAAAGTAGTGTCCGACCGCTAGAGACTCTCTTGAGGCTTGAAGTTATTTCTGGAGAGATAACTTCACCCTTGGTCAGGCAAGGAAGGAGCCGCTCCTCCCCATCTGCAGTCATTCGCTCAGAGGGTCTGCTGGTCACAGGTGGGGAGCTCAGGGGAGCCCTGAGGCAATATCACACTTCCTCGGGGCCATCTGGAGTCAGTGAGAAAGTTTCCTTCATTCCTGGCAGACTGAGTTTAGGCAAACAGTGCATTTTAATTGGTTTCCAGTTTTTCCCTATCTTTTATTTATTTATTTATTTATTTATTCATTCATTCATTCATTCATTCATTTATTCATTTATTTGTTTATGTATGTATCTTTTTGAGACAGGGTCTCACTATGCAGTTCAGGCTGGCCTCAAGCTCACTTTGTAGCCCAGGCTGGTCTCGAACCCGCAATGATCCTCCCGTCTCAGCCTCCCAAGTGCTGAGACTGCAGGCGGGTGCCACCACGCCCAGCTTCCTTGCCTTTTGATGAAGGAGTGAGTGAAGCACAGTGAAGATAGTGTGCAGGTGTGCTTCTCTACTAGAAATTACAGTGAGTTGCTGGTGCTGGGCCGATCTCTGCACTAACGACGTGGAGGTGGAGGAGAAGGTGAAGGTTGCATGTCTTGCACACGACACTCACCGTGGCTCCCAGCAGCCCGTGTTACCTTGTGTGCTCTGAAATTCTCTGACGCTGTCTCTGAGACGCATGGTGCTGAGTGCAGCTTCAGTGTTGGAAACTGCCTTGCTGAGATGGGCCCTCTCAGCCATCAGTGGTGGCACCCGGACACAGTGGATGCGATCCTGGCCGACGTTACTATAGCTCAGAGTCCCCAGCACACGTAGGTTAGCACTTTCCCTTAATGTGCATAAATGGTGTGCCTCACAACTGTGAGCATCTTAACCTCGGTGAAATAGACCAGTGTCAGCCTCAGCTGACACCTTCTGACACCATTTAGCTCATAATCTTCAGTACATGTAGCTTTGAACTGCTAAGTAAATTTTTCTATCTGGCTTCTTTAAAAAAAAATTAGTTTGCCTTGTAGATTGTGGTTAGTAGAGGTGGTGTTGGAGCGGAGCGGAGTATCAGGCCTGCCCAGCTAGGAGTGTGAGTGGGCGAGGTAGTGACAGGCGGATGTGGAGGTCACGGCCTGCTGACGGAGCCTGAGCATCTCACTCCCTGCCCTTGTACCCTGTACCGCGCATGATCTTCTGTTTGTGTGGGCAGCTCCGGATCGATACCCAAGGTGGCCCTTCTGCAGATTCCCAAAACAACACATTGTCGGTTACTATCTTGATTTACACTAATTACTTTGCAGTATGGGTGTAAGTGGTTTTATATTGGACTACTTTAAAGAAATGTTACAGCGGTGTTTTTTGAAGCACACGTGTTCAGGTTTACAAATATATATTTAAGAATGCTTCACTGAGCTGGGCATGGCGGTACATGCCTGTAATCCCAGCACTCGGGAATGAACATTGTTGGAAACCTACCTAGGTTAGTGAGTTCAAGGCCAACCCAAACTACATAGCAAGACACCCCCTCCCCAAAGGAACCTTCATTGATTGAATCTTTTTGGGCCCCAAGTTTATATAGTAAGGGATGTAGAATCTGAGTCATTTTGGATGTTGAAGTAGTGAGCATGTGGATAGCAGTGGATATATTGAGAAATTCAGAGGAAGCTATTTTGTTCCTGAGTTTTGATGGCAGAATTCCAAGAATAAATTTATCTGTGTATCTAGTTTTTTTAAGTGAGATGGGGCTCCTTTGTATTCTTTGCTACTTTAAAATATGTAACACTGGAAATTGATCTCTGGCTAGGTTGCCTCCTAGAACTTAATGTAACAATTTTGTATAGAAAGTGGTATTTTCAAGCTAGTGTTTTTTTTTTTTTTTTTTTTTTTTTTAGACAGGGTCTTGCTGTGCAGTTCGGGCTGGTCTTGAACTCACTTTGTAGCCTAGGCTGGTCTCAAACTCACAACGATCCTCCTGCCTCAGCCGCCCACATGCTGGGATTATAGGTGTGCGCCATCCTGCCCAGCTCAAACTGTCTTATCTTTGATTGCGAGTACACTGTTATGTTCATGAAAAGCTGTACAACCTCAAGCCTTATTAACACCAAGGAAATGGCTCTCAACAATGAACCATTTCCTCTGAAATGGCAGTTCTTGTGCAACACACATCATGTGGTACCACCCAGAGTCCGCTGTTAGCCAGGGTCTTAGCAGTTAGTGGTACTGGGCTGTGCTACTGTTGGACATGGAATTTTCCTTTATTTAGGTGTTTCCCATGATGAACTGCTTGAGTTAGCAAAGTTTCATTTCGGCGACTCTCTGTGTACCCACAAAGGAGAAATACCAGCTCTGCCTCCCTGCCGGTTCACAGGAAGTGAGGTAGGGCCAGCCCTCTCTAGAGAATTTTGCCTTTCGGGTGTCTTGTGTTACATTTGCAAGCAAATACATAGAGTGTGCAGATTTCCAAAAGGAGTAAGAGGGAGAAAGTCTAAGCTGAAACAGAAAAGGGACAGGGATGGGCTGCTTTGTTTCTTTCCTTCCTACTCCATGTGATTTAACTACTTGTTTCCCTTTCCTAAGAGAGGAAGGTTTTAAGTGCAGTGTTATATTTTGTTCCTTTTCTGCTCTGTCTTTGGCAGTGTGCCTATTACTTGTTAAGATGTAATAATAACTTTACTATCAGAAAGACCTAAAATCTTTCTCATTGAGTTTTCTCTTGGCTAAGTTCTGCCTCCAATACATTTGTCATTTGCTAGGTAGTGGTTAAAAGCCAGAAGTTGAGTCTCACTTGGTTTGCCACATTGCAGATTTTGCTCAAAATAGTATCTGGAAAGACGTCTGGTAGTGGTGGTTGCCTAGAACTGTAGCACTGGCAGTACAGACACAAACATGAATGCATTAGTTTAAATTTTTATAAAAAAATACAGATTGACAAATACAAGATGGATTTCTACCAGGTAAACCTACCCTTTTGGGGAAAGCAGTTATTATAGGCCAGGCATGACGGTGCATGCCTGTAACCCCAGCAGTCTGGGAGGCTGAGACAGGATTGTAAATTCAAGTCCAGCCTGGCTGACTTGGTGACTTAGTTAAGACTTTATGTCTCAAAACAAGGGCTGGGAGTCCAACACAGTTGACAGCCCTAGGTTCACTCTGAGTACTGCCCCTCCCCACCTTAATTTGGGAGTCTTCTAAATTACAGTGTAATGAGTCCTTATAGTTAAAAAAAGGAAAAGAGTCATAATGGTGAACATCCTAGCTTTGCATTTAGTGGGACTAGTGAGGCCTTTTCTCACTGTGTGTGCTGTGTAGCAGTAAATGTTAGTAACTACTTCCATTTTCCTCTAGGTTCGCGTGCGGGATGACAAGATGCCCCTGGCACACCTTGCAATAGCTGTCGAAGCTGTGGGGTGGGTGCATCCAGACACTATCTGCCTCATGGTTGCCAACACGCTCATTGGCAACTGGGATCGCTCTTTCGGAGGAGGGATGGTGAGTGACTTTAACATCTCATGATGAGTGGAAAATTTCTAAATACGTTGTTTGTTAAGAACGCTTTCCTTCCTTGAAATGGCAAAATATTGCTTTGTACTGTGACTTTTAAAATAAAACTGATCTGGGTTGCATTTGGGTTAGAAAAAAGGTTTTTTTTTTCCTGCCACAGAAATTAGTAGTAGCAGGCCAGCAATGTAGCTCAATGGCACAGCACCTGCCTGGCAAAAAGCAAGGTTAAGTTGGATTCCCGGTACCAAAAAAAAATTAGTAGTGAGACAGTTGGAAAGTAAGAATGGGAGAATTACAGTTAGTGCTATAAAATACAATAGTTTGTAATAACGGTAGTAGTTAATACTATTATCATTAATATTCTACTTTTAACCATATGAAGGTGATGTAAGAAAACAGACTTGCTTTTCATTGGTGCACACTAAAGCATTTAGGGGCAAAAAATCCTGTAGCTTACTCTGAAACTGTTGATAAAACATGTATAAAGAAAACCAAAAAAGGGGGCTGGGGATTTAGCTCAGCAGCACAGCACCTGCCTGGCAAGCGCAACGTCGTGAGTTTGATTCCTGGTACCAAAAAAAAAAAAAAAAAAAAAAAAAAAAGAAAAGAAAACCAAAAAAGCACACATGATAAAATGTAAACAGTTAAAGAAATTTGGATAAAGAGATTTTTTGCATTATTTTTACAATTCTGTAAGTCTGAAATTATTTCAAAATAGTGAGATTTGTCTGAAAAATTTCTTTAAACTATATTTCATATAAATACTTTAAAGTTCACATGTAGTATAATTTCAAATCCTTAGACATACGTGACCAAGAGGCCTGTAAAAGGTTGATAATGGCAATGTATTGCTTTATAAGTAGGCGTAGTTACTATATTATGAGGACTGAGTGCTTTTACACCATGCATTGGGTCAGATGAGCGTAATTCTTGGCCTCACGGAATTTCATTATTATGTTGCTGGTTAAAACCAAGAAATTTGGCCAGGTGTGGTGGCGCACGCCTGTAATCCCAGCACTCAGGAGGTTGAGGCAGGAGGACTGTCCCAAGTTCATGGCCAGCCTGGGCTACATAGTGAGTTCAAAGCCTGCCTGAACCACATGGCAAGACCCTGTCTCAAAAAACAGCCAACAAAAAACCCTGAGAAACTTAGCCATTTGTTTGCTACATACATCATTTTCTGATACCTTGGACCTGGCTATCTAAATTCCTCTCGGACTGTTTTTTCTTACAGAATTTGTCTAGCAGGCTGGCCCAGCTCACTTGTCACGGCAATCTCTGCCACAGCTTCCAGTCTTTCAACACCTCCTACACAGACACAGGGCTGTGGGGACTCTATATGGTTTGTGAACCAGCCACAGTTGCAGATATGATTCAAGTTGTTCAAAAAGAATGGTGAGAAAATATCTTCAAATAGTTCAAATCTTGACTAGGGTTTGTATTCTAAGCCAGTTTTCTTTTCACACTCTGTGATGGTAATTTTATCTTTCAAAGCAGTAGCACTGATTGCTGTTTTTAAACATAGATATTTCTTAGAAGAAAAGTGTGAGGCTGGTTTTATAAATTCTTAATCCCTCAAAAATAAATTACTCCATAGATCGTAGAACCTTAAAACCCAAGTACAAGTTATTTGGAAAGTATCTCAAAGTAATCTCGCTTGGAAAGGTGGGGTATAGAAGTGAATCTAAAGGTACCATTGGTAACAGAAAATATTTTCATTAAAAAACAGGTTAGTGTGAGTCAGTAGGCAGAGGCAGACTCATAGCTTCTGAGAACTTTTAGTCGGTTGTTTTCTACAGTATTCTACAGTGGCTTCCATCTAATTCTAGTCAGCCAGGACGTACATGATCATTAATTACTAGGTTTAAGTTAAACTCTATTGAATTTCTTGAAAAACTGGCAAATGACCCAGTGTAGCATGTTAGACCCTAATGGATGTGGATTTGTGAAGTCTCAAGATGATTTTAGTTAGTATTTCTCAAAATGTGGTCAGCCTGTTCTTATAGTGTATTAAACATCTGTCTGCAGTTGAGCAACAAGAAATTTACATACAACATTTTTAAGAAAACGGTAACTGGGGAAATAAAATTATTTTAGCTTTTGCTTACAAGGATTATTAGTAATTTCAACTTTTTATTAAGTTGAAATAACTATAATACTTATAAGTTGAAGAATATTGTACAGAATATATAATGCCTTTCTTTTAAATCATTAACTTCTAAAATTGCACAACATTTTCCAATTATTTTATAATACTAGTTTCCGTATATATTTTAGGATGCGACTCTGTACAAGTGTAACTGATAGTGAAGTTGCACGAGCTAAAAACCTTCTGAAAACAAACATGTTACTACAGCTTGATGGTGAGAATGACTTGGGGGCGGAGGATGTGGCTCAATGGTGGGGTCTACTCCCTAGCATGGCAAAAAAAAAAACCAAAACCAACCCAAACTTAAGTCTTCAGCTGACCTATATTTTAGTATAGTTTTTCCTTTTTAAGCAGGTTCTACACCAATTTGTGAAGATATTGGGAGGCAGATGTTGTGCTATAATAGAAGAATCCCTATCCCTGAGCTTGAAGCAAGAATTGATGTAAGTAGTCTTAGAATACAGTTGAGTCTTGTATAAAAAGGTCATTATTACAAAGGCTGAAAACATGTACCCTAAATCTTGATTGAGTTTTTAAAAGTCCTAGGTATAGAGTCTGTCTTTATTATAAAAAGCTCAGGATGATGGTACCTTTCCTGCTTTAGGCTGTGAATGCTGAGACACTTCGAGAAGTCTGCACCAAATATATCTATGACAAAAGTCCTGCTGTTGCTGCTGTTGGTAAGCCTGGCTCCTTTCGTCCTGTGCAGAAAGGTGGCCATGTCCTTTTCATTCAGTTTTAAATACCTTCTTTTTAATCCACAGGTCCTATTGAGCAGCTACCAGATTTTAACCAGATTCGCAGTAACATGTGCTGGACTCGTGGTTAAAATGCTTGTAATCAAAATCCCTAAAGAAAAAGACAAATGTGAATGTGTTTGGAAATCTCTGACCAAAATGTCAGGGTAAGATTACCACCTTGGTGATTGTTTTGTGTAAGATCAGTCTTAGTGCTCTGAGAAACTGCACTAGAAGCAGCACACATTTAAATTATTACATAAATATAATTTTGGAAATAAAAATTTTATACAGTGTTTTCAGTTTTATTATAAAAATGCACGCACAACGAGGATTGTCGTTACGTCACTTCCTGGCTCTACTTGCATTCAGCACTTGCTCTTGAGCAGCTTTCTTTGCTTTTACCATCTCAACAAGTTCCTAGGAGAGAGAATGGTATTAACTTAAGAGCTGTCACTTTAAAAGGACACATCCAATATAGTTTCTAAGGCTGGTCATTTTGTAATGTCTTTGGTCCTGGGACCACTGTGGCAATAAAATAATCATCCCGATACCTGTTACTATCCAAATAACAGACATAATCAAAATGCAAACTATATCACGAGTTACAGTGCGAACAGTAATGAAATTTATAAACTAAAAATGTACCACCTTATATCGTTTCATGCAGTCCTTCTTTGTCCTGCCAGGAACTGCTTCTGCAATTTTTTCCCATCTCTCAGGTGTGTTTACAGGGTATGTTTTCAAAGCTTGTTCCAAAAGCTTCTGTTCCTCTGTTGTCCATGGGGTGAAATCTGTGCATGGACCTATTGAAACACAGAGAAAGTATCTGCCTCATTATTGGTCTCTTAAAACCTACTATAAAAAAAACAAAAAACAAAAAAAACCCTACTATATACTCACCATGGCAAGACCCTGTCTCAAAAAACAGCCAACAAAAAACCCTGAGAAACTTAGCCATTTTTTTCCTACACACATCATTTTCTGATACCTTGGACCCAGCTATCTAAACCCGGCTATCTAACCTTTTTTTGTTAATTAATTTGCTGGATAGGCTCCTGGAAAGCATTATTTTACACTGGAGGAAACAAACCTATCAAAATCAAACCAAGCACACAAGGATTCAGTGCTATACAAGTGAGCTTAAGGTTACCATTTCATAGTCTTGTGGAGACAATGTTGAACATCTCTACTGTCAGTGTAGTTCCTTCACTATTACAGCTTGTGTCTAGATGTCCCCCCAAAACATTATGCAGTCATAGGGGTGCTTTTCTAGGGTGATGATTAAAACAGTCCACTGACTGGTTTAGCACAGTTCTGGCTGAGGATGTGAGTGCTAGGGCAGGTAGCCTGCATAAAATACAAGGAATACGAAGAGCTAGTGTGCTCTTTCCTGTTTGCCATGGACTGCTTCTCCTCTGCGATCCCTCTGCCACACCACCCGGCCTTGGAGCCAGCTGACTTCGCACTGAAACCTCTACAAACTGTGAGCTGAAATAAACCTTTCCTCCTTTAACTTGTGTGTGTTGGGTATTTTGTCTCAGGTCTGAGAAAAGTAAGACACTCAACCTTTCATAGTTTACAAAACATGTAATGTGTCACAAATACACATTACTGAAGGATATTAGATATGTAGCCCACTTCTCCAGTGAAATGAGAATGTTAAAAGGCAGTAGCATCTATACAAATACTGGAAATCTGTCTGCTGCTTGAAATTATATTCTGTGGGATTGAGCACAGAAGAAATACAAGTTATTTCCCAATTTAAAAAAGGAAAACATGTACTCAAAATACAACTCATATTTGTATTTCATGGCAGATGAGAAGCTTTTCTGAGGGTAGCTTTCCAGTTCTAAGAAGTTCTTAGTTGAATTTCCTTTTATTGGTCTCGTTCTCCTTGATGCTATAGGTTTAGGGACGTGGAATTATTCTCTGCTTTCCACTAGTTACTTCAGAAAAAGAAATGAAGCATACTGTTCCAAAGTTCCTGTGAGAAATCACTGCTGAGAGATGCCAGGGCCAGGAGGCGCAGCTCAGTAGTAGACCACATGCCCGGCTGCACAGGCTCTGGGTTTGAGCGCAGCACCACCGAAAGGAAAAAAGTGGGGACAGCGTGCTGGGAAGAGAGACTTCCCAGTCTACCCACCGAAGAGGTAAAAAGTCAGACACAGGCAGCCTCACTGCCAGTCACTCCTGTAAAGAAGGGCACAGAGTAGTACGCCAGTTTATGTACGGTATCTTCTGGAAGACGTAAAGGAGCGGGAAAATAAACCCCTGTCGAAGTCCTCTCCAGGTGTTCTGAAACCTGGACTGTTTCTTCATTAAAAGCCCAAACCCTGCCCACCTCAAGCAAGGCATCCCAAAATTTTACAAGCACAGCATGATTTCCTTCCCCTCTATAAAACAGGGTAAGTCTTACATTTTCAAACGGAATAATCATCGAGACTACAGGTAATACTGGGACTATTAGCTGCAGTTTATCATGTAATCAAGTCTCAATTCAAAAATGTGTCTGGAATTATGATGTGGAAAGATTAAGAAAGGATGGGTATCTCAAAAATGCATTAAGTGAAACTTCAGAAAGCAAACTTCAAACATTTGTCACAGTTTAAAAAACTTAGTACATCCCATGTATGAACACAATTTGACAGGTAAAAGACTTGTTACAGGCATAATGCTGGCTAGTATTTTCTTTTCACAGATTACTAAATTGACTTTACGACTCAACGATGGTTATGATTTATAGTCAGAAAAACACCAGGTCCAGAGTAATCCTTTTAGCTAGAACACCCAAGATAATGACAGCACTTGGCAGTTTCTGTCTTTACTCTGAAATACTTTTGAAGAGTAAAAGGAATCCTCGTATACTCGGCCTGGATTCCCCAAATGTAAACATTGTGTCACATTTGCTTATTTCTATACACAGACACACTGTTCTCAGAGACTAAGTTGTAGACGTGATGCCTTTACTCCTAGATCAGTATGTTTTCCTTAGAAATCAGAAAATTTCCTGACACAAGAGTACATTTTTTTAGATGAGGAAATTAACTGATGAAATGCTATTACTTCTTCACTGTCTGAACAGTGTCCTCAACACTGATTTGCAGTGCGTGGTGAACGGGTGCACCCTGGAAGAACACAGTGGCTGGCGGAAGTAAATCTCACTGTCCTGGACGTGCTTGCTCTGTACATCTTCTAGTCCGCTAAGTAGTTTATATTCCAGTCATTCTGAACATACAGCCTAGCAGGTCTGCTATGTCTTCAAGTAGCCTGGAGTCATGGTGAGCATTTTCTACTCTTACAAAAAAACAAAACCTACCTTCAAATCGTTCTGACGGTGTTGCATTATCTGCTTGAGGTACCACTCCATGTTCTTTTCTAAATTTATCAAAAGCTTTTCTGTTTATGTCATCTTTTTGATGAGGGTCTAAGAAACAAGTGTTAATACATTAACATATCGTCTCATTCAGTCCTTCATCAAATGCATAAATTTATGTGAGAAATAGGTATCCAAAGTAATGAAATGATTTTTTAGAACTCACCAAGCTTCTGGAGACTCTTTGCTTTGCCAATGACATCTTTGGCTGTCCTTTTGACACCCGAAGAAGAATGTATGTTCATGTAGTTAGCAATAACTTCCCATCTAGAGCAACAGTGTGAGTTTTAATAGTAAGGGAACAAAAACAGGACATTTGTACTGCAGAAGGCTTAGTTATAAAATCTATAGAATGAGCTCTAAGTTTGTTTACTTACGCCTTTAGACTACATTACTACTGCCTGGATAAATAGTTCATGTTTATATAACTACAATCTTTTAATTTGTATAAAACCTTACCAACTCTGTAGGAGTCAACAGAAATCAAACTGAACACCTGTGTATACTGCTTAAGAGGAGAGATCAAGGAGAAAACCACCTGTCTCACTTACAGAACGAGGGAGGCTGAGTCTCTTACGGCTTCTTTGAGTTTTGACCCTAGACTCTGAGGGAAACAGTGGTCTGAAGTGGGAAGCAAACGCGTAAGATTGTGGAAGGGAACTGTAAGACACAACCCTAGTCCCGAGCCCAAGTCATGACGGTATAAGGCGACTAACTGGTGATTTCTCTCCTGTTCTTCAGTTTCCCGAGGGGGCTGGTGACACAGCTTGCTGCATGTGTGCGTGTTGGTGTGGGTGAGACGAGACGTGCAGAATGCCTTGTGCTTTGCAGCCCTTTCCACTAAATTTAGTGGCAGGCAGCTTTTCTAGATTCAAGTTTACCTATGCGTCTCCAATACCCAGTACTGCTATTTGCATTTCTGCCTCCAGGCTTGTGTGTGGAAAAGTTTCCATGAAAACCAGTACCTTGAATTTGTTCCAGCAGGGAAGAGATTCACAGCTTTAATTAGTAGCTGCAGATCATCTTCTGACCAGTTTTTACTGCTACTTCCACCGCCGCCCGTTGACTTCTCTGCATTCTTAGACGCTTGTCTCATGCGAGCTTCGGCTTCCTCTTTCTCTTTTCTAATCTGCTCGTTTATTTCTTCTATCTACACAGATATCACAAGCACGTCAGGACTCGCAGTCTCCTGCTACTATGTACTCTATGCCGAGGCTCTGTGGCCCCAAGTCTTGGTATCGCCCCACTTTGACCCTGTGCTCCTCCCAGGCCACCCCAAGGATCAGCTGGAGGAGATGGGAACCCCGCCCCACCCCGTCTGCTCCAGCCTCGGGTTCTTATAGCTGGCAGGGACAAGGTTACTGGGTTTTAAGGCCCTTTCAAACCTCGCTTTAAACTCACATTCACTCTTGGCAGGTAATCTAAATCTAATTTGTTCTACCCAAGAAGGTAAAGGTGCAGGAGGCGGCCTGTTCTATCTTGAAGTTTATCTTGTTCCTTTTGTTCTACCTTCAAATATGCACAAAAGAAACCTTTCCTTGAACCTTGATACTTCTGTGAGCTGGTGTCTGAGTCACTTTTGACTAGTTTCTCCTCTTTAATATCTCAGAGCCAGCCGTTAAGTCCCTGGATTCTAACTTGGAGAGTTCTAGCTAGGTGTGGTGGTACACACCTGTAATCCCAGCACTTGGGAGGCTGAGGCAGGAGGACTGTCATGGGCTTAAGGCCAGCCTGAACTACAGTGAGACCTGTCTCCAGAAAGTTTTTCCTGATTCTAAACTTCCATAGTCCAGATCCTTAGAGTGGGATTACTTAACTCATTACTTTAGCCCAATGTGTTGCACGCCATGCAGCTCACCAACGCCTGATAACTCGCACAGTGTTGAACCTTCTGCTATGCAAAGTAATGAGAACTAGTCATGATGGTACTAAAAACCTGCTTAGTTAGGGTCTACTCTTCCTAACCAATTTCATTTTCCACTCCTTCTCTCTGTAACTCTTCTCACCTACCACTGTCTTACAGTTCATGCAGTTTCTTGACCTGCATCTTAACACTGTCTTCCCTAGAAGGCCGGTTCAGCCTTGTCACTGCTTTCCTTGACCATCGGATACGGCCTGGCCTCCCACAGCATTTTCTGTGGGTGCTCCATCTTTTGGTCCTCAGCCTTTCTTTCTAGCGTAAGTTTTCCTGGACTCCTTTGTGGCAGCAATAGCATTAGGCACCTCTCCGAAGTCCCCCAGGCAGAGTGCTGTTTGTATTAGTTACTAATACTTTTCGAACTGAATTCAACTTCTGGGCCTGATTCCCTCACTGTGAAGTAAAAGGATTAGACTAGACAAAGATCTCTTTGGTTCTGATTACTACCCTATAAAAACACTCAAATAATCAAAACTACTACTTTGGAAAACTTATGATTATTGTGCCAGATACCACAAATCAAACAGCATACATGGTAAAACAAAACACCACCACACTAAATCCATTTTTTAAAAAACATTTAATACAAACACAACATATACAAAAAGAAATGACACTCCTGGCCCTGAGTAAACTATGTGTAAGGTGCAGAAACAGTTTGGATCTCAAACGGCCACATAAACCTCATGTGCTTTTGGATGGTGGGCAGGTGCTACTCACTGGACACGTCCACTGCTGAGTGCGGTAGCTGAGAGTGCTCTTAGGAGACGCAGCCTGCCCGGGAGCTGGCCCTGGGGGCGTGACCTGGAAGGCTGTTACTGTCCCCAGCTGCCCGCTTCTCTCTGCTCCCTGGTCAAGAACCTTCTCTGACACGCCCCTTTGCCACCTGGAACCAACCGCGTGCGCGCTGCGACCTGTAACCGCGAGCCCCACAAGCCCCTCCTCCTCTAAGCTTTACGTGTCAGTGTTTTGTCCCAGCGCAGAGGACAGCGACTGAGACAAACAGTGAGGTAAAACAGTAGCAGCGTTCCCTCTGTTACCTGCTTCTCCAGCGCAGCCTTTCCTCCCTCCTTTGTGGCAGATGTGAGCGTTTCATTCAAGCACTGTAAACTAAAGAGATGGGGATGAGGTCTGGGCCGCCGCCCGGGCCCAGCACATCAGGCTCAGAGCCCGGGGAATAGCTGGAACTGTACCGAGCCCGGGAGGGTTTGCACAGCAACTCCACGACACACACCTTGCTAGTTCAAGCCGGTCGCAGAGTTTCTCCACTTCTTCCATCATTTTCACCCGTTCCGCCTCATTGTCTGAGAAGTGATTCCAGGTCTGGAAGCACAAAGGCACACACTTCCACCTCCACCCGCTGACGTGAGCCATACCTGCCATCCCAGCACCAACACTGCCTCGGAGGCTCCGACCAGAGGCACGCGCTGTCTGCAGCGTCTCCAAGCTCACCCAGCAGCCGCAGTGGAAGTGTGTGGAGAAGGTCTCACCCTGCTACTCATCTCAAGTGCCTGAAGTGCTTACTTTATTGTCACTTCCATCACTAGTCACTGGACTTTTGTTTTTTCAAGACAGGATCTCACTATGTAGTTCAGGCTGGCCTCAAACTCACAACGATCCTCCTGCCTCAGCCTCAGCCTCATGAATACTGAGATTACAGGCAGGTGCCACCGTGCCCAGCTTACCCACTGGATTTTTTGAGGGCAAAGATTGTGTCATTCCTATTATATCCATGGTAACTACAAATGCTTGGTCCACAGTATCACGTATTTTATGAGTGAATTAATTCATGCTGCACAGGAGCAAAAAAAATACCGGTTACCAAATGCCAGAACTTTTACCTTCATTTATACACACCCCTAAGAACTGGTCAAGCTTTGTAGCTCCTAACTCACTTTTAAAGGCTTTTATCAGGTTCTCAGTAGATGCTGAGGGTGCCTTGTCCCACCTGTGATTTCACCTCAGTGTTTCTGCCTAGGGATCAGCTCTGCCATAAAAATTGTGAGAAGAGCGGCAGCCAGGTGCTGAGGTCACCTCGAAGGGGCCCACGGGCCAGCGAGTGGCAGAAGGAGGACTTCAAAGCTAGGCAGCTGTTCTGAGCCCATGCTCTTTGCCACTTTGACATGTTGCATCCTTCGGAAAATGGTCTACCCAGGTGAAATCTAAGACAGCACTTCTTTTTCACTTAGATATTTCTTCTTGCTTACACCAAAATGTCTGAAGAGACAGTATTTTTTCCTTCGCTACTGGGGATTAATAAACCCAGGGCTTCACACTGAGTTTTTTTTTTTTTCAAGACATGGTCTTGCTAAGCTGTCTAGACTGGCCTTAAAGTTGCGATCCTCCTGCCCCTCAGCTGGGATTACAAGTGTGTGCCAGCACACCTGGCTTAAGCACTTCTTTGTATTTATTTATTTTTTATTAACCCTCTTTGAAAGCATAATATGGGGCTAGTTTATTTCACGTGTGTTTCTAACTGAAATTTTAGGGCAGCATATATTAGACATGCTTATGTCTAAAGTCTTCTGCACAGTCATGTGAAAAGTAACAAGTTTTAAAGTACATATTAAGCATTTACACACTTTCTGAATTTACCTATATTGGTATAGGGCCCAATATTTTTTTGTAGCAATCTCTACTATAGGTTGGAATTATGTGAATTTATTCATTCATTCTGTTAATAAGGTCCACTTTTGCCCTTTGACCTTACCAGTTTAAAACACAGGAATTCTTGGACAAAATTACATTCTTTGATCAGATTAGAGTGAAAGTTTAACTTCTAAAGTAACTTCTCCTAAGATAAAGATGTGTTCATACCATTGGAAGCAACCAACTTAACATGATCAGAAACATGATCTAGTTTTTCCAGAAACATGATCTAGTTTTTCCAACAGACGCCAAACGAGGATGGGAAAGTAGTGATGGGAGAAGGCTTGTCACAAAATCAGAGGATCTTAAAAAACAAAGCCATACCGTAAGCCTTTGTAGTAACCTTACTTGGATGTTAAATTTTTTTCTTCTTTTGGTCTTTTTAAGACAGGGTCTCACTATACAGTTCAGGCTGGTCTTGAACTCACTGTGTAGCATAGGCTGGCCTCAAACTTGCAACGATCCTCCTGCCTCAGCTTCCCAAGTGCTAGGATTACAGGCGTGTGCCACGACACCCGGCTCCTAACTTGTTTAACTCAACTATTGAAAGACTTGGGGATGGGGATTTAGCTCAGCGGCACAGCGCCTGCCTGGCAAGGGCCTGGGGTGGGGGTGGGTGGGGGAGAAAGAAAGACATTGTTGATATAAATCTGAGAGGCCTAAATGTGGAAAAGGTATCAGAATGTTAACTTTTTGCTTTGATAGTTACACAATGATCTTTTAAAAAGTTATTAGGGTGGCACATTATAATGTACACACAGAAAATATAAAAAAATTCAAAAACAAATTTACATTTCAAGATAAAACACATCACCCATTTAATTGTATTTGCAAAGAATAAAAACACATTTTTCAGTTTAATCAGTAACCTAGTTTACGTTGTACTTACTGTTTGCTTAGTGGGCCCCACATACCTTGCATGAGTTTCGAAGCTTTTGCCTTTCCTTCTTAATGGCTTTTTTCTGGATATCTTTTTCCTTCTTTGCCAATAATGCTTGCTGTCTAACTTCTTCTTCTTCCTTCTCCTTAGCCAGTCGAGCAGCTTCTAATTCAGCTTGCCTTTGCTTTAAAAATGGATTAAATACGAAAATCATTTAAGAAAACTAGAATTTCTAAATGTTCTATAATCTTATTTTAAAAAATAAATGTTTTAATCAGAAAAAAGGTGACAGATCAACCTATTGAAGATTGAAGGCTGAACTGGAAAAGGCAGCTGGTAAAGTTCTGCAGACATTTAAAATATCAAAAATAGAAAACAATCATGGAAATAAACACAGAATTAAAGGAATTTATGTCTTCATGTGTTTGCTTAATCATTTGCTGGTAAGGAACATCTAACAACTGCATGAACATGTCAAGACTCATTCATAGCAGCAATGAATTCTCTGCTTCCAGATTACAGATTTAAAAAGAAAAACCTGAAGATTAATGAGTATGTAAAATCCAACTTCATCAAACATTGTACATTACTTTTTCTTTAGCTTCTTGCTCCTTCCGTTTTGCTTCTGCTTTTGCTTTCTTTTCTGCTTCTTTCTTGGCTTTTTCTTCTTCCTTGAATTTTTTTATCCTTGGATCACAGCTGTATGCATTGTCTAATAAAAAAATACATTAATCTTTTGAATTTTTAACATTTAAAAAACTTTAAAAATTATTGCCAAAGATTCATTATAAAAGTATTAGTTATACTTACCAACTAATGTTCTTATTCTGTTCATTTCTTCCTTTTTCCTTTGTGCCCTTGTTGCTCTGTTCTGCTTTTCAATCCATTTTCTCTCATCACGACTATTATAGTGGAAACAGATCGGTACTTATAAATTACGATATGATTGGAAAAAGTCATTATTTCATAAGTTACATGCAGATAATGTCAGAGAAGTGAAAATGCTATGTCACAACATAAAGGGCGTTTCTATTTATAATTTTGGTTAGGTTTTTTTGGATATTCCTGTTGTAAGAATTTCCATATACACTCAGGGAAAACTAAAATACAACCAAGGTTATACATCTAAGAGAAAAATTTGTTGAACTGAGCTCTTATGACAATTATATTCCTTGAAAATGCTTATGCATAGTGAGCCTATTATTGATTTGGTCTCAGCTAGCTTAAGTTGTGAGAAGGGATTTCAAAATATTGTACCAAAATACTTACCTAAAAAGAGGAAATATGAATAGAAAATATATATGTGGCATGTTTTTATATTATCACAAATGCCAAAGAAGCAAATAAATATATGCCCTTATTAATGATATGCATACATACCATTCTGCTTTTTCTTTTTCTTCTTCATCTAAATAAGAAAATTCTCTCCAAGAATCAAAATTATACCTGATAGACAAATAAAAGCAAGACAGAACAAATGAAAAACAATTAATTCCTTTAAAATTAAATTAGAGCCAGGCATGGTGGTGCATGCCTGTAATCCCAGCACTTGGGTCTGTCAGGTTGCAAGGAAATTCTAATAATTGTTCTGCTTTGCATTCTCTCAAAGTAAAAGCAACTTCAACTTACAGAACTTGACTTTTTTCCTATAGTAATTGTATGCTTCCATACAGACTACATATTCAATGAGAAAATATAGTACATATAAAATATGCTTAGCCGGGCATGGTGGCGCACGCATGTAATCCCAGCACTCGGGAGGCTAAGGCGGGAGGATCATTGCGAGTTCAAGACCAGCCTGGGCTACAAAGTGAGCTCAAAGCCAGCCTGAGCTGCATAGTGAGACCCTGTCTCAAAAACACAATAAAATAAAATAAAATAAAATAAAATAAAATAAAATAAAATAAAATAAAATATGCTAAGTATTTTGATTGAAAATTTGCTACAACAGGCACTATCTTAGTCAAGTTACTTTTGGTAGGAAGACATCTAAATTAAAATACAGGGCCAGGGAAATAGCTCAGTAGCACAGCGACTGCCTGGCAAGCACAGAGTCCTGAGTTCAATTTCCAGTACCAAAAAAAGAAAAAATATTAATTTTCATTAAATTTAAACTATTGCCCGATTTTCTTTTAAATAAAACAGCTATAATGTGCTTGGTATCCAATCTCATTAATAGAAAACAGGCTGAAAAAAACAGCCATAAAAGCCTGAATAACACATCAAAGATAGACAGCATTATGTGAAAACCTTTATTCGTTTCCAGAGTACTTTTATTCACTAAAGGTTCTGCGATGTCCCCATTCTTCAACTGATTTATAAATAAGCAAATATTTGTTGTTTACCTTTTTAAAAAATAACACCCTCATAAAATATACACTTACCAAAAAGAATAAAATGCATCTACATCTTCAAATGATGAATTCATATCACCAAGTTTAGGGACATTTTTTTTATTTGACCATCTGAAATATTAAAAAGGAAAATCTGAGTAAAAATTTTGCACAAAAGTTTTTACTAATTGCCTCCAACCTCCGCCCCTGGGAAGGGGCTGTGACCCAAGTGAGGGCCAGGGGCTGTGCGTAACGACACGATGCCAAGTCTCGCCAGGTTTTCAGTTCCATGCTGCAAGGCAGGGTAGGAAGATGGCAGCTCGCCTCGTCTCCCAGTGCCGTACTCCTGCTCTCAACTGGCATCCCAGAAGCAGGCTGTAGGCCTCGATGTTCAAGAGGGCCCTATTCACAGAGAGCGGATTTCACCCCTCCTCGCCACCTCCTCGTGGGCAGCCAGACCTGGGGCTCCGCATCTCACCTGTGAGCCTGCAGAGGATCCTAGAGCTGCTACTGACCCATGCTTTCTGCCCTATGAAACCACTACAAGCACACACAACAAACTGCGTCTTTATAACATCTTCCGCAGAGCTGCAAATGAACGCGAGGAGCAAAGGCTGAGGAAGCACTGGGCCGCACCAAAATGCTAATCGAAGTGGTCTGCAAACACGGCTGTACAGGAGACACCTGGAAGCATGGGAAACCCACAGGTATTCAGACTATCAAGTGCGGATCCCCAGGGAGACACAGGCTTGCGTGTTTCCAGCTCTCCGAGGGATCCCGATGTGCCCCCAGACACTCAGTGAGGGAAACGGCTGACAGATGGAACCAGAAAGCAGAATAGAACAGCCATAATGCACTATTTTAAAACACACTTTAAAAACAAAACAAGTTATATGTGCTTTAATCTTAAATATGAATCACCCTTTGTCAGAGAAGCCTTATAACAATTACATGTTCAAAACAAAATCGAAAGCTTTTCTCAGTTATAATGTGCCAAGCTGAACCTACTGAGAAAAAAGCAAACGAAAGGGAATGTCCTATCACCCGAGTATCTGTACCACACTATACAGAGCTACACACTGTTTTTCCCTGAAAGGAAATTTAGAAGAAAAACTTTTCATAAATTGTAAAGAAATTCCACTAAGGCAGAACTTCTGTGTAAGGAACAAAACTGGAATACTGAGTTCACTAGAAGGGCTCAAAATCACAAAGAGGAGGCAGACTCTGCGGAAACATTTTACAATCAAACTATTGCCAGAGGAAAACAGCAGAAATCTAGATGACTGCACAAAGCAAACCAACTGGACGGTATGACCAACAGGGATTTTAACTCACCTGGAATTCCTTTCAAACACTGGAGAAAACACTTCGAAGAAATTGTCCTTCGCTTCACTTTTAGATGGAACTGAGTTATCAAAAGTAGGATCTACACTGTTAAAGGCTCGTCTTTTCACTGGATCAGATAACATCTCATAAGCTGAGAACAAAAAGAATACACATCATAAGGTTCCTTCTTTTAGTCTATGAAAAGTTAACTCTGTGGGTCTTTGGTGTGGGAAATATTTAATTTAGGTAGCAACAGCTCTAGCACTACTGGATAACCTGACTTAACACCGTCCGGTAGCAAGTGACAAAATAATTTTTAAATAATCATGACTCAAGAAAGCAGAGGATGCTGCGGAAAAAAACTGCTAGAAAAATGGAAATCCCAAGACTCTAAAAGGTAGAAGAATTATAGGCTCCTTGAGCACTGTGTAGCAGTGGGCCAGGCCGAAGTCTGAAAAATGCGAATATAGGTAATTGCCTAAAAAGTAGCATCAAAGTGCTGGGAATGTGGCTCAGTGCTAGGCTGACTGCCTAGCAAATGTTAAGGCCCCAATTCCATTGCTTCCACACCACCCCCCCCAAAGAAAAAGAAAAAGAAAGAAAGAAAAAAGCATTAAAATGTAAAATCATACCTAAGAAAAATTTATATACAGTAGTTTCTCCTAGTTTGTTTAATGAGGATATGACTATATGCCTGTATAACTAATTCATAGTTGTGGGGTGCACCCGACAACAGTCTGATTTTTTAAGGCAAGGCTAGAGACTGCACTCCAGGGCTGACATGCCAGGCAAACGCTCCTTTACAGGGCTGCACTTGCAGCCCCAATTAACTTAATTTAAATTAGCAAAACATCTCAGGAACAGGTTAGTCCTGAAATACTGACTAACCTAAGAAAATGAACCTAAAATGAAAAATTTTCCATAAACTTAATATATCTAAAAGGGCAATGCTAGAATTTTTTAAATGGTAAAAGAGCACTAAATATAATACTTCCATGAATTAACTGCAAAATGACCTTCTGGTAAGAATCATGTAAGGGCAGTGGTGGCGAACCTATGGCACACATGCGGTGGCGGGCTGTTTGTGTCACTGAAAGCTCTCAAATGTTCGCAATCACTGTACTAGGGCTTCTGTTAAAACACAGATGCTAATCAGTAGGTCTGGAGCAAGACTTGAGCTTCTGTTTCTAACGGCCAGGGGTTGCCATTTCAGTGCTGGCTCGGGGAACTTCCCTGTGTACTGTGAGACCGCGAGAAATTAGCACAAATAACCTATACAACCGTTCAGCAATGTCACCGGATACGTCTTCTCTTACGGGAGAAACCTAAAGTATAAATAAATGAATAAAAATGAGGGAGAGATGACAGGAGACTAGAAGGTAGACTTGGAGACAGGAAAGGGAATGAAGGGGAGAAAGGAGAAGAGGGAGAGGAGGCTAAAGGATGGAAAATGATCAAGTTAAGCTGCGTGTATGTACCAGCTTCCCTAGATGAGCCTCGCTACCCTGTGTTACTCACAGGCTAATAACAATACATGTCATGGGACAGTTAAGTGAACTACTCATACACAGGAAACCCAATCCCAGTAATCAATCAATAAAAATCACTATCAGAAATTCCTGACTGGACCGCATGTCTTACCTTTAGTAATGCAAGTGAAGTAGTCATTATCTCCTTCTTTTATCGGTTCACCAGCTGCTTTCCGTTTGTCTGGGTGATGTTTCAAAACCATGGCTTTATCTACAAAATGAGTCTCACTGGTCACTTTAGGCGTCAAAATCAACACTGAGCAGGAGCTAAACACAGACTAGCTCTAAAATCATCATGGAAATTAAAATTTTTTTCTCCCAAAATGTGAAAATTATAGAGCAACTGAAGTAATTATTTTATTAGCTAAAGTGCCAGCACTCAAAGACAATTACCCATATACTTTAAAAACTGAGGCAGGGCGTGGTGGCGCACACCTGTAATCCCAGCACTTGGGAGGCTGAGGCAGGAGGATCGTTGTGAGTTCAAGACCAGCCTGGGTTACAAAGTGAACTCAAGGCCAGCCTGAATTGCATTGAGAGACCCTGTCTCAAAGAGACAAAAAAAAAAACCCCACACGAACAACAAACAAAAAAAAAACCCACTGAGGTGTGCTGGGGATAGAGACCACTGTTAGAATACTTGCCTGGCGGGCTTGAGCTTGAGGCTTCTAGCGCTGTACACCGCATACACACTCACACCCACACACACGTACGCGCTCGAGCACAGACTTAAGAGGTCTATAAACAAGACGTACAGAACTGTACAAAAAAAATGGGTTGTAAATCCAAACAGATACTAAACAGGCAGGTCGTTAAATGAGGAACAGCTATATTTGTGCACCTTTCTTTTACCGGGACTTTGCAAACAGTTTTCCTAGGAAAATGAAGTTTTTCTGACACTTACGTATATTGCAATGACAGTGCATAATCATTAACATATGCTTAGTTTAAAATCATGCCCGCCTTTAAAAAAGCCAGTACAGGTCTAAAATAATCTGACAGATTTCCTCACTTTGTTAAAAAATATTTCTGGTGATTTTCCTAACAGAAGCAGTAATGGGGAAGGCTCGGAGTTCAGCGAGTAGCCTAAGCCCTCACTAGCATCCCTCGATGCTGGTTCTTGTCTAACAGTGCTCGCCAAGCCCACGCTTTCTCCTCCCGACTGCCCCGACCTGCTCACCCTTTCCAAAGGGCCTCGTACCTCCTCTGATCCCAGCACCCACTCTACACAGCAGAGGGCGGATGCTCTCCTAAGATCAAACACACCACACTAATCACCTTCACCTCTTCCTTGAAACCTCACTCATCAGGTGAATGAATGTTGAACAGGTTCCCGCCAGCTTAAACCACCAATGGTACATGCATGCCTGTCCCATGGGGCTTTGTACCACTGTTGTGCAAATGGTCTAACCACTTTTATCAGTCTTTTTACTAAAATTAATTACAAGACTACAAATAGGCCAAATCTAGTTGGTTGCTTGTATGTGAATAATTACTGCTCAAATATAAATATGTTGTATACAACAGGAATTTACAACGGCTATACTGCAAATTAGCTGCTGCAGTTTTTTAAAGACCACTTTAATGTTTTCCTCGCTGTAATGTGATGACATCTGGTCTGCTAAGTCACCGCCTTCCTTTACATTACTGTGATGAAAGACAGGATCAGGGTTTATGTTTCCTATGGCTCATGCCTCCAGTGGCACAGTCATGCATGTACCACGGGTGGTTCAAGTGGGCAGGACGATGGAATTCAAATCAGAGCCATCTGGTACTTAGACACGAGTTAGACATGAGTCCTGTTGTGAACGTTAAGGAAGTCTGTCCAAAAGAATGCAAAGGCCAGTGCACTTAGGAACATTAAGGGGTAGTATTTTATAAAGCATACGAACACTCGGTTCCCAACAGTTTCTTCCCCCAATTTTTAACTCTCTCATTCAAAATAACATTGAAGAATCCAATACCTTTCTTGGGCAGCAGAAAGAATGGTAACAGCAAAGGCATAACCTGAAACCCCAGAATACCAAAAACCAAAGTAACGAAGTGGGATTCCACTAAATATGCCTACCCTTATTTGTAAAGAGAGGAGAATTTTTTTTTTTTTAACAGCTTGCCACTGTATTTGTTTTGTTTTGTTTTTGCTTGGGGTACAGGTGACTGAGCCCAAGGCCATGGCTCTGAGCTACATCCTCCGCCATTTTTATTTTTATTTTGAGACGGGGTCTCACTAAGTTGCTCAGCCTGGACTTAAACTTGTGATCCTCCCTGCCTTAGGGAGGCAGCCTCCCAGAGTGCTGGCTTGACAGAATGCTCTTTATCTTGCCTCTCTCTTTCACACACACACACACACAGACACAAACACAGATTTCTTGTCCCTAACGAGAAAGTCCATACAGGGAACTATTTTTTTTCTGGTTCAGAAGTAAAGGAGACTGGTTTTACATTGTTATGACAATATAACATATGCTGTGAAATGTAAAGTTATGTCTACATACTATAATCCTGTGTACCTTTTCAAAAGAATGCCACTTCCAATGCCAAATATTTGATTATTTCCAAATAAGCAAGTACTTACGAGCTGCTTTTATTTGTCTCTGTGTAGCTTTGTATCTCACATGGCCAAGTCCAAGAACTGCGTAATGATCTTGGTTCTGATAAAGACACAAAAGAGAGTCTGGTTGGAACTGGAGTACTACATCCTGCCCATTATGTTGTTTTTTCCAAAGTGACACTTCCAGGTTAGAAGCCAGGGACAGTTGCTATAGAGCAAGGGCTCTGTGATCATGGAAGTGTGAGAAAGGTAAAGAGCCGCACAGCCTCTTCTTGTCTTGTTTTTGAGACAGGGTCTTACTATGTAGTCCAGGTTGGCCCTGAATGCATCACAAGCACTGACGCTCTGTACCTTTAATGCTCAGCATGCACATACCCTAACAAAGGCTCTGAGAAATCCTGCAATTACCCCACGTTAATAGAAACCTGTAAAATCCAAGATTTTTAAAGCCTACTTAACTAAAAGAACCCCCTTTAATATCCTGTACCTATCCTTAAATCATGGTGTTCTGTACATTTCTGAACAGAGAAGACCATTACATTAGCTCCAGGAGGCTGGGCCAGTGGACAGTGAGGAGCCGTGCAGAACAGAGAGGGCAGGCTGGGTGGAAGCTGAGAAACTGAGGGAGGAGGCATCCCGGGGTACGAAGGACCTGCTCCAACCAACACCCTAGCAGCTGAGAAGCTGAGGGGCATGTGGAACAAGGCCTCCTTAGAGAACGCAGAATGAGGCCACTACCACGTGCAGAGGGAGAGGAGTTTTGAGGCCCTGTGACATGTGAGGAAAAAGCCCCACAGGACTGACTGGTTTCCCTTTAATGCAGGGTTGGATAGCATATGGGGGGGCTCCTTTACTGTGCCGGGCAGTCACACTGCGCTCCAGTCCCTCCACCCTCCGCTCCAAGCTACTTCCCCCCTCACATCCCTTTTCCACCCGCTGGCGGCCCTGCCCGTGCGTAGCTCAAATCCAAAGGTACCCACACCCATCAAATTCCACGCATCAAACTTGTGCGGCATCTTGCATCAATTATACCTGAAAACACTGTTGAACTGTCCCACCGGAAAGCCAGACTCTTTCCCCCAGCCCATGTGCACCTGTACACCTTCCCTGCACAACTGAGAAAGGCTCTCCTACTGAAACAAATCGCTCCATCTTTCCTCTCCATCCTGAAATCTGCCCCACGCTGTCTCGGAGATTAGCATCTGCCAGCTTCTCAATTTCAGCTGGGTTATTTTCATCAGGTAAGAGATGCTGCCGGCTCTCAGCTGGGACCGCCCCTCCAGTAAGCGCCCACAGCTCTGCCGTCACAGCTCAGCTTCCTGAGAAAGGCGCCCACGCCGTTTCCTCATCGCCTCCCGCGTTCATTTCTCAGCCCACTCCAATCTGGTTCTGCTCGTCCACCCCACCCCACCCCATGTGCAACCAGGCTGCCTGCTTCACGTCAACTTCCACCCTCACGGGACGCCAGTCTCCAGCGGCCAGCCCGCAGCCTGTGTCCCTGGAGCATCGCCTTCCTTAAGTTTCTGTGAGCTCACTCTCCCATCGGCTTCCATCTCCTGGAAGTCCCTCAGGGTCAGCCTTGGGGCTTCTTCTCACGCTACACTGAGGTCCTTGCTCAGCCGAGACTGTGTTGCTGCCTTACCCCTCGCAGACCTCTCCTCTGAACACCCTCCACCTCGGTCACCCACCCCAAGTAAGACGGTGTCCTGGGTCACTCCCTGCTTGGCACATTCTCCCCCACTCTCGATGTGCCACCATCCGCACCATCTCATTCATCCTCCCTATAACCCTGCGAGCTTTTAACAATCTCACTGTACCAACAAGGGAAATAGATGCTTAGATGCCCAGTAACTTTCCCAAGGTCCCAGTGCCCTGAACATCAAGTCAGATTTGAACCCACGCACTCTAGTGCTGTGGCGCACACGGGTGATACCTGTTGGTCTATATTGTTTTCCATGCCCGGTGTTATTCAATGTCTCACAGCCTCAACTATCACCCATGTGCCAACAATGTCACGCCTCTGGCTCGAATCTCTTTATGAAGCCCCAGATCAATTTCTAACCATTTTCTAGACAACTCTGATACAGCCAAACTTGGACACATCACTCCTCGCCAGGTTCTTTATCCTCAGTCCCAGTGTGGGTCACTGACACTTTAGCAGGTCACCCAAGCGAGCCTCCTGAATTCCTCCCCTTCTCGTGGGCCAAGGTCACTAAGGCCTGTCAATTCTACCGAAACAAACTAGACAACCTCTTCCTCAAAACCCAGCCACAAATTTAGTTCAAATCTTCATCCACAGGCTTGGCTATGTGGCATTCCATCACACTTATCTCACTGAACTACACATGGCTTATTAGTGGAAAACCCAATGGATTGTTGCCTGAACAAAAGATTCAGACATCACGTACCTTCCAGTCTTTAGGGTCAAGTGTTTTCAGCATGGGAAATTCTTCTAACTGCAATTCTTCATCTTCTGATTCCTCTGATAACTCTTTCTTATCCTCCAGCTCCTGGAAAGAGGCGGAAGCATTTCTGTTTCTCCTCTTAACAAAAGCTTCGAACCATCTTCCCACAGGTTCAACTGGACAGAGTGCAGAAGCTGCGATTGAAAGCGACAAGAGAGGTTTCAGTGCACTGCATGCGGCAGATCTGTTTCAAGACAGTAATCTTTCTTAGGATGTCAGCTCAAAATCACGATACCTTCAGAATGTAATTTTCAAAGCAACCACAAAAAACGGTCATCCAGCTTCAACGAGTGTTAGCAATAAAAAAAAAAAATCAGCATTTCTTAGTATTTACAGTGTATTCCATCAACCTCTTCCGTTAGCTGATAAAACATTCAGCAATGTCAACAATAAATCAATTCTTTTTGGGGATAAGAGAGGAATGTGAGGAATGGGAAAAACATTGCAAACTGCTCTACTTTGACACCAATGATGGTAACAAAGCCATAAATGATATGTCACCGAGAGCCAGCCTAAAAAACCCAAAAATCTTCTAAAAATAATTTAAAGTATCTATACTATTAAAATCTTGCAACAGTTTCCTAATAATTTTAAGATTCACTAGCAATGATTTTTCTTTTTCTGAAAGACAGTTTTTTCCAAGCAGCTAACAAGGATCTACTAGTTGCAGCTGTGCTGTACTGGAATAAGCTCCGGGTCTAGGTTTTAGCCTAGGTCTGACTGTTTATTGTGTATCCCCTCTTGAAGTGATTCAGAGATGGCCTCCACTGTAAAACACGAACAATACTTATATCTCACACAGCTCCTAGGAAGACTGCATGAGAAAGCATAAAGCATTTTGAAAATGACACACTGAAAGGTATTATGTGTTACCAGGAAGTTGTAGTAAATCACTGTATAGCTGCATGTTAGCAATTCAAAACTGGTTATTTGAGTCAGAAAAAGACCCAAATGAATTTAAAATTCATAGTCTATAAAAAAAGGCAAAGTATTTTTTCCTCCAGTAATGAATAACTCAGATTCAAGTTTTTCCTTGTACCTGATGGCCACCGTTCTCTAAAAACCGAATTTAACTGGTTTGCGAGATTGAGTTGTCCACTTTGGACGCGATTCAAACACCGTGTTTGAAAATCACCACCTGTGTGGCTTTAGAAACGCCGCCTCCCAGCCTTTCCCTGTAACCGTAAGGGCAAGCACAGACACCCAAACGCAACGCCTGCCTCGCGATAAACTCAAAATGCGCTCGGAAAAGCGCCTAAGGAGAGGGCTGCGGCCACGGACGAACATCTCTGCAACTGGAAACGCACGTTCAGGACACGCACGGCTGAGAGCCCCCGGCCGGAGGACAAGTTTCACCTGCAGCGACTGCCCGTGGGAGTGCGCGCCGAGCTCCCCGGCAGCACGGGCGTCCGCGGAGGGCAGGGTCTGAGTCCCGACAGGCGAACGCAAAGCCACAGCCGCGGGGGCAGCGGACGGGCGCGGGGCTCTGCACAGCCCCCGGCACGTGGGTGCCGGCGCGGGCAGGGTCTCCGCCGCGGGGAAGGTGTCCGTGGGAATCTCCCGGCTAAGGAAGGGCTCGGGTCTCAGCCCGACCCGTGAGTCCGCAGCCCCGAGGAAGGACCCGAGTGTGGGGGCAGCGCTAGGACGACCCCCGCCCTCCGCCCTTGCAAGCCGGGGCGGGGATCCTCTATCGCAGGGGGCAGAAGGGCACTCGCCCGGGTCCCCCGGGTCCCGAGCAGATCGCGGGTCACGGCCGGCCCGGGGGCGAGGGCGCGGGCCGAGGGGTCGCGGGGGCCGGGCGCGTACCTGAGGTCAGCGCGCGGGCGACGGTGGTGCCCTGGCCGTCCGCCGCGCTCGGCAGTAGCAGCATCTTGGCGCACGGACTCGGCCGGAGGGGCGCAGCGGCTCACGTTCCCGGCGGAGGGCCCTCGGCGTCCGCGCCAGCTCTACCTGCCCGTCTGAGCCTCGCGCCCAGGATCTCCGGCGCCCAGGAACCGGCGCATGGAGACGACTAGTAAGCACTTCCGGGATGGGTCTCTCGCGGTGCGTCTGCCAATCCCACCCCACCAGCCGCGCCAACGTGTGCGGCAGCGGGGTTCCGTTGCACACTCCGATCCGGCTGGAGACAAGTGCGCACAAAGGAATGGTTCCTAGCGTCGTTAGTTTCCTTAGGAAGAGAATTACTGTACAGTATCTCTCTCTTCCAAAAGCAATTACGTAGGAGAGAACTTTTAAAAGCAGCTCGAAAAGAAAACAAAATAAGCTCATGTGGTCGAAGTTCTGGGTTAATCCCCAACATAAACTGAAATCAGCTTTAAATGCCTACTACTTTATGTATTAGTCTCAACCTCTTATTTTTCCAGCAGATGTATTTGTATACATAAAAAATGAAGAATCGTGTAGGAGCTAGTATTGATGATAGATCCCTTTGTATATATACATCCCTAATTATGGACGTATTCCTGTGATGCATGTGGGTTTACCTTCACCATAAAGGGAGCAGCTAACATTTGTCGTGTTATTGCAATTTATCTGCAGTATCTCTTGTAATGCTTATTTGGAGAAGAGAATACACTTTAGTGTTAGGTCCTGTTTCAATGCCACCAATATGTTTAACCTACTCTAAGAGAAATTTTTTCCCAAGATATTTTCAAGTACAGGACTGCGGGGTTCGGTTATTGTAAAGTTAATTGTATTCCTACCGTTAACTTCTTTCTCCATAGGACTGAGAGTAAAAGAAAAAAACCAGCAAAAGAAAACGGGTGCATGAAAGCTCACCCCTAGTAGCAGCATGTTGAACATGGTAGGTAAAATGGACTTGAGGTGCCACTATGCAGCAAGGACCACCCACAGTTAGCAAATAATTTTGTAGAAATTTTATTTTCACTGTTACCTACCTTGAATTCCACTGTATAGCTGCACGACCAACCTCTCACTTCAAAATTGATATCCAAAAAATTTATTATCGCCTCCCTTGGGGAACCTTCCCCTGACCCCTGTCTTAATGTAGCCACTGTTAAAATATGCCCTAAATTTCAAACCTGACCTCACTGTTTTGGTTTGGTTTGGTTTGGTTTTTTGAGAGAAGATCTTGCTGGATTCCATCTTGCTCTGTAGTCTAGGCTGGCTTCAAACTCCTCATCCTCCTACCTCAGCTTCCTTAGTGCTGAGATCACAGGTGTGCACCACCACACCTGGCTTTCAATGTCTTAATATTTTTTCCTCATGCCTCCTCCCACACGGTTTTATCACCTTTAAGATAAGTTTTTAAAAAAAAAAACTGTAAAATACACATAATAGGAAATTTATCATTTTCGCTGGGTGTGATGGCACACACCTGCAATCCCAGCACTCGGAAGTCTGAGGCAGGAGGATCATTGCGAGTTTGAGACCAGCCTGGGCCACAAAGTGAGCTCCAGGCCAGCCTGAACTGCATAGTGAGACCCTGTCTCAAAAAGACAACAACAAAAAAGAAATATACCATTTTCATAAGTTTAAGTGTACAGCTCAGTAGTGCAAAGTGTATTCCTAACTACTCTCTAGTACTCTTTTCATCTTGCAAAACATCCCTGTTCCAGCCACTGGCAACCACTCTCTTGCTTACATCTGTATGAATTTAACTCTCCCAGGTATCTCATCAGAGTGCAGTCACACCTTATTTCTTTCAGTGACTGCCTTATTCACAAGCACAATGTTCTCAGTGTTCATCCGGATTGTAGTAAGTATCATTTATTTTTTTGAAGGCCGAATAATAGTTTGTTCTATCCATATGCCACATGTTTTATTTATCCACTCATCTGTAAATGGCCATTTGGGTTACTTCCATCTTTGGTCTACTATGAATAATGCACCTATGAGCCTGGGTATACAAATTATCTCTGAGACTGCTTTCAATGTCATAGGATGAATATGTATATATATAGAATTGCTAGATCATATAGTACTTCTATTTTTACTTTTGAGGAACCACAGTTTTCCACAACCATTACATCATTCTACATTCCTACTAATGGTGCACACATTTTACTTTTCCATATTCACACCAGGTATTTTATCTCTTTTTCTTTCGTTCGTTTTTTTCTTTAGATAGTATAAGGTAGTTTTGATTTGCATATTCCTAACAACGTTGAACATCTTTTATGTGTTAGCCATTTGTGCATCTTCTTCCCCACTCCCCAGTGTTTACTGACTGATACTGAAACGTGTTAGTACACGTCTGTAGCACATAATGACTATTCATCGTGGGGAATTGGTACCTGAAGGTAACACTTCTTAATTCTTTTTTTACCTCCCCTTCCCTCCCTTCCATTTGTATATCTCTGGAGAAGTGTCTATTCAAGTTCTTTGCCTATCTTCTTTATTTCTTTGGTTTTTTTCCTTGCTCATTTTAAAAGTCATAGTGTTTTGTTGTTGAGTGTAGTTTTGTGTGTATTCAGGATATCACCTCCTTAGGAGAGATGTGTTACCTTTGCTCTATTTGTAGCTCTAGTCTCTGGGGCTTGTGCTAACACAGCTGGCATTTGACAAACGTTATTCAGTGCCTTCCCATTCCTGTGCGGTGAAGGAGAAATTAAAATTTAGAGATTATCCAAATTACCCACGATTGCACAGTAAATAAATGACTAAACAAGGACTTAAACTCATCGACTAAGCCAGGGCTGCTCTGGGAATTTCCTGATCAGGGTTCAGGGTTCTCCAAAGACCTGAGACGGTGAGGTCGAGGGGGAGCGGCCTTTCCTGCTGACAGGTGGAACCTTTCGACGCGGGACCTGCGAGTCAGCGAGTTCCTCGGAGCTCTTCCGCCTCTCGGGCGCAGTGGGAAGTGGCCGAGCCGGGTTCTACTTCCGGTAGGGAAAGGAAAAGAAAGAGCACTGTCGGAAGTAAGGAAGGTGCTGTGTAATCACCAAGGAGCCGAGGCGCTTGCATCTCCTAAAATGCCGGATTACCTCGGCGCCGACCAGCGGAAAACCAAAGAGGATGAGAAGGACGACAAGCCCATCCGAGGTCAGTTGGCCCGGCCGAGCGCGCAGCCGGGGTGGGGCGGGCTGGGGCGCAGGGTTCTCACCTGGCTCGGGCTCCGTGCCGTTCTGACCCCGGAGATTTCGTCCGGGCCGGCGGTCCCGGGCCGCCCGCCCGCGTCCCTCCTCCCACGCCAGTCCTGTGTTCCTCTGCGGCCCGTCGGAGGTTTTCCTCATTCGCAGCTGTCGGAAGTCAGGCACCGTCGGCCTCACAGCCCCCCGAAGCTCCTCTGCCTGGCGCTGCGGGCTACCTGAGCCTCGTCCCCGTCGTCCCCATCCGCGCTCAGCCTGACAGCTTGGTGCCGTCGCGGTAGAGCCAGAGATCACGCAGAGCTTTCTTTAAAATTACGTCTGTTTGACTAGACTGGATGTTCACAAGGTTCAGAACTCAAGATTAGGAAAGGTAGCACTTGAGGTCTCCCGATCGTGGTCCCAGCCTCCAGCTTCTTCGCACTGGCGGCTTCTCTTGACACTTTACGTCCCCCTAGACCTTTTCTGTACGTACGTGTGCATACGTGCAGGTCTGCATGTGTGCATTTTTATAACATGTAGCGTGCTATACATACCTCAGCATCTTTTTACATCTTAATTTATTTTGGAGATAATTTTATATCATGTAATCTGTCTCTTTTTTTTTGTTTTTCTCCGGTACTGGGAACCGAACTCACGACCTTGCGCTTGCCAGGCAGGCGCTTTGCCGCTGAGCTAAATCCCCAACCCCATGTAATCTGTCTCTACGTCTGCATCGTGTACGGTTTTATGGGTGTACAACACTATAATATAATATTTAATCAATCGCTGATGGACATTTAGATTTCTCCAATATGTCACCTTTATAAAGCGCCTTGTTCTTATGATTTTTACCACATGGAGCGTGGGGTAAACTCTAGAAGTGGAATTGTAGTTTTGACAGTGTCAAATTACTGTTCCGTAGACAGTGTACCCGTTAACGTTTTTTCACTCAGTGTGCATGAGGTATACCTACCACTTTGGGACATGACTTCTTCCTAGTAACACCTTTTGTAGTCTCATCTTTATGCTGTGTTCTCCTTTTGTTCCTTGTAACCTATTTTTAAATGTAGTTAGAGTGTTTTTAAAAATATCTTTCACTTTCCCTTATTTTTTTTTAAGTGACTTCAACCTCTCTGCGCACCTTTTCTTCACCACTAGCACCCTCCCCTCAAGGAGGATTTTCTTTCTATCTTCAACCCAAGTTATTTCCCAGAAATGTATTTTAAAACACTGAAAGCTTCAGGGGTACTCAATACCGATTGCAAAGCTTTAGTCTCAGAAATTTAGTAGTGGATCTGTGCATAGTGATCTTGTCTAGGTGTGCTATTGTGTAAAAATATTAACAAAATATTAATAAATGCATTTCTTGGGTGCAGTTGTAGTTACACAGAAATTTTTTATTTCATCTGCATCTTACTTGATCTTTACAGAAACACTGAAGGCAAAGCTAGTAATATCTCAATTTTTCAGATGATGAAAAACTAGCAGAGAGGTTAATTAGTTTCCCCAAGGTTACCTGTAAGGGAAAATACATGACCTTTTCAGGTTTAACCCCCACGTTGTTTCATGCCCCTGTTATTTTGGCCCCCTACTTTCATTTTATGGTGTCATTTTGAATGTCTTCACTTACTGACGATCTTTGATCACCTTGGTTGTTCGATTTCCATCATTCCTGCACCATAGCCACCTGAGGAGGGGATCACTCTTTTCCATGTTAAAGGAAGCTGCTTCACTTCTGAAACAGCAAACTTCCATTTCTCCTCTCATCACAGCTGTTTTGGTTTGATTTTTTTTTTTTTTTAATTTGGTATTTGAGATGGTCTCACTGTGTAGTCCAGGCTGGCTTTGAGCTCAAGGTGATCCTCCTGTTTCAGCCTCTCGAGCCCTGGGATTACAGGCGTGTGCTGCCATGCCTGGCTTCCGTCATAGCTTTTTGCTCTGCAGTCTTCCATTATCACCACACCTTCACCTGACCTGTCTCTAGATCTGTCCTTCAGTCTAGTTGTCCTTTGTTTCCTGGTTCAGCCTGTTGCATTTCTCCACAACACACTTAGCATCCCCATCTCTGCTCGCTGCCCTTTTGGCTCTGCCCCCTTTAATTCTGAAAATGCCATAGTTTCTTGTCTGTTTCTAGCCATAGGCTGCCAGTGTCAGTCAAATAAGTCACAAAAAACTGGTTAAGTTACTTCCAATTCATTTTACCCTAAAAACACAGTCAGGCCTGGCGTGGTGGCGCACGTCTGTAATCCCAGCACTTGGGAGGCTGAGGCAGGAGGATCGTTGCGAGTTCGAGACCAGCCTGGGCTACAAAGTGAGCTCAAGGCCAGCCTGAACTGCATAGCAAGACCCTGTCTCAAAAAAGACCAAAGAAAAAAAACCAAAAACACAGTCAGTTTGGAAAATCTTTCCTTTGCTTCCTAAAAGTGGCTAAAAGGATAGTTGGGAGTTAAGACCAAGGTTGAATCTTGGCTTTGCTTCTTACTAGCTGGGTGATAGTGGTCAAATCACTTAGAGTTTTTTCTCATGTGTAATGTGAAAATAATTATATTCACCCTACAGATAGATATAGGATTAAGTAATCTTTCTGTGGAATATCTTTGTCTTTAATTACAGTGTCTCCTACAGTGAATATTTCAGTAAAAGGCAGCTATTATTACTATTGTGTCTACTGTATCTGTTTCTTCACTGCTTACTGCATATTTAAAATCCCTTGCAGTTTGCTTTCTGTGCCTAGAAATCTGCTGAAACTGATTAGTGGTTTCTTAACACCCATTGAGTATTTCCTCAATCATGATCTTTGTGTTTTTGACATTAATATTGCTCTCCCGTGGTTCTCTTATTTGAAACTTCCTGTTTGTTCTTCTCTAACTGCTTCTGCTCTTCGTTATGTCCTCACATGGTTTCTGTAAAGTTTTGTTTCTTGTAATTTCATCATTCTCTTTTGAGACTGTCTGTTCTCAAATATGATCCCTAATCAATCTTTTGTACCTCAGGGTGGCACCGAAACTCTAGAGCCTTTTAGATTGCTGCATCGAGATAGGCTGTTTTGTTACGGGGTCTCCATGACTGCCCTCAGGTCAGTAATTTGCTAGGAGTCTCGGGATTTAGCGCGCAGTTGTCCTTGTGACTGACTTACTATATATAGCAAAAGGCTCCAAAGCACAACCATCAAGGACCAAAAACACAAGGGACATGAGCTGAAGTCTAGGGAAGTCAGGATGAGCTTCCAAAGTTTGTCTTCTGGTAGAGTTACACTGGATGCTCCTGATTTTCCCAGCACAGGTTTGACAACATGTGTAAAGGTTAGCACCCAGCAAAATTTGTTAGAGACTCAGTTTTTGTCAGGGACTTGTCATGTGAGCAGCCTCTGTCTAACACATACCCAGATTTCAGCCTCAGAAGGAAAGCAGGTGTTCTGCATAAAGCATGTTTGTCCCGTTTAGGCACAGTGAACTACTCTTCAGCAGTTTTGGGAATGGCAGGAGCTCTCTCAGAATCCACTTTCAAGGGCTAGCCGTGTAAGCAGGCCTTTCTGAGGGTGGCAACCATGTCTACTCCATTAGATTTTCTGCAGTTTAGGTTTCAAACCTTCTGCCAAAGGCTTCTCTGCAACTTTTCTGATTCCATAAAAAGGTGCCACCTTCCTCTGAGGTACCCAGGACAAAGCCTGGAGATCATGTTTCATTCTTGTCTTGCTCAGCGTTTAGTCATGTGCCGTGTGCTATGCATTCCTCCTCTGAGGACTTTCTCCCCAACCTTTGCTTTCTCTTTTCATTGTCACCATCTTACATGAGGTTCTTGTGACTTCTATCTGGCGTCACTTCAGTCTTTTCTCAACATCTTAGCTAATTCTTCCTCACATTGAGTTCTGCTATATGATAGACCTGGCATGACCCTTATTAACTTGTGGCCTTCATGGGCTTCCTCGCCAGACCTCCAGCTATGTACCTAATTTCCTTTGCTCCCTAGCAAGTATGCCAGTGGCAGCTAGACTGGTCTAGTTGCTGTTACTTAAGCATGCTTAACTTGCTTCTACTCATATGTGAATAATACTGTATAAACGTACACATATGTGTGTTTATGGCCATATTCCACAGAGAAACAGAGTTCAGAAGTGTCAGTGACAAGCCAGGTTTCCCTTCTAACACATTCCCTGTCCAGCTGGTGGCTGAGGGTCTTGGATGACACCACATTGCCATCACTTCTGGATGAGTGCTGAGAGAAGAGTGTGTTCACAGGAGGCTACAAAAGTGCATGAATGTTGTTGTGGGAGTCACAAGTGACTAGGCAGGTTGACAAATGCAGAATCCATTAAAGAGAACTGAGTGTAAGTCACTTGCAATCCCAGATACCCACTGTTAACATTTAGAAAACAATTGATGCTACTCTACATTTGTTTTAAAGAATTTCTGTATGAAGCACATTATGTGCATGTTCTGTATGTTTTTGTAAATTTGTTTTTAACCTGCCTCTTTCAAAATAGTACTTCTGGAATGGCTTTTTATGTACGCATTGTTGTATGTTATTATTTTCAATGACTGCATTGCATTTCAAAAGAAAAAATGAAAAAACATTGGAGATGTAGTTCAGTGTGAAGAGTCTGGGTTTAATCCCAGTACCAAGAAAACAGAAACAAAAGCCAATCTGAAATGAGCAGAACAGCTGGTCAGCCTTCACCAACTCTCATTTATTTTCTCTTCCTTTAGCTCTGGATGAGGGGGATATTGCCTTGCTGAAAACTTACGTAAGTTCTTTAAATGTCTATAAAATGTAGGTGTTTTATGTTAGAAACTATTTGGCTTTGTCCTTCCAAACTAACTAGAAGATAATTTCTAGCAGTTCACAGTAATCCTCATTTACTATGAAGAGATGTTTATTTCAGCATGTCTAATCTTATCCATTATTTTTACACCATTTGTCAATAAAGTATGGCTGTGTTGAAATATATTTGAAATAATTTGCACAAATGTTTATAATATTTAATATGTAACTGCATTAGCTCTGAAATAGAAAGTTTGAACACCAAAATATTTTCCTTTGTTGTCTTCCATGATAGGTTATCTGTTATCTGTTTGGCTTAGAAATACTTCTAAAAATGAAACTCTTATTTTTACTTCACAAGCTTTAGGACATAAAAGCTTTTTTTTTTTTTTTTTTGGACCGGGAATCAAACTCAGCACCTTGGGCTTGCCAGGCAGGCGCTTATACCACTGAGCTATATTCCCAGCATGAAAACTGTTAAGTCTCAGTTGTTTGATTTGTTGTTTAACAAATGATTGACATCCCAACTTCTTACCAAACTGATTGTCCTCACCTAGGGTCAAAGCACATACTCCAGGCAGATCAAGCAGGTGGAAGATGATATTCAACAACTTCTCAAGAAAATTAATGAGCTCACTGGTATGTACTTTTTTTATTCCAATTTCCTCCCTGTAAATGTAATGTGTTAATTATACTAAAATAGTTTAAATGCAGATTTGACTCCTTCATGAATTACAGATCTAAAATATTACTAACCTTCCTCTCTGTTAAGAAGTTGTATCTCAGCCAGATGTGTTGGCATGTACCTTCATCTCAGCAGTTCGGAAACGCTGAGGCAGGAAGATCACAAGTTCAAGCCCGGCTTTGGCAATTTAGTGACTTAATGAGACCCTGTCTCAAAATAAAAAATAAAAAGAGCTGAGGATATAGCTCAGTGTGAAGGCTTGGGTTTAGTCCCCAGTTTCACACACACATACACACACACACACAAATATGGGGTCTCATTTAACAGTCTTTTTCACTCCTTTTTATTTATTTATTTTTTCCACTGCTTTTTAAAACTGGGCTTAATGTTTATTCAACTAAGAACCAACATCCTCTAAACAAGGAATGTTTCTTTTGATCAAAGCCTAGTTTAGTAAACCCTAATAAACAAGTCAAAAGTTTTTATTGAATAAAAATATGATTTCACATAGGATTGCTGAAATGAGGCTGTTGCCTAGTTGTTAGAAACTTACCCCCTTGGGAACCTGAGAGATGAAGTGTTACAGTGCTTGACCTACACCAGAAATGTCAAAATGGCACTGAATTTTGGTTGATGGTTCTTTCAGGGCAGTGGTTTTCCATGGCATGTGTCCCCTGCCCCAGCTTGGGGGAGTGTGGAGCCAGTCTTGATTCACCTGACTTGAGGGAAGGTGACATCTAGTGGCCAGAGGCTGGGGACACTGCTGGAACCCCAGGAGCACAGGACAGGCCCCACAAAGGTTACTTAACCCTCGATGCCCCCTTGCTGAGGTTGAGGAAGCTTGCTTTGGGGCACTGTGCTGCACGTCAGTGACGCTTCGGTGCTTCTCTCCACAGGTATTAAAGAGTCTGACACTGGCCTGGCGCCTCCAGCGCTCTGGGATTTGGCTGCAGATAAGCAGACTCTGCAGAGCGAGCAGCCTTTGCAGGTGGCGAGGTAGGCACAGTTCTCCGCGGGTATTTTTGTCTGTATTTGCTTTAGACTTTCAGGATAATACAGTAGTTTATAAATAATATTTATTCCACATTCCACCTGAGGAAAGCTTTCTACCTGAGTATCTAAGCACTTTCTCCCCCCAAAACAAGACCCTGGCCTACAAAGCAAAGATTATTTTGGAAAAGTTCCCATTAGGTTTTTAGTCGTTAACCTTTTGCTCAAAACTCTTGATAAAAATGTGTATATTTTTTAATGTGTGATATTTTAGTGTCAGACTTATTGATAGAAAATTCATATCCCATAAAGTTCACTCCTTTTAAGTATATAATTCCGTGGCCTTTAGTGTGCATGAGGTTGTGCACTGATGACCATGACCTAATTGGAGAATAAAAACATTTCTTCCATCACACCAAAAAGAAACCCCGTACTCATTGCCCTCTGCCTGGGCCCTACGTGTGCTGATCGCTTTGTTTCAGAGTTTGCCTGTCCTGGACATTTTGTATAAATGGAAACACAGCATACGGCCTTTTGTTTCTGGCTTCTTTCGCTTGGCATATTTCAGAATTCGTGTATGTTGTAGCATGTATCTAAGCTTTGTTTCTTTTTATGGCCAGATGATACTCCAGTCCATTTTCTCTGTTTATTGAGGCTCTCTGTTTGGGGAAGCCTGTTCACGTACTTGTCAGTTCCTGTAGTTCTTTGAAGATACTTGTGATACTAATTTAAAGTTTTTGTTTAGTAAAACCAACATCTGAGCTTCCTGAGGGACAATTTTTGGTTTGTTTCATGAGTTTTTCTGCTTTGTTCGTGGTGCCAGGGAAGGGTCTGTCAGATGAAGCAGTGATGTAGACAATTCTTTTTCCTTAGTGCGTCTGGCCTGATTTGGAAAACAGTTCAGTCACACAGTTATGCTCTGAGGACAGAGCATTTGAATTTGTAGCTCTCTCTGTGTGTACACCCCAGAGGCCATCCTGTGTGTCTCTGTATTTGTTGCTATGGCTTAAGTGGCAACTTTCTAACATGCCTTCTGCTTTGTGTTTCTGACTTTCTTCAGTAGACAGATACTGTAGATCCTATGATGCACATGGTATATAAATTCACTCAGGAAGTGAATACATTTAAGTAAAAAGTAGCCATAATTAAAAAAAAAAAAGAATGTAACACATTCTCATCACCTTGAACCATGGGATACATGCATGACTGTCCCATTGGGCCACTTTGTAGCACTGGTGGTATGAATAGATCCCATTGCTTTTATCAGCCGTTTTACTAATAAAATTACTAAAGAAATCTGTACGTGGACTGAATCTAGTTGTTTGAAGTTGGATAATTACTTCCCAGATGTAAAATTAATTCATACTGAACATACCAATTAAAAATTATGGTAATCAACAAATTTAATAAATTAAAAGAAATTTATATTTTTGAATTTCTTTAAAACATTTTATACATAAAGGTGGCTGATTTGTGCAGGATACACAAAACGTCACGTGTTGGCTTTTTTTGGTAGTTACAGTGGTATTCATTTTTTCAGATGATTTTTGATAACATTTTCAGTATCACTTGTGCGTGTTTCTTGCTGACCCTAATTAAGCTTTTATAAAGTGAATGTTTTCTTGAGTAATTTGCACCCATGACATTTCTTCATGGGTTAATAATTTATTAGTAATTCTCTAAATTTTAACATAGAAGTTTTATAAGCACCTCGTTGCTGGTGTATATAATACGCATTTACACCTGCTATACCACAAATTAGCTGTATTACAATCTTTTACGCCATTTTAATGTTTTTCTTAAGGAACATATGATGACACCTGGTCTACTAAGTCACCTTTTTTTGCATTATTATAATCAAAGACCACCTGAGAAGTGGTAGAAGTCGGCTGACGGGCCAGTCAGTTCAAATCAGACCTGCCTGGTTTATGGCCCCATCATAAATATGTTAAAGTATAAACCTAGGAAAAAATGTAAGAGCATTTATTACTGAATTTGATATAACACAATATGGCTCTCCTCTTACAGGAAAGATAGGAAAAGAAAGCAAGATATAAAGGAATATCACTAATAAAGGAATATAATTAGGAAAGTTCAAGAACTCTCTAATGAAATATTTGGGTTCTGTTTTCCCAGGGGAGGCATCGTTTGAAAATGTTACGGCTTGATACAGTCCCATGGGCCCTTGGGCTGAGCATAGCAAGGGATCTGAGCTTTTGCAGTTCTCACTTACACTTGCTGTTTAGTATGCTGCTTGCCGGGAGAGTCAGATTACTTGAATACATTATTCGCGGTTTAGCGTCCTTATTTTAATCAAGCTTTTTGCTGTGTTAGGTGTACAAAGATAATCAATGCCGATTCAGAGGACCCAAAATATATTATCAATGTAAAGCAGTTTGCCAAGTTTGTGGTAGACCTCAGCGATCAGGTGGCACCTACTGACATTGAAGAAGGCATGAGAGTTGGGTAAGATTTCTCTGTACAGTAAATAAACTTCTTTCACCAAAGACAGCATATCACATTCACGCCCATGGCTTTGTTGTGAATGAGGGAGCAGAATGCCTTAAATACGAGGAGACAATCTGATAACAGCTAGAGTGGAGTATCCTTTCTTCTCCCTTGGCCCTCTGACTACACACCAGCTCCCCGCTTCCCACCCTTATATTGCTGTTTATGAGTAGTTTCAGATGTCATAATAAAAGTCAAGTGCAGAATCCCAGCGTTGAGCTTCCAGTCTGTTTAAGGTAACGTCACATGAGTGGAAGAAGCACTTGCTTGAGAATAGTTCTGAGGATTCAGTGAGTTAATGTCTGTAGAATACAAAATAATCCATCCAGTAAATTCTTTCAATCTCACCTTCTCCTTGGGTCTAGAGTAGGTTGTTGCCACTTTAGATTGGGGGTTTAGTGTCCTGAGTCTTAATGCTTTGTTTCTCTTGGTGTAACTTTAGGAGGTCTAGGTTTATTTTGCTTGAAGTATAGTTTTAGTGATGAAAGACTAAACTTAAGAACCCTTTGACAGCTTAAAGAGAATCTTAGTGACTTGTTTTTGTTTTTACCTTCTTGAGTGTGGACAGAAATAAGTATCAAATTCACATTCCCCTGCCTCCTAAGATTGACCCGACGGTGACCATGATGCAGGTAAGAAACCAAGGGAGGGAAAAGGACTGGCCTGACTTTGAATACAATTGTGTCCATCCCAAAAAAGTTTGAAAATTTTAACTAGTAAACTGTTAATACCTGGGTGTGTATCAGAATGGCCAAAATAGTAAAAGTAATTTTTCACTTGAGAAAGTCTTCATGGTAACTATTTTACTAGTCTCACTTATTAATGTCATAACAAATAATATAGCAACAGTTGTAGGACACTAGGAAATATATTCTATTTTGTTGAAACTCTTGTTATAATCTGATTCTTTCTGCATGTTATTGAGTCTGCTGTACTAGATATACACCAGTATTCAGAGGCCTTTGCCTAGATGTCATCATAGAATGTATCCCCCTTTCTAAGGTGGAGGAAAAACCTGATGTCACATACAGTGATGTTGGTGGGTGTAAGGAGCAGATTGAGAAGTTGCGAGAAGTGGTTGAAACTCCACTACTTCATGTAAGTAACTGAATGTTGGATGTATAGTTCATCCAAATGTATAGTTCATACAAAGATGTAATAGTCTTTTGTGTATTGAGCTCTAAAATTGCGTATGTATTAGATAGCTTTTAGGTTTAGTATTTTCCATAATGAAAATTTTTGACAGGGTAGAGGTGTAGAGAGATGATAAATTTCAGAAGAGGGGCAAGGAAAAAGGATTAAAGGGTCTGAAAAGAAAGATATGCTATTTAGGGGCTGGAGATATAGCTCAGTGGCACAAGTGCTTGCCTCGCAAGCTCAAAGTCCTGAGTTTGATTCCCAGTACCAAAAAAAAAAAAAGATATACTACTTAGATTGACAAAAGAAACTGAGCTGTAACCTCTAGCAATGTGTTAAATATACTACAGGTTATTATAGAAGAAAGTGTTCTAATGGCGTCAGGAAGGAAAGTGTTAAACTTTGGATGATAATGGAAAACTAGGATATTGAATACCAGATAATACTTAAAGACTGTTATTTTTTAAAGCAAGCAAAGTTTTTTGTTAAGCCTAAATAGCAAGAGTACCTTTAAAAGCCATTCTGCCTTCTGCCTTCTGTGTTGACAGAGTCTACTTTAGATCTTTGTCTTAGAATAAGTAAAATCCCTTTTTAGATCAGGTATGTAATCTGTGGGCTTAATGACCTTTAGAAGTAGAAGTACTCTTACCTTCATTATGCCGAAGTGGTAAGTAGAAACTGTGTCTGTGTCACACAGCCGGAGCGGTTCGTTAACCTGGGCATTGAGCCTCCGAAGGGCGTGCTGCTGTTCGGGCCCCCGGGCACAGGCAAGACGCTCTGTGCCAGGGCGGTTGCCAACAGGACTGATGCGTGCTTCATCCGGGTTATTGGATCCGAGCTTGTGCAGAAATACGTCGGTGAGGTAAAGTAAATTTGTCACAGACAAAAAATACTAGCTCCGTAAAAGATTTGCACAATAGGATTGAAATTAAATAAGAATGAATTCCACATCAAGGAACTGAGGCATGAAACTTCTCGAATGATTTAATTAGTAGTTTAGAAGCCCAGAATCCAGCAGCCTTCCCTGTGATCATTTGGAATTAGGCAACCACTTAAAATTTTAACTCGGGTGCTCCCCTCTCAGAAAGATGGCATTATGTACAATCTGGTCTGTGAGGTAAGCTCCTCAGAAATGCCTGGTGAATGAAACTTCATTTCACAGATAGTGTTTTGTGGCCTCACTACAGATAGCATAAATTGTCTATACGTACATATAGGGTTACATATATTTAGGGAATAAGTCTGGGGCTGTATATGTTATGGCTGAAAGCTTTTAATGATTAGCGTACTTCAGTGAAGAATTAGAAAACGAGCTACATGAGTTGGTATATATTTCCATTTTCTGATCAAAATTTACAAATGAAATTCAGTGATCAGCATTCTGAGTGGTCTGTCAGATGCTTTTATCTCCTCTCAAGTTTTGATAATTAGAATGGTGCTTTTATTCAGTAATGTTAATTTGGCCTCTTCAGTTCTTAAACTGCTATTTAGTAGATACAAAATTATTAAAATTGTTTATAGCAGTGTTTTGAGGCTAGAAAGATGGATTTGATGATACAGGTGGCAAACTTCAAGCTTTTTTAAAAAGCTTGTTAGTAACAGTTGAAAATACTATTAGAAATATGTATTGAAAAGTTTGTAGTACTGTATATCTTTTTATATAGTTTTAAAGATTTTTAAAACTGACTGAGTTAATAAATGAATTTTCTCATTAGGGCGCTCGAATGGTTCGTGAGCTCTTTGAAATGGCCAGAACAAAAAAAGCCTGCCTTATCTTCTTTGATGAAATCGATGCCATTGGAGGTACGAGCTTTATGATTGGATTTCTGAGATCTCTGTGTTAATATAGAGAGCCTGATGTGCTAATCTTATAAAAAAAATTTTATAAGCTCTGACACATGGGAGCCACATAGCTAATAAACAGTAGGGCTAAAGCATAAGTAATTAAGAAATATTACAAGACATTGACATTTTAAAAATTTGTACTATTTTGTACTACTTTATTTTTATACTAATTTCATTCATGTAAAACACATGTCCACACAAAAAATTCCCATATTGAGACGCATTTTACCTGAATGTGATAAGAAAGTACTGGTGTGTAGTTTAAGTGGCAGTGGTTTATTTTCTTTTACATAAAATAATGTTGTTTGGCTTCATAGATGCTACCTTCTGAGCCTCCATTTGGTCATCCCATAAAGGAAATTATAATTCCTGCCTTTATTTTATGAGGTTCAAATGAAGTAATAGATGCAATAAGACTTTGAAAACTCTGAGGTGTCCCATGCATTGGCTGTTGGTATAGTTTATAATTTTTATAGTTAGAGAAGTGTCATATGTCCACACAATTATTATTTAATAACTCACTGAGAAAATTACTTGAAAGTAATGGTGGTGCCTGTGACAAAGTTTGGGTAATGTGATTAGATACTTAAGAGTCTTGGTTTTAGACAGCTTGGCCAGTGCTGGTTTTGAATTTTGTGCCTTTAAAATGTTTTCAAAGGCCATAATTTGGCCACAGTATAATAATGCAAGGTCTGGCTCTAGAGTCGTTTCTGAAGTGTACTTGGTATAAGCCTCTGATGTCAGTGTACCCTGCAGCCACGGTTTCCAAAGTGGACTGTGTGTAAGATAGTCTATGAAGGTGTAGGAAGAAAATACTGGAATTGCCTTTTGTATTTTTAATCTCTTTTTTAAAATGTGCATTTGTGTGTCTTAGTGTACATAGCACATTAATACAAAGCCACCCATTTATATAACTTAAAAATGAAAAAAAATATTTGGAAGCTGTTAAACTTTTATTTTCTGCTTTTTGCTGATTGGGTTGAAGTGAGAGACCTACATGAACATAGAGTCCTTCAGTATATCCAAGTCAGCTTAGTAGGAATCTGTTCCCATTCTACTGTAATATGGATTTAGCCATATTTTAAGGAACAGTTTTGAGAATTAAAACAGTATGACTGTTTCCTACATAAAATTAAGCGCCGTGGTAGTGTTGAAGTTTGCATGTCACTGTCGCCTCACCCCCACGTGCATTGTGTTAAACAACAAGGGGTTTGGTGTTCTTGAGCGATTTGATACATTAAGATCTTCAAAAGTACTTTGAAGAAGACTGTGGTAAGCAAATCTGTAGTGAATTCCTGCAGCAAAGATTCACCTTGCGGTGAGTTTCGGGTGGAGCAGCCGCTGGCTCAGAGTGGAGCCTGCGCTTGGGCGGGAGCACTCTCCGCGGCTGGGCCTCCCCATGCTGGCGCAGCTCTGAGGAGCTTCTCTTTGTCTTCTCAGGGGCCCGGTTTGACGATGGTGCTGGCGGTGACAATGAAGTGCAGAGAACCATGCTGGAACTGATCAATCAGCTGGATGGCTTTGACCCTCGTGGGAACATTAAGGTGCTGATGGCCACTAACAGACCCGATACTCTGGACCCAGCGCTGATGAGGCCGGGGAGACTGGACAGAAAGATTGAGTTCAGCTTGCCTGATTTAGAGGTAAGAAAATCATATTGGTTTAGAAGAGATTGTTGAAGTTTTTCCTTCCTGTGATATTTTTACATTGTAATGTTTGTCAATTCCTTCATCTTTAGGGTCGGACTCACATCTTTAAGATTCATGCTCGTTCAATGAGTGTTGAAAGAGACATCCGATTTGAACTGTTAGCACGACTGTGTCCAAATAGCACTGGTGAGTGGGAAGGTCTTGCTCATTTTGCTGTCGGTCTGTCTCGGCCAGTTTACTTCATCGTATTTACTTTCTTTTTGTTTGACAGGTGCTGAAATTAGAAGTGTCTGCACAGAAGCTGGTATGTTTGCCATCCGGGCGCGGCGAAAAATCGCGACTGAGAAGGATTTCCTGGAAGCTGTAAATAAGGTCATTAAGTCTTACGCCAAGTTCAGTGCTACTCCTCGCTACATGACATACAACTGAGCCGCAGAGGCTTTCAAATGAAAGCAGCTGTAGTCGGGATCCTGAGCGTACATAGACTTGTTAACAACCACCTCACAAAAAATAAATGTTTCAAAATTGTGTGCTTCTTCCAGGTCTCTTTTTTCTGTAGTATGAGGTGATATCTAATATCATTAGACAGGAAAGCTTGTCACACTGTGTCATGACTGATTTTTTTTTTTGGTACTGGGAATCAAACTCATGACCTTGCTTGCCAGGCAGGCGCTGCACTGCTGAGCTATATCCCCAGCCCTGATGACTGTTTTTTTTTTTTTTTTTTTCGGTTTTTGATCCACTACCGTTTAAAGGTTTCATGTCATAGAAAACACTTCGTCAGGTCATGTGTATTCTAGGGCTGTGCTGGTTGGGGCCATACACATGTTGTCATTATATCTTTCCATCTCCCCGGTGAAGATGGTCAAAATAGTAGATGCAAACCTTTTCCTCCTTAATTTTCTTGTAGTGTCAGGGCTGGGATTAAAGTGTAATGTGCTAGCTCCATTAGCTGTTCTGCTGTTAGGCTCTTCTGCCCCCGTGAGAACAGCTTACCTGAGTGTTAGACCACCTGTGCTGCTGTAGTTTCCCCTCCTGTGTTGAATGATCAAGATTTGGCCAAACCTTTAAAGTTAAAGTATTTGATACATTTTGCTTTGCCCTATGACTGACTAAATTAATCAGCTAGAGAAGGTAAAGTATTTAGTAGGTAAAGCAAACAGAAAAATGTGGTAACTTAGAAAATCTAGAGTTGGCTTAATACAGAGAAGTAATTATATTCATTTTATAAATTAGTTTCTTGGATTTTCTTTTTAAGCTGAGGAGTTTCAAATTTTTGTAGAGCTCCTATTCCACTTCTTAGCCAGTGAGGTATTTTGAAAATTATATTCATTTTATAAATTAGTTTCTTGGATTTTCTTTTTAAGCTGAGGAGTTTCAAATTTTTGTAGAGCTCCTATTCCACTTCTTAGCCAGTGAGGTATTTTGAAAATAAAGGTTGTGTTAGAATCCTCAACAGATTTATTTAAAATTATTTCATGTACCACCAAATCCCCTTTTCTACCACAGTTAGTCCCAGCCACTCTAAATACTGAGACCAAAGCACAATAACCAATATTTTTATTGAAGAAAAATATTCATAAATAAATGCCAAAACAGTGAAAACTGAATTAATTTTTTAAGTCACAGAAGGAAAAGTTGATAGTGTAGAAAAAACTGTTACATTGAAATATTTAAGATTATAAAAGTTTTCAAGTAGAAAAATTGAAGCCCTTCATTCATAAAATCCAATTAATATTCCTTCTTTAATTTTTGATCAGGAAAATTCTCCTTTTCTAACTGCCCTGGTCTTTCTTGAGTATGAAATAGAGCAAACCACCTCCAGCTTACGCTTACAGTACACTGTACTCAGGGGGGTGACTGGAGAGGTGAGTTTAGAATGTGCTGTTTAAGTAAACGAGCACTAGAACACACTGAAGTCCTCCCCTTTCATGCAGCCACACCCTCGGGTACAGCACGGCAACTCACACTGGACCCGCTGTGCTCGCTCAGGATGAACATGACAAAATCTGAGTAATTTTGACCTTTCAGTTAGACATGAAAATCCAAATGGCTTCATATTAACTACACTGTGAGTTAGTTGAAACATGTATATATTTCTGCCTAAGTATAATTGTACAGATAGAATCAACACTATCTGGATTAGCATGTTTGTATTCTATTTAAAAAGATAAAATAATACATTTACTGTTAGCTCCCCCCACCTAAAACACACCCGTGTGTATGCACATACAGGTGGTCCTTGTGGTTTCAAAGTGATTTGCACTTAGCAGAAACTACATTGAATTGTGATGTCCTGGACTGGCAGTAGGTATGTAGCCAGGTACCCCTGAGGGCAACAGTGTTTTATTCAGTAGGTTAGGTGTATTAAATGCTTATTAATGTATCATATTTTCGTTTTATCATGGGTTTATGAGGATGTGACTGCATCCTAAGCTGAGGATCATCGTTGTATGTGTTGATGTAATATATCTATATGTAATCTCCACATACACACATAAATCAGGGTACAAAGGGGTTATGACTAGCAAGATTATCCTGTAGAGTTTCTTTAAAAATATTTTTTAAAAAGCTGATTAGATTTATAAAAAATTTAATTTCCATGATGCTACTCAAATTCATCTATTATGTAAAGTATGATGAAAGCCATGGTAAGCCTTTCTTTAAGCAAGGATAGGTGTTTAAGGTGCTCAAACTTGATTCAGTCCAAGTCAGTAAGCAGGCATGTAACTTGGTGCAGTAGTAACATCTGAGCATTTCATTGCTGGGATTTAAGGGGTTTCAAAAGTATTGTATGCATTTTGGTTGGCTGTATACTTAGAGAATTCGATAACACTTTTTATCATTTCTCAAGCTTTCATAAGCACTCAAAACATCATGAATAAACTTACTGAATCCTAAAAGCATTCCCAAAAGGTGCACTTTGACCATTTTACATTCATAAAAGCACACAGGCTCACACCAGGAAAGTTTTTTCGTTTTAGAATTTAAATTGAGTTAGTATTTTTAAAGGGCAGATGTTAGACCAAGGCCTTCCCCACCACATACCCTTCCCTCCCTCATCCCCACACAAGGGCACACCCCCCACCCCCCAGCACACGAAAGCACACTACCCACTCTAGGGCAGACTTGCTTAGCTACCCTTTCTTCATACACACACAGGTCAGGCTTATTTTCTCAAAATACACAGGTGGAGGTTAGTACCTCCTTTCTCTGCTAGACAGGTAAGAATACAGGATCAAACAACACAATAGATATTTTAGACATTATCTGAAAACTAAAAAATGAGCTACTACCAGAGCTTGAAGTAGATCCAACTCTTCAGTTCTAGGTTCCACTGTAGACGCAATTGGGAGCCCACTATCAGCCACTGGATGCTTACGTGACTCAGCGTCTGTACAGTGGAGTTTCATTGGCTCTGGCCTACAGCTGTTTTCAAATATATGCCATTTATCCAAGAGGCAGAGAGCCTCTGTCATACCATGCAGGATTTGAGGGAAGACAAAGGACTTCTCTTTATGAGGCCCTTCCTGAAAATAAGGCTTTCTCATAAAATGACTAGTCTAGGCTCCATGTCTGTGTGGATTATTCCCATTTTGATGACAGAGCAAGATGGGTCTGAATTTGAATCAGTGAAAAGCATAGTAATGCATAAGTCAGCAGCTATTAAGCACCAGAAAGAACAAGCTGTGTTAACACATAATTCCTTGAAAGATAAAGACTAATACAAAAAGTCAGGAAAATTTCTACTATGAGATCATTTAAAACATTCAGACATATTTACATAAAGTGTTTTTTGAAACATACTCTTACATTCTCAGATGCATCATAAAACAAAAATACATTTTCCCACCTTCAGAGAGATTTAAGTGCTTTTTATGTACACAATAGTTTCTCCTCAAAACAGGATAAAAATTAAAGAACAGAAAAGTAAAATATAAAATGTAAGCTATAGACAAATATATTTTTTGAACCTTATTCGTTACTAGGACTTGAGTGTCTACTGTGCAAAAGGCATTTGTTGAAAACTGATGCTAAAGAATATTCAATGGAGTATTTTATATTCTAGTTCAATGGCTGAAATGATGTGGGCCCTTTTATATAAGTTTCTAGTACAAGCTAAAGCTCTGGAACTACATGCTCTTTCAGAAGGCAGTCCGTGTCAGAATGCAGATGTATCTGACCTTGTGCGTGTGATCATAAAAAGAATAACCAGGTGCTACTCTAACTTCACTCTACCTTGAGATAAATAATTAGACAGGAAGGGTTTACTTTGAATCAAATTAGTAAAGTCCCTGGAAAATCTAATGTACTATGCCAACATTTCTGTTAGGATCTGACCACTTCCTTCCAGGAGAGCTTTCTTTATGAAAACTGAAAGGAGTCAAGAAAACAGTTAAAGACAAAGAGGACGGAAGACAAAGCAGGAGCTCTTAGCAGAAGGAACTTCAAACAGGTTGGCTGATGCTTGTGTTTTGATTTACTGTGAGGTGATAGTTACTAGAAAAACTGTAAGAACTGCACTACTAATGACAAATTGGCTGCAAAGCCCTCCCCACAGCCTCTGAACACTCCACATTTCTGTGTCAACTATAAATAACTGAGAAGTCATTTATACAGAGATTAAAAACTGTGCTTGATGACTCACTAACTGATAATTATGGACTTTGAAGGATGGTATGAAACTATACTTGGGCATTAGCTTTCTTAAAATCCATGGTCTTTAATGCTACTCCAGTATTAGCAACAACAAAACTTAGAGGGATTCCTACTGGCTAAATTTGCGATAATTTGAGTGTCAAAAAGATTATGATGGCGTGAAAATATTAAAACTAAAATTTCATGAGGCTAAAATTATAAATCACAAATAAGAAATCTATAAAAAAAAAACAACCCTAATTTGTCACTATCCATTAAACTAATTCCTTACTTTGAATTTGATAATTAAATGGAAATAAATCATTCAACCTGCCATTCTGGTAAGATCTCTTATTTTTACATTTTCTAGTTTAATGGCTAATGGTGAATGTAAACATTCATTTAATGCCAGAGAAAGTTATATGGATAACTATTGCCACAAAGGGGAAAACCAATTGGAAGATTAGACAGTTTTACTAATCCAGTGATCCATCTGAACACTGTTAATGGTAGGTGCACTAGATTTTATATATTTTTGATGTGATATAATAGGAAGCATGATATGATATCTCCTAACACAAAACGTTTAACTCAAATCCATGAGCCTTCCAGATTACAGGTAGTGTAGGGAATAGAGGAAGAAGCTAAACAACACCATGAGAAAGCAAATAGACAAAATCATAGGATGGGATTCTATAAAGCAACAATCCCGGTCTTTAATAAGTGTCAGCAGTGTGTGGTGGTCCACGCCTATAATCCCAGCACTCTGGGAGGTTGATCAGGAGGATCACAAGTTCAAGCCCAGCCTGGGCAACTTAGTGACTCAGTAAGAAAAGAGGGCTGGGGAGGTCCCTCAGAGCAAAGACCCGAGCTTCAATCCCCAGTACTAGGGGGGAAATAAAATCAGGAACTATGTTAGATAAAATAGACTTATTCACCTAAAGGGAGATGACCAGTAGGTATAATGTGAGTTCACAGAATAAATACTGGTTTGGACAAACCAACTGCAAATTTAGATACAACTGAATAAACGTGAATATGGTCTGAGAGAAAAACATCCTGGACAAGATAGTAGAGACTGGTGATTTAAAAAATTGGTTCCAAATACTATATAGATACATTCATTTAAAATGCAAAGTGTATACCATGCATAGAAAAGACATCTGAAAGGATATGCATGAAGATGTTAATATCTGAATGGGTTAAGTGGTGGAGTGTTTGACCAAATGTTATCATTTTTTGACTTCCTGTTTTTCCAATGTGTTCACAACTTGTGTCTCTTCTATACTAAAAAAAAGGTTATTGTAAAACAAGAACACCTAGAAAATTGTGGATTTGTTTCCTCTGTTAGGTGACTGACTATAGACACGTGTACCCAAACAAGTGCAATACCAAGGAAACATCTGGTGATGGCGTATCCTATTTGTATGTAAAGTACTTTAAGGATGTAAGATTTTAAGAGCTTGGTTTGCAGAGACAATACTAAAAAGTAGTAAGTACAGGGAAGAGGCCAATTTGTCTTTGAAATACTCAATTTTAGAAAACACAAGTAAGATACATCGTGCTATGCATCATTCACCCTCCAAATCAAGCCTCGACTACTAGTATTTACCCAGAGGGAAAACCTAGGGTCTACTACTTAAAATGTGTAAAGTAGGAATTCCCCCAGTAATAATCCCGCCCCACCCACGCTGAGGTCCCCCTTATGCCTCCGGAGTGGTGGGTGTGGCATTGGGCTCCAAATCCTCCTGCGGAGGGGCAGCTGCGGCTTCCTGTTCGGCCAGCGCCTCTCGGAGTTGGCTGCCTAAAACCGCATCGTGGATGCTGTAGAACAGCAGCTCCTTTAAGGCAGGATTTTCAAAAAATCGATTTCGGGTGAGGTCATTCACAACTTGTGCTATAAAAAATAAGAAAAGAAAATTATTTTGCACTCAGAGTTTTGGTCTTGAACATTTTTTTTAAAGTAACACTTTCATACAGTTTATTAAAATGCCGTGGTAAAGCCTCACCCCAATACCTGTCTGAGTCACCCTACAGCCCAGTCCTAGGAAGCCACTTTCATTACTTTCTTAGGAACCCTCCCAGGATTTCTCTATGTAAATGTAAGTAAATATAAACATTTCTCCATGTTCTCACTTACTCCAAAGATGGCACATATATATTGCTTTAGGCTACTTAATTGGATATATATCTATATCTATATCTATATTTATAGACTACTACATGATGTTCTGTTGTATGGACATACCCTAATTTATTTAACTGGTTCCTTTTCCTTGACACGTTCTCCAGTGTTTTGTTTTTATAGACAATGTTATGGTGACCAACTATACCTGGTGTTGTTTGGAATGTGTACGGCACACTGAGGTTTTGCTGTGTTAAAAGGTCAATGCATTGGGCATTTTGCAAGCTAATGTGGGTCTGCCAGCTATGGGTGTACCATCTGAATCCCCATCGTTTTCATCTGAGAACACTACTCTTCCACCAGATGCCTGTGGACCAGGCTGTCAAAGTGACAGGTGAAAAGTGATGTCTTCACATTGATTTTATTTTCAAGTACTGTTTTACATAGATTTTATTTTCAAGCATTGTTTTTTAGTATATGTGCTGCCAAAGCGAGCACTCAAGCACTGTTTGAACTCAAATATAATATAAAGCAAACATAGCAGGCAAGGTATTCGAAAACCGTTGGATGGAAAAGCAATCGATGAGAATGACTTTATAGAGTTCTGCGGTGTTATAGTGGCCATTGCGTAATCAACAAGGACTTATCAGCTCCTTCGCCTTCCTCCACCTCAGGGTCAGAAAGCCAGAACTAGAGCAACCCAGTGACAGGACTGCCTGTAATTGGATCATTCAAAGCTAGCTTTACAGTGATTTCCAAAAGAGTAATTGTCATTTTGATAAAAACATCAAATTTATACAAACATTTCCAAATGCAATTATTAAGAACAAAACTAAGGGGCTGGGGATTTAGCTCAGCGGCAAAAGCGCCTGCCTGGCAAGCACAAGGTCGTGAGTTCAGTTCCTGGTACCGGAGAAAAACCAAAAAAAAAAAAAAAAAAAGAACAAAACTAACTTGATAAAACTTTTCCCCATCCTAAAGGTGTACTCACCACTGCATCCTGCTAAATATACATAAATACCGACATCTCCGTATTCCTTTACAATCTGTAATAATGTTGAAATATAGTTAGTTTTTCCTGGCTCTGCCAGATACAAGTCATTTTCTACCAATACATATATAAGGGACATGAGATCCTCTAACTCATTCACTGAGCTAGTTTCAACAATTAAACATTTTTCAGGTAATCAGTAGAAAGTAACTTCATATTTCTTTTACTTTTGGGTTTAAAAGTAATAGTGATAACATGGGGTGTAAAATATTAATTTTACTTAGGTATAACAAAGGTATAATAGTATTGATTTTTAAAAAAGGAATCTTCTTAAACAGATTCTGAACTATTTATAGAAGATGTGACAACAGGGAGAAGAAAGAGAAAATAAGTGGATGTTGTTATAAGTGAAATCAGATTGGCCATAAGTTGGTCTTTGTTAAAGCTGGGTTGTAGTTACGTGGGGATTCATTATGCTAGGCTGTTTACTCTTTAAACTATATTTAAAATGTTTCCATAGGCAAATTGAAAAAATAACAAAAAAGAACTTGTAAGAGTTGAAAAGGGACTCCAGCCCAGGTCCCTCATGTGGGGATGGGACACCGGGCACAGACTGATGTAGCTGAGTCATCAATGATGGGAAAATCACCTAAATGTGTCAGTGAACCCGACTGTACTACCTTACCCCCGACACCTGTGATAAAACGCACCACCCGAGCACTTCCAAGAATCCAGTCCAGTGGAACATCACGGACATTCACATTTTTCTGCAACCATTACCACTACTCATTCTCTTATATATATTTACCTATTCAAGTAAAATTAAAACAAAGTGAAAAAGGACCTTAGATTTTTTTCACTTTGGGAATCATGTTGGTCCCCTTGGTGATGATCAAAAGTCAATCTCAGATTTCCCATCAGCCCACAAAATCTCTTTAAGATACAAGAATCTGAGAATTAAATGTGGTAAATACCACTCTAAATATTCTGATTCTAAAAACTCACCCCTGCCAGAGTTTTCACTCCAACAGAATCGATAAAGTTGACTTGTGTGAAATCCAGAATGATGGTGTGAATATTATCCCCCGGGGGCATAAACCTTTGCAGTTCTTCAGGAAATGTATTCTTAATGACTATCGGCGGGTATTTTACTTCACCATCCTCCTCCTCAGGCTTGGTCCCATCTTCGCCATCTACTTCGGCATCCTGTATCAAAAATGAAACCCAGTCAGAATTCTCTGAAGTTACATTTTTGGCTTGAGAAAGATTTTCATAAAGAAGTCAGCCCCTGTATTCTCAAGCTACTGACTATAGCAGGTCTCTTTTAAAATATTGGTCATATTCCAGCCTCATCATAGGACCGAAAGGATATGTATATAATATTTAGGTTTGACTTAGTTTTTTCCTTTGTCATCCTCTCCATTTCCAGCAACTTCTGAAATAGTTCCATTAACTTCAGCATGACAAGCCACAAGTGATAAGGCTGCTCGTCAAAAATCAGCCTTTGAACTTTTTTACTACCAGCTGAATAAATCTAGGAGGGAGCAGTCATGGTAAAAGTTTTCGAGGTGCTATGTGATGTTTACATTTTAAAACAATGTTTTCTTGTTTTAATTTTTATTTTTTTAAATTTAATTTTATTTATTTATTTTTTCCTCCGGTACCGGGAACCGAACTCATGACCTTGCGCTTGCCAGGCAGGCCCTTGCCGCTGAGCTAAATCCCCAGCCCCTTAAAACAATGTTTTCAATACTAATTTCAGAAGCATCTACCTAACTGACCATAGTGTATACTCATAACGCATCAAGAATACTTAGGTTGATCCTAAACTTTCCCACTTTAGTAACATTCTGCTCTGTTTAGAATTACCGCAGATCGTGAGAACAGGGAAAATGAAAGCGACGAGTCCACTCACCACTTTGAGGGCAGTGGCGTTGGCCGTGTTTGCATTTCCAACTTCCTTGGCATACTTCCTCATGGCCTTCCTTCTTGCTCCCATGATGACTGCTGGGTTCACCCCAGTCTTCACAGAAGAGCAATATGCAGAAATCACTCCGTGCTCCGAGGGACCCACCCAGACGCCATGAATCTCCAAGTTCCCCCATGCTTCCCATGCCAGATCATCACCCCGCCCTCGTTCACCTTTCCCGCAGATGCCCCCAAGCAAGTTACATCCTCAGAGCTAAGAGAATGTGCGTAAGCTCTCCTCACGCTGTCTTCGTTCAACACAGCCAGGAGGGAAAGCAGCAGAGAATTTTGAGTGGTATTTACCACATTTAATTCTCAGATTCTTGTATCTTAAAGAGATTTTGTGGGCTGATGGGAAATCTGAGATTGACTTTTGATCATCACCAAGGGGACCAACATGATTCCCAAAGTGAAAAAATCTAAGGTCCTTTTTCACTTTGTTTTAATTTTACTTGAATAGGTAAATATATATAAGAGAGAATGAGTAGTGGTAATGGTTGCAGAAAAATGTGAATGTCTGTGATGTTCCACTGGATTGGACTCTTGGAAGTGCTCGGGTGGTGCGTTTTATCGCAGGTGTCGGGGTAAGGTAGTACAGTCGGGTTCACTGACACATTTGGGCGATTTTCCCATCGCTGTCAGTCCACAAGTCTCTCCTCAAAAGTAACCGCTCTTACTTTCTTACCACTCACCTTTCTTTTTAATGCGTTGCTGTACAAATCACTGTTTGCGTAATAAATCGGAGCATTTATCTGGAATATTTTTATTCCAGGAATTTCTTTCACCTGAGAAGTAAAATATTAGGGAATTTGATGCCTAGATATATTTCAGAATCAAAACTGCAACTGCCTCCCTCCTCCACTGTGGAAATGAATACAGAAGCTGCAAAGGGGCCTCTTACTGTATTTAGATAAAATGGTGGCAGGCTTTGGAAGGAATAATACTAACGAAAAATGATTCTTTGTTTCTTTTCTTTGGAGCCAGGGTCTCACTATGTTGCTCAGGCTAGTCTCAAAAATACCGGGCTCAAGCAGTCCTCCTGCCTCAGCCTCCCAGGCACCTGGAACTATAAGACTGTGCCACCATACTCAGCTGGAAAGCTTTTAAAAACGCCCGCTTTCCCATTTCTTTCACAAGATGGTCTCTGCTTCATTTTTACTATTAAACCATTTAAAACAGGAAGACGAGAATAGGAACTAGAGCAGTTAATGCACAGTATAAACAGTTGAATCCAGATGGTCGATCGAATTTTGTAGATTTTACATTAATCACTACGCTTCCCTCCCCTTCACCTCTGCCTCCTGGGTGAAAGTACTAAGCCACTCAATCACACGCTCACAGTCTTTTAAAATCCTAGGAAAGGGACCTACCTCCTCATAGGCGTCTATGTCGATATAGACATCTGTGTCAGGAAGCTGTCCCAGGACTTTGTAGCTTGGGCTGCAGACAGAGAGTGTGTTCAAGCCCACGCTGCTGGGGCGCAGCATGGGATCACACTGCACGTGTGGGTGTGCTAGTTTGTGATCACACTGCACGTGTGGGCCGTGAACTGATGCCCCTCAGAATATTTGCTCCTCCTCTGGTGCCTTTGTAGAAGGTCCTCCGCATCACACTCCCAGCACCATTCCATCCCTGCATGGAGGGGTGCCGTGGGAGCACAGGACAAGTTGAGACCCCCTGGCTGGGAGAACTGGGTCTCAGTGATGAAGCTTAAGCAGGCAGAGGAGGACAGGGCTTTCTTGGCCACCTGTGTGCCCTGGGGTGCCGTGTCTGTGGGTCTACATCCTACTGCTCCTAGCAAAGTCCAAGCCCTGTCGCTTCCCTACTGACACCAGGAGCCAGGAGGTCTCTTTCCATGAGCTCCACAGGTGTCATTTGGGCCACTCTTCCACTTACTGTCACACTGTGCCTGGCTAAGCCCACTGAAGCACATGGAACTGTATATTCCAATTGTCTAAAGAAAGACGATACGAGGCTTATGAAGAATTTGCTTCTGGATCCACAGAATCCCGTGAGTAAGTCATTTAATCCCTACCACTCACTGTGTGTTGGGTAAGCTGTCCAGTGACTCTAGAACTCAGCATCCACACCTGTGAAAGGGGACCGCTGATGGCCTTTGGGTTGTAAGGGGAAAAGGATGTGAAGCACTGATCTTGCCCAGAGCTGGGCACGTAAGTAGCTGTAATCATTTAGTGCCATCATCACTGCATTATCATCTAACATCATCCCCACTGCTGGTTTTTTTTTTTTTGGTACCGGGAATTGAACTCCGGACCTTGCACTTGCCAGGCAGGCACTTGTACCACTGAGCTATATCCCTGGCCTTCCCGCTACTGTGTATCCATCATCCCTGGGAGAAGCCAACCTTTTGAAGGGAAGGACCATGTCTTATTTACTGCAACATTCAGAGAGTCAAGTACTTCCCTGGGAACACAGGAGGGCCTCAAAAAATATGCACCTAATGGAGATTATAACTGTTTTAACATGCTTTATAATACTGACTAAATTATGGGTGCTTTGGGGGCTGTTTATGGGTTATGCATAGATGTGGCCCCCAAAGCCTCAGGCAGTCACAGGGCTTTTTGGAGGTGGCTGGATCTAGCGTATGTGAAGCTGAAATTAATTCATGATGCAGCGCTAGGATCAGTCACTAGGATTGTGGGTGTGAGAGCTACCCACCTTAAATAGTCTAGATGAGATAAAGGGGCAGCAAGATGCTGTTAAGGTCATTTGTTGCTTCCACTTGCCATGAACTGATGCCCCTGTGCCATGCACTACCCTGCCTTGGAGCCAGCCAGCTATGAACTGAAATTTCTATGAACTGTAAGCTAAACAAACCTTTCCTCCTTTAACTTTGTTCTTTTTTTTTTTTTTTTTTTTTTTGAGACAGGCTCTCACTATTTAGTTCAGGTTAGCCTCAAATTCGCTATGTATCCCAGGGTAACTTTGAACTTTCAGTGATCCTCCTGCCTCAGCCTCCTGAGTGATGGAATTACAGGCATTCTCCACCACACCTGACCCTCCTCCTTTAATTTTGAGTATCAGGTATTTTGTCTAAGCAACAAGAAAACTAACTAAGAATTTGGTACAGAGAGTGGGGTTGTTGCTGTGACTGTACCTGACTATGTTAGGAGCCTTTGGGAATGGCTTGTGGGAAGAGTTTGGAAAGGTTCAGAGATGCTGACTGAAAGAGTAGAACTGGAAAGCCTTAGGCTGTACTTGATGGGAGAGTCTGATCAGAGCTCAGAAGACTAGAATGCTGACAGAAATGATACCAGTAAAGACCACACTTGGGAGGTTTCTGCTGAGAGGAAGTACTGCATTAGCTATTAGACCCCACATGATGTGTGTTATGGTTTGGAAGAAAGTTTGTCTGCATTTTGCTTGTGTCCAGAGACTTTGCCTGAGACTGAGATTAAGGGCAGTGGACTAATTAACGTGGCAGAAGAAATTTCAAGGCAGCCTAATGTTGAGGTAGGTGGCAGCATGGCTACTTTTGGAGGCTTTTAACTAGACCTATGTTGAGAATCAAGAGCAAAGAGCCCAGCAGGATGATTTAAAATTTTGTGAGTTTTCTGGAAAGGAAGCTCCACTGGAAAAATAGAGCAGAGAAGATCTTGATTGCTGAGAAGGAAAAGGAGAACAGAAAAGATGGCCTGAAGGCCTCACTAGAAGCAGCAGGACTCCACCCTTTGCAGCCTCAAAATTCCAAAAATGAAAGACTGCTTTAAGACGAAAGCTCCAGCACACCATGTTCCAGAATGGAGTTGGCCTAGGGAAGTTGTTCCTCAAGATTTGGTTCATAGACACTGGACTCCTACAGTCAAAATAGAAGGTAGCCTGGCTGTTGCTCCAGCTGTCAGCAGACCTTGGTGCCACCCACATGGTGCTAGCTTGAGGTGCATGACAAATGCAAGAGTTGTGGGTCAGGAAAGCTTCCACCCAGGTTTCAGAAGAAGGCCTGGGAGGCCAGATAGTGTGCCTCTGGGAGGGCAGTGTTGGAAGCTGTGAATGTGAAGCCAAAGGTGCAGTGGAGACCCCAGATGGCTGGAGAAGCCAAGAACATGGATTGTCCAAGAAAAGCTGCAAGGAGTGAGCAAAGCTAGCCAGTGAAAGAAGCCATGGGAGCTACAACCACCAGAAGTACCATGGGGGTGGAGCCACCCAAGCTCTTTGGGGTTCACAACTTGCCACAGACTGCCAAGGATGCTGGAAGTAGAACTGTGAGATTTAATGTTTGCCCTGCTGAATTTGGACTTGCTTTGTTCCCATTCCTTTGTATCCCCCATTTGTAACTTTTGGAATGGAAATGTCTATCTTATGCCATTGAACACTGGAAGTGTTTTACTTTCTTTCCTTCTGTACAGAGGCTTGAGGCTAAGAGTTTGCCTTAAATCTCAGAGACTTTGGACTTAGACTTTTCAGCAATGCTGAAACTGTTCAGACTGTGGGAACTCCTGAAGATGGACTAAATGCAGAGTGTATAAAGGGATATGCATGAGTCCAGGGGGGGAATGTTATGGCTTGTGCTTAGATGTACCCCAAAGCCTCATGCAGTCATAGGGGGGGCTTTTAAGAAGTGGCTGGGTCTAGTGTGCAATGTTAGAATTCATGGTGCAGTGATAGGATCAAGGGCAGTAGGATTAAAGGTGTGAGTGCTACCTGCCCTAAGGAGCCTGGATAAGATAAAAGGGGCAGAAAGACATTGTTAAGATCCCTTGTTGCTTTTGGTACCTTCCATCTGCCATGAACTGTTACCCCTCTGCAATGTGTCACCTTGCATTGGAACCAGCTGACTATGGGCTGAAACTTCTAGAACTGTGAGCCAAATAAACCTTTCCTCCTTTAACTTTGTGTGTTGGGTATTATGTCTAAGTAACAAGAAAAGTAAGTGAGACGGGGGTAGAAACTAAACCTCCACCATGGTGATGGCACCCATGGTGCTGGCCTGGAAGCAGCAATGTGCAGGGTGAAGTGGCGTCTGTAACTGTGGCTGCTGGAGGGGAGACTGAGTGTTCAGAACAGTGCACCACTAGCTGTCTCCTGGAAGTGTGCCCTGCCTACAGCAAAGAGGCCACTGCAGAGAAACCAGTATCTTGAGCAGTGGTCCCTCAGAGGCCACGCTACGAAACCCCAGCAGGATCACCCACAAGTGACAAACATACAAACTCAACTTTACTTCAATATCTGAGGGAGAAAGAAAAGTACAGCATTTAAAAGATAAACTTCTCCAGCTTTAAAATTTATGATAAGAAATTATAAAATCCTATTCGGTAAAGAAAACAACACAGATTTTTTTGTTTGTTTGTTTTTTAGTGCCAGGGATTGATTCTACCATTGAGCTACACCCTCAGCCCCCTAGATAGTTTCAAACCATAATGTTCACCAAAGCTATGAGATTAGTAAAAAAAAGAAAAGCCCTGTGTGAACGAATGATGTTCTTTATAAAAACAGGAAAAACTTCTTTTAAGACAATAATGGGCAACAGTTCTAACAGTTGGAATTTGTTAAAAGTAGTTTCATTTCCACTCGGAGCTTAGACCACATGCTTTTAACATTTTTCTCTTTGTTTTAGGGATAAAAATGCTCCTTTTGTACTCTGGTGAGCAGGAGCATCCCAATCTTCTGCAGAAAAACGGTCAGCATCCCCATCTGCCGAGTCTGAATTTAAAGAACCATGGAGGGATTTTTCAGCCACAGGTAAAACCAGCCCAACTTATTGTTCCTCCCCTCTCTGTTCAAGGGAGAAGACTCCGTGGCAGCAGGACTCAGGCACTGTGCTGGATCTCCTCATGTCATTTATTATTTATTTATTTATTTATTTTTGGCCTTTTTTTTGGTTTTTCTCCGGTACCGGGAACCGAACTCATGACCTTGCGCTTGCCAGGCAGGCACTTTGCCGCTGAGCTAAATCCCCAGCCCCTCCTCATGTTATTTAAATCTCACTGTAACTATTGGTCCCATTTTACAGGTGTAGAAACAGATTCTGAGAGGTCCCATAAAATCACAGAGCTTACAGAAGGTAGAGCCAGGACTGAAACTCAGGTTTGCCCGACCCGAATCCAGGCTATTTCTACGACACGTTTCATTTTTATCTTTGCAGGGTTTTCTTCATCATAAACAGCATTTTATTTTCTTTTGAGCCAGGATCTCACTATATAGTTCAGGCTGGCCTCGAGCTCACTATGTAGTCTAAGCTGCCCTCAAACTCACTGAGATCCTCCTGCTTCAGTCTCCCCAGTGCTGGGATTACAGGCATGTGCCCATAAATAGCTTTTTAAAAAAAGTTGTATTTTATTCCTTCACCAATGGGCTCAGCTTCCTACTAGGAAGAAGACAACCTGAGACAGACAATAGTGGCTCAGATGGAGGCAGGGACACCTGGAGGATTGCATCCGTCACTTAGTGTCAGAGCTTGCTTCATGTTGTTGAAATCCATGTTGGCCCCTGGTACCACAGTGAACTGCTAGAACACATTCACTCCGGAGAGTGGTGAATGAACCAGTGACCCTCTCTTGGGCCAGGAAGGGGAGGAGCAACAGTGGAACTTAGGGTTTTAAAACAAAACCATTGTTGGAAGTATAAACCGTGACACAGTGGAGTATCTGACAGAATTACATGTGATCTTGTATTTGTCATTTGTTGATTAGGCAACAGGTCCCATGAGCATTATAGCGCCCTCTTACACGAACTAGGAATAACAGAGAGGCTCCACTTCCACTACTTTTGCTTGTAAAGTCTCTGCCAGGACACTCACACGCACGCTCATCGGGCACTCACCTCTGTGTCCTGTAAATCACAGTCAGCAGAGCTATGATCACGGCAGTAATGAGGCCGTAGTCCAATCCCAGGAACAAAGAGGACACAAAAGTGGTGAGCCAGATGGTCTAAACAGCGGTCAGAGAGCGTTGTGAAGAATCATGTTAATAATCCTGTAAGAGTTACACACACACACATACACACACACACACACCCCACAGAGGCTGTTTACTTTGCCTCCCCGGGTGCTGCATGCAACAGCTGTGTAAACATCTTCCCCATAGTATTTTCATCAGCACTAAGAGCTGCCGCTATGCCATATTAAGCTGAGCGTCACCGACTCACCAGCTCTATTTTGCTGGTCCTCCAGAAGAAGGGGAGATCTGAGAACTGCATGAACATTCCTTTCAGGTTGACAATCACGATGGCTGACAGCACGGCCTGCAACACAGCACATCCAAGCACGGTCCCCTCCCTCCTCTCGGGTCCCCAGAGCCCTCCTGCTGCCCCCGTCTTCTCCCGACGCCCCACTGAAACTGCGAACACCTGGATTTTCAGCACTCAGCTAAAGTGGGCCTTGAAAAGTCAGGCTCATGTCCTAGTAGCAAAGCTACATGGTGGTCAAGAGGGTCAGAATTAAACTTAGAACTCAAGGAATTATTTCACCATGGCCTTCTACTTATGATTTGCTTTTCCATCTTTTGATCTGTCCCAAGATAAATACATCAGCAAAGAAATGTGTTTGAGTGTAGGGCATCTCAGGTTTTTAATGAAAATTTTTATAAGGTCATAGAAGGTCAAGGGGAGCAGGAATCTCAGTGGTCAGCCAATGCAATCCCCACTTTGCAGATAAGGAACTGGGATGGAGAGTAGAGGAGATGGGTTTCCTAAGGGCTGTGGCAGCTGTCAGGACTTGATGGTGTGTGATCTCTCCTAGCCTGGGCTCATTCTTACACCACCTTCCTAGGATTCCAATAACAACCCCTAAGATAGCTGCAAAGATATAAACAAACGAAACAGCAGAGTCTCCGCACTGGGCAAGAACACACAGCACGTGCACATTACACACCTGGGGCAATGATTCAAAGAGGAATCCCGTGGCTAATATGACCAGCAAGATCATCAGTGAGGCCAAGCAACCTGCAAGCTGAATGAGAGAAGACAGGGAAGGAGCTTTTAGGAGACTAGAGGAATGTGGGGCAGAGGCGGGTCTTATTCTTTCCATCACCACTGTGGGAAAATCAAGAAAATATAGATTCAGATTAAGTCATCCAAACCATTGCATACACCCCTACTCCACTCCCTCTTTGAAGTTTTGTTTTCTCATATAGCTTTTATTTTTTATATTTTTGGTACTGGGAACCGAACTCAGGACCTTGGGCTTACCAGGCAGGTGCTTGTGCCGCTGAGCTATATCCCTGGCCCCCTCATATAGCTTTTAGACTCTTTTCTTTTCTTTTGTTTTCTTTGTGAGAGAGGATCTTGCTACGTAGTGCAGGCTGGCCTTGAACTTATTATGTAGCGCAGGCTAGGCTTGAACTCACAATCCTCCTGCCTCAGCTTCCTGAGTGCTGGGATTACAGGAATGTGCCACTATACCTGTCACCTTGTAGAGCTTTCAAACAGAAACTAAAAACACTTAAAATCCTGAATGAAGGGCCTTAGCAGGGGCGGAGAGGTGCCTGGTAGCAACTTGAGACTCACCAGGCAACGAAGCGTGCAGACAACTGTTTGCTGTCCAATATAGCAGCCACTGGGGACATGCAGATATTTAATTTTTTTTTTTTTTTTTGTACCAGGAATCAAACTCATGACCTCACGCTTGCAAGGCAGGTGCTGTGCTCCTGAGCTAGATTCCTGGCCCCCTTAATTTTTAAAAATTAAAATAAAACACAATAAAAATGTAGGTCTTGGTTGCCATAGTCACATCAAATGTTCAAGAGCCATAGATTGCTGGTGGCTGCCATATTGGATGGTACACATACTGAGGATTTCCATCATCGCAGACAGTTCTGCTCCATGCTGCCGGCAACCTGCCCACACTGAATTTCAGGCTCTCCGAACAACACCCATGTCTGACCTTTGAGGTTTCCTGGTGGCAAAGGGGGTATTGCATAACTTTTCAATTTAATGGGAGAATATACCTCTTTTCTACAGATCAGTTCTTTGTGTTTCCTTCAACCAATCAAGCCTTTGTCTGACGCGCTACCCACCTCCCTGGAGCATGGATCTGCAGGCAGAGCAGCTTTGTTTGGGTTCAGAGTAGAACAAGGGGATGAACATGTAATGGCCACCCAAATGACCCGTTCTCAGAGTGCTGATGATACCCACCTGTGTCTTCCCCCCAGTTCCCTCCTGAACAAGGCTGCGAGACAGGGAGCAGGAAATCGAAAAGGTCTGGAAGAGCGAGCCGATGGAATTGCACAGTCCCAGGGCGATGAGCTCCTTTTCCATGTGGAAACAAACACAAAGGAGATAGGTCATCCTTGGGGGAGGGGATGACAGCTTATTTACTACCAAATTTCAGCAGTACAGGCTGTTTCTGCATTTTCTTTCCAGATATAATGTGTTTAGTATTGAGCCCCAAATAGGAACTACGGCATATTTTTTGGTTGGAGAAAAACATTTTGGATTTTTGTTGTTTCAGAGTTAAGTGCCATGTTCCCCACCCACTCCCTCTGTCTCAAAATATGCTTTCTACATGAATAGCGATTTTTTTTTAGTTATTAAAAGAAAACTGAAGTAAAAAGTAGAAAGTTTTTTGTTCAAGAGAGTTCTTAATGTGTTCCTACTGGCGTCTTTTAGGTGCTATTGCTCACCAAGCTAATGCCCTCGTCTTCCTGGGACCAGCAAGTCCCACCCTTAGGGATCCTTTGGGTATTTTGAGTTGGATCCCTGCATCTTGTGTCAGTGTGGAAAACCTTGGAAGCCCACAGGGGCTGAAATAGTCTTCCAAGGTTATAGCTTGCAGGATGTAGATTAAATACCTTCCTTGGAGCTACATTATAAGAGGAGGCAGCAAAGAGAATACTTCGGAGTTTGAGAGATAAATCATGTATCAGCATTTAATAAACAAAGATAAGCTGTCCTGTAGGGCAAAAATGGTTCTGAAGAAAGATCACACTCCCAGGCTATGAGCTTTAAACACAGAAGTTACGTCTAGCATGTGCTCCAGATTTGAGAGTGCAGCTCTCTAGCCTTGCCCACAAAGTGAGTGAGGACTCTGTACCTCCTGTTCCACGACATAACACTTATACATGAGAAAAATCATAGTGTTGGGTAAATAAATACTTCAAATACGTCCACCACCAAAGCAAAGGCTTTTCTACTAACAGGTAAATTCACTTGCTCGATGAATGTGCCATCGGGAAGCACCTGCAGGGAACTGACAGTTTTTACCTGATTGCCGTCAACCTGGTAGCCATGCTTGTTTGCCAAGGTCTTGGCCATGGAGATGGTCACTGAGAACCCAACGATGGCGATGGCGATGGCGTCCACGTACACGAGGTGGAAGAGGCTGGTGTCCGGGTTCGCTGGAGGCAGCAGCCTGAAAAGTCAAGCTGACTGTCAGTGCTGTGACCACCGGGGGAAAACCACAGGAGCAGAGGGGAGTATTCTAGAAGGGCATTACCTGCAGATGAGATGAACTCACGAGGAACTTGGAACATGGAACTTGTTTGCTCTGCTCTGGCAAGCACAAGGGCCCTCCTTGACCCAGAGATGTGCTTCCCAGGCCCACAGTGCAGGCCTGGCTCGAAAGCTGGGTGGCTGATCAGCAGAGATCAGGTGCCATTTTATTTACAAAAGGAGAAAGCTCATACCAAGGGCACCCTGATGGCAGCTGTAAGTAAGACACAGACCAGGGAGAAGGGAGGGTGGGCGAAGGACTCGGATGCCAACACCTGAATCCGTCTTGGGGAGGGGAGGCATCCTACAAGGCCCGCTCAGAGGAGAATTACTGTCCTTGTAACACTACTCACGCTCCTCCTTTGTGACTTGAGGGGAGGACTTAGTATACTAGCTCCTCCTGTGTCACTGCTCCCTCAAGTTGAGTTGTAAAATCAGGAAGGAGCAGCAGTAGATCATACTTCCTGGGTCTCACTGGGGAATTCTGGGGAGCTGGAGGACTCTTGGAACCCCACAAAGGGGTACCCCATTTTTGTCCATTCTTGTAGTGTGAGACCCTTTGTCCTAAAGAAACAATAGGGATTCCCCGGACTGTTATAGGGAAAGAGAAACAAGGTTTTCCAAGGCTTCCTGCTCCTGCTCCAATTCAAGGCAGTGGGCTGGGTAACAATGACAATCATTTAAGCGATTCCCAGTAACAGTACTGCAAATACAACCATTTATTAGGTGCTTCCTCTGTGTCAGATTCTCTGCTTATTTATGTCCAACTGCCGAATGAGTCGGGCATCATTACAACCCCAATCTCATAGAGGAGGACTTGAGGCACAGTTAGGTTAAACAACTTGCCCAAGGTCAAACAAGTCATTTAGGGGCTGGGGATTTAGCTGAGTGGCATGGCGCTTGCTTGGCAAGTACAAGGTTGTGAGTTCGATTCCCGGTACCGGAAAAAAAACCAAAACAAACAAACAAACAAACAAAAAACCAACAAAAAAAACCCCAAGTCATTTAAATGATTTCAACAAATCGGAGAGGAACATGCCTCTCTATACTGCTTCTCTCCCCACACCAAAGTAGAGCGACAGAAGAGACATTTCATCAGATTCTGGGGTCAGGAAAGGCAGGGGAGAGAGGGGAAGGACCTGTTGTGTTAAGGCTAGATTAGGAACTACAGGCCACAGTCTTCTAGGTAAGTGCCATGATTATCCCAATTTATAGGTGGAGAAAGAGATGTTTTCAGTTGTTAAGTACTTTTCCCAAGAGGGATCAGACTGTCAAATGCAGGGTGTCTGACTCTAAACCATCATCTTTGTCCTGCACTTGGCTGTGGAAGCTGGGCCAGGAGAGAAGGCCCGGCGGCAGGAGGGGCCCGGGGAATAAGAACACAAGGAAAGGGTGGGCTCTGGAAGGAGGTCAGGAAAGGAAACCCTCAAACGGGGCATAGATAGCCACGACTGGAGCCTGTGAGAGCCAGGCCGCAGCCTGGGCCCCGCAGTGTGCACCGGTTTGTGCTTGCGTCAGTAAGCGGGGCAGTTCCCGTCACTTGGCCCAGCACTCTCATCCTGGCACGAGCATCTCCCACCAGAAGCCCAGCACTTCCCTTCTGCTGGGTCCACACTGACCTTTGCTTTGCTGTGACCAAGAGAATGAGGTGGCAGTGAGGTCACACGGGGCCGCCCTGAGCCACCAGGTGCAGAGAAGATGCCAGACCCGCCCCCAGCTACCCCAGCCAGGCCAGCTGGGGCAGAGTCCGGAACCACCACGCCCAGCCTGAGCCATACCTCCAGGCACCTGCGGGAGCATGAGAGGTCACCAGTGAGACCAGAGTGACCACCTCCGGCGCAACTTGGGCTGAAGAATTATGAGCAAACGAGTGGTCAGTCGCTGTTTAAAGCCACTGTTTGGGGGCAGTTTGTTATAGATGAGCAAGAGTCACAGATGAGAGAAACAGTATGACGGGGCGTGGTGGCGCACGCCTGTAATCCCAGCACCTGGGAGGCTGAGGCAGGGGGATCATTGTTAGTTTGAGACCAGTCTGGGCTACAAAGGGAGCTGAAGGCCAGCCTGAACTGCACAGCAAGATCCTGTCTCAAAAAGACAAAAGAGAGAGAGAGAGAGAGAGAGAGAGAGAGAGAGAGAGAGAGAGAGAGAGAGAGAGAGAGAGAGAGAGAGAGAGAGAGAGAGAGAGAGAGAGAAACAGTATGATTGTATGTAGATAAGCAGGGAGGTATTTATTACCTGCTTGGTTTTGGGCAAAGTTCCAGAAAGAGAAGGTTTCTCATTAGCCAAGTTCCAGAAAGGTAAAAAGTTATTTTTTTTAAAGTTTACTTCTCACATAGAGAACCAAAGCGACACACGTGGGGGAAACACAACAGGGTAAGGAAGACAGTGTGTAGGAATCATGGCGACGTGTGAATTTCAGCATATCAGTGTATTTCTAAAGGAGCAATCTATGTGTAAGAATTTACCGCTTAATCAAATTATTTATAACTAGTAACTGAATCGGATTATCTGTTGGATTTGATCAGACGATTGCTTACCATGTGACTGAGCTGGAGACCCACAGCTGAGGTGGTGGAAAGAGGATGCAACCGTGTATCAGAAGACCCAGCTCTAGGTCCCAGTCAGGACTCACCAGCATGCCACTAATGCTCACTTACGTCTCTCTAATATCGCCTTCCCGGGGCCTCCACAGGACAAGGGGTGGATGCGCTTCAGGACCTGTGACCCATTACAAGTACAGTGTGTGTTTCCCCCTACTCTCTCAGTCTCTCAGTTTTATCAACCTCCAAAAACCAGGTGCATTCTGACAGTCAGGGTGCATTTACCACAGAGTCTCCAAGAAAAAACTAGATGAGAGAATACAATGTTGGGGAACATTGCCGGAGGACAGAGGACAAACCAGCTCCCAGATCCTTCACCCGCGGCTCCTTAAAAGCACCATTTGAGCTTTCTGCCAATCCTCCACCCTTGAGACCTCTTAGCGACCACCACACCCCATCCTACCACAAGGCCATGGCATCTATACGGATGGGGGCGTGGACAGAGAGAATGGAATAGTCGCTGGGACAAGCTGGCCGCCCATTCCGAGACCAAGATGTTTGCCCAGGAAAAGAAAACAAAATGCCCTTGGTATGAGGTTTCTCCCTTTTTTAGGGAGCCCAGCCCACTGAAATTTCTCCCCCTCGAGCCCTGCATGTGAATAGATACCTCGCCCTTTTCTTTGTTCACGGGCCAGCCAGAATTTTGCTCTCCATCAGAGTTGTCTGTCCTCCCTGCAGACAACGAAGCTCGGGTCTCATCTATCCCGCCTGGCTGGAAGACCCCACCTCCAGTTATCAACAGCACTTCCTACTATTTGTTTGCTGACCTCAGTAAACATAAGCTCCATGAGGACCAGCACTTTTTTGCTTGTAAGTTTGTTTTCATTTTAAACTACCGTGTTCCCTGGTACATAAAAGGCATTCAATAAACACGTGTTGAGTAAATGAGAATAATGAACTTTGCTGTGAGAGAGTTACCCTAACCCTAACCCTTACTATGACAAGCACCAACTGCGACGGGGGAGTATGGAAGTATCGTGGAAATTAGAAGTCCAAATTGAAAAGCAAGGGTTATTACTGTGTCACAGCTTTACACAGAATACTAAGTAACATGTTTGTAAACCCCATTCATTGCTTTGAAGTTTAAAGCAAGTGCAAGTTTCTCTCGGCAGAGGGGCAGCCTGAGAAGGCCGGATGCAGGCTGCTCCTCACCGCTGCCTCCCTCATCAGTACTCTGAACTCCCCCAAAAGTTGTTTCTCGAACACGTTTCCTTAGAGTTGATTTTCAGAAATGACGTTTCACAAGCTAGCCTACTGAGCATGCGCTAGTGAACGGGGCTCGATGGCACTGTAAAGCCAGAATCTCCTCCGGGCAGGGCTGGAATATAAAGGCCCATATTACCAGACTGCGCCTGCGCAGACCCCGTCCCAACCACTTGTGGCCCCGCTCCCTGAAGATGAATTCACTGTGGGGTAGATTACATCCGGGTCACTGCTCCGGAAGTTATTCCCCTAGTTTACTTACGTTCTGCAAATAAATTTCGCTGTGCTACTATTCCTGGTGTTCTGCTCTGACTCGGTCCCCCACCAGACCCCTCAAGCACCTGCTCTCTGGGCTGAGCACTGGCTTCGAAGAGCTCCCGGATGGGCAAGTAGTGTCCCTCACCTCGTCTGGGCAGAGTTGGCACAGAGTGGTGGTGAGAGCGAGGTGAAGAAATTATTGCACATAAGATGGGAAGACAGAGCCGGATCTAGAGGGGCAGGGTGATACACATAGCAGTGTACTCCTTCTTGGTCCGCTGATACAGAGTTATAAATGTCAAGCACGTAGTTAGCTATCACAGAGAAATATGCGTAAACATCCTATGATCTGAGACTAGAAAACCCACTTAAGTAAGGAGCCTCAGAACATTCAATGCCCGTGGCTGCTAACCCTAACCCTATCCCTAAGGGATGAGGAAGTCCCAGAGATCTGTTTTACAATAATTTGAATATATTTAATATTGTTGAACTGTACAGTTAACAATGATCACAGTAATCACTTTGTTTTTTTAAACCACAACAAATGCGATACATGCCACAAACCTGTAAAATCCCCAGCTATCTGATAGGTAGAAAAAGATTAATTTTCATTGCCAGAGCACTATAGCAGGAGTTAGAAACAATAGGTCCATGGATTATTCAAGTCACTCTGTCACTTAAACTATTTTCCTACCCTAGAGGAAGCGTTCCAACGACATCCACATTGTACGATTCTTGCAAGTTAAATCCAGCCGAAATGCCAGTTCCCATTACCACCTAAAACAGATACAAACCCAGATGCAAGTTTAGATATCAATATGCAAATGTTACATAAATGAGCTTCAAAGAATTTGTTAGGCAAGGCAAATTTATTCTCACTTTGTTGCTGTCATAGCGTGTGTGTGTGTGTGTGTGTGTGTGTGTACGCACATGCACACTCGAGCTTGAGACATGGCCTCACAAGATAGCCCAGGTAGGCTTCCAATTCCACCCTCCTGCCTCAGCCTCCTGTGTTCTGGGATTACAGGCGTGCACTACCAATGCTCAGAATGAAAAGAAGGATTTATTCACTTCCAGTATTTCTAACTTCTCTCCATGATTCTGCCCCACATAACTGAAATGGGCACTACAGCTTCCTAAAGGCCTGGAACTGTCTTCTTTTCCCTCGCTTCTGCTGTGAGCTTTGGCTTAGGGGTTGGCTTTGACTTTCAGTTGGGTAGAAATGTGCATGATGAGGGTGGTGCAGGAACTTCAGTGTCAGCATGAGTACCCAGTGTACAGAAGAGCAGCAGAAGTGTGGTCAGCGCCCCACCCCCATCCCGCAGGTGTCTTCTCTGGGGCTAGTGGGATGGCAATCACCCAGAATGACATTGTCCCTGGGGCTCTCCAGGATTGTCAGGCCCAGGTTTACCGAAGGCATAAAGCACAGTCCTCAGTGTGATACAAGTGACACACAGTAAGGTGGGATGGTGGCCTGCTCCATGCCCTGTAATTATGGCTCATGGAGCTCCAGGAGGGAAGGACTTAGAGGTGACAAGGGAAAGGACCAGCCCCTTTTAGGGGGCCCAGCAGGAAAGTGATAGTAAGCTAATCCTATTGTCAGAAACCGCAGCCCAGAGACCAGGGCCAAGGGTGTTTCCAGCCCCTTTGGACAAATGATCCTTTTCTGCTGGTGGCAATTATATTGGTCACCCTTGGTTGCTTTTTTGTGCATCTCAGCCTGGGAGAGTGTCTCGAATATTTGAACTCACAACATAAACATGGCTCCAGTTTGTGGAGCATTTGTTTTATGTGGAGGCAAGTAATGAAACCATCGTTTCTCTATGGACACAAACACATGCATTAGAAAATAGAAAGCAGAGCTCAAAACATATTTTTATGATGAAAATTTTCTTTTTTTGCTTAAAGAAAATCGCAAAGACTCTGTTCCCAAGCTTTCCAGTATGGCTTCTGCTTTCTTTGCTCAATGGAGAGTTTAAGTCAGAAGTTTCGGAAGCCATGAAGACTATCATTTCAGTGGTAGCATTCTGGAGGCCACTGTCCTGGGAAACGTAAAGGAATCTTTACAGGGAGATTTGGACAGACCTAGGACCCCAGACAGAAGGAGCTTCCGGGCTGCGCTCTATGAACAGAGCCTGCTGGACTCCTGCGTACAAACGTGCTCAGTCAGAGCTGCTGTGTTCCTGGGGGAAACCGCAGCCCTGGGTCCAGTCCCAGACAGAGCAGAGGTTTGGAAATGGGTAGAGATTGCCTTTTTTTTTTTTAAATAAAAAAACAACAACAACAACAAACTTTTTAAGAGGTACTGATAGGGCCCAGCGATGTGGCACATGGCAGGGCTCTTGCCTAGCATGTGGGAGGTCATGGGTTTGAGTCCTAACACCTGGCCCCCCAAGGGCACTGGTAGAATATAGAAAAAACCAAGGCAAAGAGAAGAAAAGACGGGCTTTTTTCTCACTTTGGACCAGACACTTTTGACCAGTTCACTTCTTTGTCTTTGAGGCACCCAAACTATGCATTCAGAAGCCCCAGCGTGCCAAAGGGAACTCACGGGGTCTTGGGATTTTAAAGGGTTCAGGGACACAGTGCCGCCTCTGGGACACTGGGCGGACCTCTGGCTGGAGGTCGTTCTCAGCTCGAACGTCACCAGTTCATACATCCTGCTGTCAATAATGTGCCTCTTTGCAAAGCTTCGTGTTCAGCAGTTGTGCTTTGAAAAATCCATGTGAATGGGAGATGAGGGCAGCGGTGCCCAATCGGGTTCCAAGTGCCCACCAGGTGCACATGTCCATGAGCAACCGTGGTTATTTAAGAAAATAATAACATTTTTTTAAACTCCAATTTGTGCGCCTATGTTTACAGAAAGCTGCCATGTTCTTATAAATACGTACGAAGGTGTTTGGACCTAACTGCTTAGTAAGTCAGACAGTGGGGTGTTTCTTTTGGCTTCAGAGTGCCAGGGAGCTGAGACAGTTTGGGAATGTTTGTCTTTTATTCTTCCCCTATTAATGCAACATGTGTTCATTACAAAACAATAAAAATACTGCGGAGAACAAATCCTGTGAAATCCTGTCACTCAGAGATGGTGGCAAAGTTGTAAGGATGGTTTTCACCTGCATTTAAAGTCATCTGTGTTTACCTTTTAATGCTTTTGTTGTTGTTGTTGCTAGCTCTTGTGGCAGAACTGAGAGAAAAGACCCTTTCCCGTCCTGTTCCTCTTGCATCCACTTTTTTTTTTTTTTTTTTAATTTTAAAGAGTAAAAGAAAGACAACATAAATAGGGGGATTCACTGAATTACAGACAGAGTGGTAGGACATTATCAATGGTTGTTATTTTACTTATTGGTATCTTCAAGATAGTTTCTCAGGAAAGCAAATAGACAAATAATAGTGAGTTACAGACAAAAATGGCAGGAAATAATCAACGTTGCATCCACTTTGAAATCCCTCACAGAAACAGAAGCATGGGGTCGTAGGAGCTGGATAGATCTTCACTAGGTTAGACTTACCGCAAAGAACTCTAAAGGAATGGGCGCTGGCAGTTTATCCTTAAATCTCTCATTAAACTCTTTGCCACCCAACAGCAAACCAAAAACCATCAGCCCGACGCCTAGGGAACACACGTTGAGGTTTTTAACATTCTGCAACACAGCAACCGTACTCTGTAACACAGTGAACACTGGAGTTTACATCGGGAAACAGTCCTGCATTGCGCAACGCGACGGACACGCGGTACCGAGAACGGGCAGCTCAGGGAGACGGGGGCACGGAGGTTCGGGGTGGCCTCGTGGTGTGGAGCCTCTGTTTGCGATGAGGAGGAAGTTCTGGAAATGGCCGCTGGCCATGGCTGTCCAACCCTGTGAATACACTTATCACCGCTGAATTGTACACTTAAAAAAAAAAGTGATACATTTTGTTATACGCCTCTTACCACAATAAAAAAAAAAAATAGAGTTGAGACTTAAAATTTAACAGAGAGAGGGCCGGGCTGGAGCTCAGCGGTTCAGTGCGTGCTTACCATGTGCAAAGCCCTGGTGCTACCCCCAAATGCACAAAAAAGTGTTCTCAGGTTGAAATGTCTTTCTTTATAGTGTCCACTAGGCTTTTAAAATTATTTATTTATTTATTTATTTATTTATTTATTTGGTCTTTTTGAGACAAGGTTTCACTCTGCAGTTCAGGCTGGCCTTGAACTCACTATGTAGCCCCAGCTGGCCTCGAACTTGCAGCGATCCTCTTGCCTCAGCTTCCCGGGTGCTGGGATTACAGGCGTGTGCCACCACGCCCGGCCCACCAGGCACTTTTAACTTGTCATACAACTATACAGCAGCAATTCTTACTCACCCATCTCAGGGTGTTTCTGGATATGCTAGTGTCGTGGTGTTGTGTTATAAAACTCAAAAAAACAGTCCTGAGGCTGATCAGTGACCATGAGGAAAAGAATTACCGATTAGTATCAGCAGAAGGCTCCAAAGGGAAACACATAGAAAAGCTCTTAGGGAGCCAAAGAGGGAGAAATTATCATCAGCGGATGAAGGAAAAGTTGGGCAGGTGAGGGGCTTTGAAGGCGAGGGGATAAGTTTGGAAAGGAGCCAAAGTGATGAGTGTGTGTGTGAGTGTATGAATATGTGTGTGTGTGTGTGAGTATGTATGTGTATGTGTGAAGTCACTTGGTTGTATCCTAGGGTGACAGTCCTCATCTGCCACCCAAGGAAGCCCACAGCCTCTGCACCGGGCTATGCACCCTTTCCTGTCGACGCCCCTAGATTATGTTCAGCGGGACTTGTATGTTGTGTTTTCATTACGACAAGGCGTTCTGAGGAGGCTCAGTGTCAGAGGTCCGTCAGCAACAATAACAGGGAACTAATAATGTAGTTATTTAGGGAACAGTCTCAGGCCTTGATTCCATTCTAATCAGTCAAGGACTCAAATGTACGTGTGTCTTCTAGGAGTGACTTTCCTAGGCTTCCCCTCCCCCGCGAGCAGCCTGTGCCTTCTCTTCATAGCGCTTAATGTAATTTACAATTAATCACATACTTGTGCAACTGATGACTTTATTAATCACCCTCCGACTGAGAGCTGGAGCGGGCAGGACGGCATCTGCTCGGCTCGTTGCTGCCCCCTAGTGCCCGGCACAGTGCTGGGCGCAGAGCACTGCAAAGGCTGCGGCTCCCAGGTCTCAATCCTGGAACTTCACTGTCAGGGGTCCTGAGTATTTCATAACTTCCGCTTCATCTCTGGGTCACTTAGGAATGTGTCTTCTACCTTCAGAACGTACGGGGTTTTGAAACTATATTCAGTCATGGGTTTCCACTTATACCCTGTGTGAAAAATACTGCTTGTTTAGAATTTGTGCTCGTTTGCACACTAGCTGCAGCACGATCCGTTATTACCCTTGCTCCCTATGCGCTTGCAAAGAAATTTTCTCTGAATTGTATACAGAGTCTATGCATAGTTTATTGCATTAGCCTGTGTTAGCTGTGTTAGTTTAATCTGTTATAGGCTCACTCTTTTGGGGGGTAGGGTGCAGTATGGGGAACGGAACCCAGGGCCCATGAACTGAATTACTTCCCCAGCCATTCTAAACAATTTTATTTTATCTTATTTTATATTTTATTTTTTCTTTTTGAGACAGGATCTCACTATGTAGCTCAGGCTGGCCCTAGCTCACTTTGTAGCCCAGGCTGGTCTCGAACTTGTAACGATCTTCCTGCCTCAGCCTCCTGAGTGCTGAGATTACGAGTGTGTGCCACCACCCTCGGCTTTAAACAATTTTAATTTTGAGATAGGGTCTCACTACACTGCTGAGTTGCCTAGGCTGGGCTTGAAGTGGCAGCCCTCCTGTTTCAGCCTCCCAGAGTGCTGGGATTATAGGCAGGTACTACCATGCCTGGCTGCATTACTTAGCTTTTTCTTAAAAAAGGAATTATGGGATTTTGGGAGGGGGGCGTTGTTTGTTTGTTTTGGATGCTAACAAGTAATTTAAAGACACAGTGGGAGAACATATCTCTCTCAAAAACTTCTAATTTAGGCAGGCAAAACAGAAGTAAGGCACCTCATTAGGGTGATGATGGTATCACCAATAAAGACCTCACAAAAAGTCCTCGGTGAAGTAAGCAGAATCATATACCAATAAAATGGGATTTTTAGGCTTCCTTGTGGGTCTCTTCTCAGAAAGCCTGAGAGCAACTAAGTCTTTTTTTCCTTTCACAGAGTTTCTTGGAAAAACAGAAAAATGGGACTCAGATAAGAGCAGAGAAAGAAGCCGGAAGCACAGCCGGGGGGTCGGGAGTCGCCTACTTACATACACCACGGAGAAGATCCCGCTGTAGCGCTTGGTCTTGACCCCGAAGAGGTACTTGAGCATGGAGGTGAAGACGTGCACGGCGGCCGCGGTGGTGAAGCCGCGCACCAGGGGTTCGGTGAGGTAGATGGCCACGAAGCCAAACCTGCACACACCTAGGCAAAACTGTCGTTTCAATGGCAAAGAAACAAACAAATCACATGAGAGGTTAGGAAGTCATAACCAGCGGAAAACACATCAGAGGTCTTTCCGGGCCCCTTCTAACACTAGCGACCTGGATCTGTCGCTAAGAAATCAGTCCCCGGCTATGGAGAAAACAGTGCCAGTCAGGCGGTGCCACAGAGCAGGGGCCATGCCTGCACCTTGTGTCCCCGAGCCAGAGGCACGCGCAGGCCTGCATACAGGGTGCCTGACCACTGGCTGCTCCGGCCAAGCAGATAAAGGATGTCCTTCTCCAGTGCTACCCAGTCTGACTGTTTCAGACTGGGCTCGCTTTGGGGACCTCAAAGTGCCCAACCAAAGCTTGTGAGTCTCTCCTGGTAAATAAGGCCTGGAGTCGGACTGCTGTGCCCGACCCCATCTCTGGAGATTTTTCTTTTTGAGACAGGGTCTTGCTGTGTAGTCCATACTGGCCTTGCACTCCCAGTGATCCTCCTGGCTCAGCCTCCCCAGTGCAGGGATTATAGGTGTGCGCCACCATGCCCAGCTCAGCTCTGGAGTTTGGCTGGCTGGCTGCCCACCATGGGGCAAAAGCAGCCCGGAGTGCTCGGTAGATGTTTCAGAGAACACACCAGCCCCATCTCCCCACCTGAGTCTCACCTGAATGATTCCTGAAAGCAAGGTCACAGACATGGCGACTTTCACCCGCAGGGCGTCCCTGGCTTCCGTACCGTTGGTTGTGTTTACTCCTCCTGGAATGACTATATCATCCGGTACTAGCCGAACAGCCACGCCACCAATCATCAAGCTAATCACGGCAAAAGGACCTGAAACGGTGAAGCAGGAATTATCTTATTTGGGGCTCATGGAAACTGCCCGGTGTAGCTGACGAGATGGGCACAACGGACCCTCACCGAGGGATTCCAGTGTGTCTGGTGGGGGCTTTGCCAGTGTGCCAGAGACACACGTGAGGGGCACAGGCCACCCCTGCAAGGCGACTGCTCAGTGTCCTGCAAATGTGACCGCAGCAGCACCTCCACCCCCACACCTGGCCAGGGCCTGGATGTTTCCTCATGGAGAGGGGCATCCAGTGCCTCTCTCTTTAATCTGGGTGGTCTCACAACATGCTAGTCATCAAAAGGACACAGCAGCAGTGACACGGTGTGACTTCTGAGGGGAGGTGGTAAAAGGTGATGTGGTGTCTACACAAGAACTGTAAACCTTCCGCTGGAGCCTGAGCCATCGTGTTTGCTAAAGCTCCAATGGGGCTGTGGGGAGAATTCCTGGGACTACGTGGAAAGAGAGAGGGAAAGGGATGACAGAGAGGAAGAAGGGAGACAGCAGAAATTGCCCAGGTCAGCCCTTCCCAAATCCTGACCCACAGGAGTAGAGAGATAATAAAAGAATTATTTGTCATATTTTTAATTAAAAAATTAACTGATCTATAATATAAGCTGCCAAACTGAGGGCCGTTTGTTACCCAGCAATAGCTAGCTGAAACATTATGTTTGTAGGGAGTAGCTTTATGAAATACTATTATGAAATTTATATACATCTGAACTGAAATAGCTAAAGAGAAAATATGTACAATTCAGAGACTAAAATATGAAAATTATATACATGCATAGTAATGGGAGAGCAAAGAAAGAAAGTCAGACAAGAGTAATTTTATTAGGAAATGAATTCATTTCACAGATTTTAAAAGTTGCTATTTTATATAAGAAAATTGTCCTTTTTCATTACCTCAAGGCTACAAGAAAGGTATTCACTCTAGAAGCCTTGGGAGCAGTGTATTGCTTAAAGACTTTTTTTTTTTTTTAAGAATGGACTCTTTCTATGCAGACCAGGCAGGCTTCAAACTAGTGATGATCTTCCTGCCTCAGCCTCCCGAGTGCTAGGATTATAGGTGTGCGCCACCATATTTAGCTAAGGAATTTATTGTGTGTAACAAAAGTTATTAAGCAGATGTTCTAGTAACAACCACACTATTTCTTTGGCACGTGGTGAAGCTTGGGACTCCAACGGGAAAGGGACTGGAATATCAAGTTCAAGAATAAGCTTTTACCGATGGATATGTGCCTGGAAGTCCCAAGGAAACAGTACATGATCACAGGGTAGAACGAGGAGTACAGGCCGAACACCGGAGGCACCGCTGCCAGCGTTGCGAAGGCCAAGCCTGTGGGGTTAAAAGCCGAGAGGAGCGTTAGGAGCGGGGCGGGCGTTCGTCCCTGGTGCTTCCGCTCCGACGCACGAGCGAAGCCCTCCTGCCTCGGGTACCTGATGTGTCTGCTCTGCCCACCCTCCCGCAGTCCCGCACGGAGCCTTGTGCCTGCAGAGCCCAGGCTGGCGTGGTCTTCCTTGTTCAGTGCCCTTCTGCCCGTGCATGGGCTTTTTCCTCCTTTAGTTTTAAAAAATTAGACAAGGGCGGCGAAGCAGTCTCCCTCGGTAGGCGCAGTTGTAGTCTGGGGTTGATACACAGACGCTCTTGCTCTAATGCTGTGTTCTGTGGGTTCCGGGGGACCCCTTTGCTGTGAGGAGCGCCTCTTGTCCACCCTGGTCCACGTGACGCCTGCGCCTGGCCCTGGCCCCTGCCTCTGGCCCCGTGTCAGAAGGTGTGGTCTCTTTCCCGCGCAGGCTCCTCCCAAAGGCGTCTTCTCGGGCAAGCGCCTTTCACACGAGCCACGCCGGGTACCTTCCAGGGCGCCCAGTTTTCCAAATGGAAATCTTGGCATTTTGCTAAAAAACTTGAGAAGTTCAGGTCACACCCAGACTCTCGGTTCTGCCGTCCCCACCAGCTCACACCATCCTTTACCTGTGCGCTCTCAGCAGACTTTATATTTTAGAGAAATTTGAGGCTCACAGCACCTTGGGTGCAAGGTACGGGGGTTTCCTTTATCCACACCTGCCAGGCTGGTACCTTTGGTACAATGATGAACCTACACCCACAGTTCACATCAGAGCTTACTCTTTGTGATAAAAGTTCTCTACAAATCCGCAACGACCTGTATCTGCCCTGACAGTAGGACGCAGAATCAGTCCATGGCCTAAAAGATCTTGTTCTCCACCGACTCCCTCTTCCCCCCTCTTAAATCCCTAGCAACCACTCACCCTTTCTCTCCTTCCGGTGTGGGCTTTCCCAGAATGTCAGGCGGTACGCAGCTATTTCAAGTGGGCTTCTTTTGCTCAGAAATATGCACTTAAGTTTCCTCCACATCTTTCCACAGCATGAAGGCACATTTCCTTCCAGTGGTGAATCATATTCCACCATGTGGATGTACCATAGTTAACTTAATAACTGTGACTAAAGCGGCTAGAAATGGCCATGTGCAGATTTAATGCAGGGTTTTAAAAAAGAGATGGTTTTTTTTGAGCAGTGTGAGACTTTTTTTGTTCTTGCAAGAATTAGGCGCAAACTCCAGGGGACCCCGCAAGTGCTCTGGGGGGCTCATTGCAAAGGTGTGTGTGGAGAGAGAGCAGAAGCTGGCACCCCAGGCTCCGCTCTGGACACGCCAGCCTTCTGCTGTCTCTCTCCTGTCCCTCCACGTCCCACCCTGACCAGCTGACCAGCACCCCCTCCAACTCCGGAACCAGTTCTGCTGTTCACCTCTGCTTTTAAAATTCAGCACCTTTAACAGAGCAGTTATACACCTCTCCCCCATACAGGGAAAACTCTTTTACAATGGACATGCTCCTGCTATTGAGAGGTCAGGGCCATGACACCGCTGAATATCGTATAATACACAGCACAGACCTCACAATAAATAGTGTGCAGGGTATGGTGACAGAAATTTTGTTTTGGATGTTTCTATTGTTACATCACATAAACAGAAGCAAGGACAAAAAAAAAAAATCACAACATGACCATCTCAATAATGCAGAAAAAGCCTTTGGTAGACTCCAATATTCATTCATGATAAAAACACTGACGAAAATAGGCACAGATGGACTTTATCTCAATTGGACAAAAGCCATTTATGTCAAACCTACTGCTAACATCCTATGATGTAGGGAAAAGCTGAACACTTTTCCTCTGAAATCAGGAACATGGCAAGGATGGCCACTATCACCACTCCTGTTCAACACAGTACATGAAACAGTAGCCAGAGCTCAGGCAGGATAAGCTAATAAAAGAGACATGTATAGGAAAGGAAGAAGTCAAATTATTATTATTTGTAGATGACATGATCCTCTACATAGAAGACTCCCAAAAAATCCATCACCAGACTCCTAGAATTAATAACCAAATTCAGCATTGGGTTACAAAATCAACACACAAAAATCAGAAGTGTTCCTGTGGACTCAGTGAAAAAGAAATTAGGAAAACAATGCCATTTGCAATAACACCAAGAAAAATTAAATACTTAGAGGTTAACCTAAGCAAGGAAGTGAAAGACTTGCACAGTGAAAACTACATACAGTGCTCTGAAAAAGAAGATGGAAGAGGACATCAGAAAATGGAGAGAGAGCCATTTTTCCTGCATAGGCAGAACCAATCTTGGCAAAATGGCCACACTTCCAAAACTGATATACAGATTTAATATCATGGAATCCCAAACACAATGCCAACAGCATTCTTTGCAGAACCACAAAAAAAATCCTAAAACTCATATGGAACCAGAAGAGATTCAGAACAGCAGAAGCAATCCTGGGCAACAAAAGTAAAGCAGGAGGCATCATGCCCCATATCTGAAGTTATATTACAAAGTGACAGTGATAAAAACAGCATGGTATTGGCAAAAAAGCCTCCCAAAACTGGACATGAAGTTCACTGGAATAGAACAGAGCATGCAGAAACAACCTCAAGCGCATTCAACTATTTGATCTTTGACAAAAGGGCCTAAAAACATACACTGGAGGAAAGATAGCCTCTTTAACAAATAGTGCTGGGAAAACTAGCTATTCACATGCAGAAGAGTGAATCTAGACCCATATCTTTTGCCATGTTCTAAACTAAAATCAAGATGGATCAAAGATCTAAATGTTAGACAGAAACAAACTTGAGAAGATAAGATGGCAAAATTCTTGAAGTCCTTGCATAGGCAAGGACTTTCTCAACAGAACCCCTGGTTGCACAGGAAATAGTACCAAGAAACCACAAAGGGGGTCATATCAAATTAAAAAGCTTCTGTACAGAAAAAAAAAAAAACAACTAACAGAATGAAGAGACATGGGAAAACACTGCCAGCTATTCCTCAGAGGACTAATATCTAGAATATGAATCCAGTCCAGACATGGTGGTATATACCTGTCATCCCATCACTTGGGATTGCCTCGAGTTCAAGACCAGCCAGGGCTACACAGTGAGCTCAAAGCCAGGCTGAACTACACACAGAGAAACTGCCCCAAACAAAAAAATACTCAAAAAATTAGCTACCCCCAAATAAAAAATGGGCAAGTGAAATGAATAGACACTTATTAGAAGAAGTACTAATGGTGAATAAATACATGAAGCAGTGTTCAACCTTGCTGGCCACTAGAGAAATGTAAATTAAAACACTGAGATTCCATTTAATCCCAAAAAGAATTGGTATCATCAAGAAATCAAATAATAAGAAATGCTGAGAAGGCTGTGGGGGAGAAAGGGCAGAGTTTTATTTAATCCTCCTGACATCGCTCCAGTCCTGTCTCCACACTGTCATCCCCAGCACGGTACAGGGCAAGGCACCTGCGTGTCCATGTGACATTTTGTCATAGAGAGACATTCAGCCACGTCACTCTCTCACAGCCCTCCCTGGCTCCCAGATTTGACAGCATTTGGAGCCTGCGAGCCCCCAGGGTGCTGTAAAGCAGATCCCTAAATTTCAGCTTCCTCCACTGGGAGGGAGGCTGCTTGCCCAAGCTTGGTCTCCATGGCATCTCTTCTAGCATCCTCCTTGTCCTTATTAGTTGAGAGACTTAAAATTGAACAGAGATAAAACCCTGTATCCACTCTGCCATTCTTAATGAGGAAAATCCTTTCAAAAATTTAAATTATTCATCAATCACAATGAATTTATTTTCGTTGCCTTTGCTATATATTTTCATATTTATCTGTCTTCATTCATTAAAGATGGGCAGAATAATAGCTTTTTGATACAAATTTGTGGGATGATCTATGCATCTTAGCAGTATCTGACCTACTGGATTACTCTGTGCTATTTTCTTCCTTTCTGCAATACCGACTCCCCTGGTTTTCCTGCCCCTCCCCAGATGCTTTTTTTTTTTTCATGGTACCAGGGATTGAACTCAGGACCTTGCGCTTGCCGGGCAGGCACTTATGCCACTGAGCTATATCCCCAGCCCCTCTAGATGTTTCTTATTGGTCTCTTCTGCTGGTTCTGCCTTCTCTATTTAGATCTTTCTTTTTCTTTCTTTCTTTCTTTCTTTCTTTCTTTCTTTCTTTCTTTCTTTCTTTCTTTCTTTCTTTCTTTCTGTCTTCTTTCTTTCTTTCTTTCTCTCAAGGCAGGGTCTCTTTATGTATCCCAGACTGGCCTTGAGCTCACTATGATCCTCCTGCCTCAGCCTCCCAGGAGCTTGGATTACAGATGTGTGCCACCACACCTGGCTCTATTTGGTTTTTAATGTTGCACAGAGCTTGATATTGGCTCCTTTCTCTTGACAGTCTCGTCCCAGCTGTCCTTAGCTACTGTCATGTTTAAATGCAACCAATGTGTCAACGATTCCCAAGTTGATATCTCTAGGCCACACCTGTCTTTGGGTCCACTATATATGTATCAAATATAAAATGAAAGACCTAATTGTTTACATTAAATTGCCCCCCCAAAAAAGACCTAATTGTCTATATCTCACAGGCATCTAAAATTTAACATGTTTAAATTTACTCTTCCTTTCCTGCCTGCTTTATTTGGCGGGCAGCTGGCACCTCTATCCCTCGGTGATACCCGCGGGTCATTCTGGACCCTTCCTCTTCCACACCTGCAGGCATCCAGCTGGACAGCCCGGTCAGCTGGTTCCCTTTCCTTCATCCTGCCCATGTTAACTCAACGACTGTTCTCTTGTCTTACCTACAAGCTAGATGACGTATCTTTCCAGTTTCATAGACACCACCCTCGTTAGGATGAGAGAAAGTCCGCGGGTGAGAAGTAAGTTCAGGTGACTGTGAATCAGAGGCAGAATCTGAGACTTCCTCGAATGGAAGTTCTCGTGGCTCCCTGCAGCGCTGGGTCCCACTGGACTGCTGGCCAGTTCAGCTTCTGTTTCACTGCAGACGTGATCCCTTATCTGCTCCTCACGCTGTCCTCGCCTCTGCCCCTTCTTGTTTGATTATTTTTGGGGTGATGGTGGCAAAACAGTTGCAGAAAGCTATCCTAAACCTGGTTTAAGATCCTGTTTAATGGATTTGCTAGACTTGGCTAGTCTGTCACTTGGCAAGTTAAACACTCAGCTAATTGGTCACTGGGGGAGCTCTTTTTCTTACATATTAAATTTTGGGAAACTGGCTAGAAGGAAATAGAGTTCTGGCCAACTGACCTAGAGCTGCTCAAGGCATTATCAGCTTTGCCTAACCTGAGCCCCTGGCAGACCAGACCAACTGGTCTCCCACATCCAGTCTGGTCCCCCTTCCAACAGCCAAGTCTATTCCTCACTCAGTGACCCCCTACCAGGAAAACCCTCACGAAAACACCTCAACAGCTTTCACTGCACTCTAAGTGAAATCCGGAAGTGGCCTGAGAAGGCTCTAAAGACCTCCCATCCACTGCCCAGCTCTCTCCCCTCCTTTCTGCCAGCTCTCTCTCTCTTTCTCTCACTCTTTTTTTTTTTTTTTGGTCTTTTTGAGACAGGGTCTCGCTATGCAGTTCAGGCTGGCCTCGAGCTCACTTTGGAGCCCAGGCTGGTCTCGAACTCACAACGATCCTCCTGCCTCAGCCTCCTGAGTGCTGGGATTACAGGCGTGCACCACCACACCTATTCTCTGCCAACTCTTCAACCACACTCAACCCTCCTACCCAGTGCCTTGCTACATGCTGTGCCTTCTGCCTGTGATGTAGTTCAAGTTTCACTTCTTCAAGGGACTTTTGTGGGTTCTCTACCCACATTAGGCCCCCAATTATTATTTCACAGTGTCTTATCTTTTCCTTCAAGCAAATATAAATGCCTTTAGTTGCTTCATATACTCCCTGGTTGGGAGGTTAGTTCCTGTGTACACAAAGGGCTGTTTAACATACACACATTGTTCAGAAGAACAAATGAATATTTTCTTAAGTTTATAACATATGTAAAATCACAGAGCTGCAAAGGAATTTAGTACTCTATGGTCATTTGTAATTAGAACTTGCACTTAGAAACCAAGAACTTTAATGAAAACCGTATCAAAATGTTGGTCTGGTGACTGACTTAGCAAGAGGTAAGACACTGTAATGCCAAAGCAGTGTGCTCATCTGTAGAACCACACCACTGTTTTCTATTGTTAATATCCCTGCAGAACTTTAGGGGTGAGGTTTCTGGATTCCTTTAGAAAGGCAAAAGTTACTACATGGATATGATAAAAACTCTTAATTTGCAGTCATGATAAAAAGGCCAAGCAAATATCTGAGAAGAGGTCAGTAAACAAAAGAAAGAAAGGAAGGGAAGGAAGGAAGGAAAGAAAAGAAGGAAGGAAGAAAAGAAAAAAAGGAAGCCAGCCAGCCAGCCAGCTGTATTCTTACTAACCTTGCGGAAGCTGAAGCACTCCAGTGCTTATGCCTGAAACCAAGTCACCCAGCACATATTCCTTGAATTTATACGCTGGCAACCACTTTGTTATGGGCAGGAACATATAAATAATATTTCTTATTTTTTTAGGAGTACACCTGGCAAGACACAGAGAGACGGAGTTATAAATGAGGAACATCTCTGTAGAATTCACAAAGCATCCTCTGTTCCCCACATCCACAAGCGAGGAGGAAAACTTTGCACTGGTGACCCAAGAAGTTGCCAGATGCGGTAGGAGGCAGAGATGGGCAGAGAGAGTGGCTGGAACATTCTTGGGAGCCAGAGGGAAGAAGTGGATGCTTCAGAGGTAGGTGCAGAATTAGACAGTGGTTTACATCAGGCATAGTAGGAATTCAGTAAACACAGTGAACTAGGTGAAGAAGCTGCATCCAATCGAATGACTGACACTGAATTAATTGCTGTGGGCAGCTCTGCGAACCAAGAGCATCGCCATGTATCTTTCTGCCACTCCACCCCACAGGCTTTCTTTACACATTTGACCTTGCTTCCCTCATACCCGAATGACACAATAAAGGAAAAAGCTCAGAACGCAGCATACATGAATGCCTGTTTCAGCTTATCCCCGATGGAATCTGAAACTTTGTCCTTCTCGTGGAGTCTCTCCTGCAGGACAGGATGGCTGAAAATCGGCCTTTCCACGTAGTACCTCTGAGTTGTTGCAAGGATTTCATTTTCTTCAGCATGATCCATAGTACTCCAGAATTATTCTTCAGCAGCAGGAGACAAACATTTCCTGAGTGTCACTAAGGGAGAAAATCAAAAGTCCGTCTTAGATGCCCAAATCCAACTGCAACTCTTCCTAAGCCTTCCTTCCTCGTGGTACTCTAAGTTTCACAGGCTCCTTGGACACCTCAGAGCAGCTGTCATTGTTCTTCCCGTAGTAGGCACTAACAAATAGGACAAAATCAAGATTAATAAAAAACATACTGTGATTTATTCCCTCCCAGAGCAGTGAGTGGATAACGTGCATACTTTTAACAAGAGCTCATATTAAGCCCAGTGGCTAAATAATGCGGTCAGATAGCTTCAGGTTTATGTAAGCGTAACCGTAAACCAGGCCAGGTCTGAGCAGCTGTATGTCAGGAAAACAGAGAGAGGATAAAGTCGGTCCTTAAACTGACCCCAAGTTCCTGGAAGGTATATTAACCTCCTTCCCAATTCCATCTAGGTTTGATTACTTCCTTACATTATCCTGTGGTCCACAACTGGGACTCATGTCTCCATGATGGAAGTCCCCGGTGACTTGCAAAAGGTCACAAATTCAAAACATCTGTGCAACACTATAATATTGTTTTAAAGTTGATTATGTTCTCAAGTGTTAGACTATTAGCATGATTATATTTTCTCCCCTCCTTGCTAGTGAATACCAGTTATATGAAAAGAAATAACTAAGGAATAAGACTTCATCATATTTGTGGATGAGGAGATGTGTAGAAGAATATTCACAGTAGATTTACGATAGTAAGCAATTTGAAAAAACCCAAATGTCTACCTCTCCACAATAAAAACTATATTTTGGTGCACTCACAAATTGAATATTAAGCAGTAGTTAGAAGAAACAGATCTAAATGTACCATCAATAAATTTCCAAAACTTAATTTTCAATAAAAATGTAAAGCACAGGCTGGGCATGGTGGTGTACTCAGGAGGCTGAGGCAGGAGGACTGCTGTGAGTGTGAGTGCAAGGCCAGCCTCAACTGCATATTGAAACCCTGTCTCAAAAAGACCAAAAAAAAAAAAAAAAAAAAAATAAGTAAGATGTAGATGGATACAAAGGATATAATTTTTAAACAAAGTCAAAAACTTGTAAGGTAATAGAGCCTATGTTATTATAGATGCATAGATACGTAGTAAAGCACAAAATCATTTGTGCCAGGGACAAACACTGGGGTCAGATTGTGGAGACCTCTGGAGAAAAGAGGAATGACTGGGAGATGATAGAGAGCCAGAACTAACTATACCTGCTGTGTTTTGATGGCAAAAAAGAACAGGCACAAGTACTGTGAAGCAGTAAGATGGTCAGGCTGTGTGGTAAGAAAACCAGTGTTTATTACGTGATTCTGTGTACTTGTCTTTATGTCTGAACTATGCACCTCACAAGAAGAAGGTGAGCACACAACTAAACCCAGTGTTCCCACCGAAGCGAGGTAACCCAGAGGAGTCGGGTCCAACGTGAACCCGTAGTGAAGTGTTTGATGGTGGCTACAGGGTTGTGGGTTACAGTGTTGGTCAACTCGCCGCTGTCATGGTGAAAAGTCGGGTTTTCACCAAGCTGACGTCACAGTTCAGTGAACTCAGTGTTTGTGTGACCGACCACAAAACGTCATGCAAGGTAAATACCTGCATCCAAGGAGGGTGAAATTCAAGAGCCCAGGGGTAAGTGAAACGCTAGCAGCCACAGGGCGGAGTACCAACAAGAATGGTGTGAGGATCAACGGCTTCAGCGTTATCACCTCTAGTTCCTATTCCTGCCTGTGTGACAGTATGGAGATACGCCACCTAAGGCTGATCGGAGCCTAAGGACTCTGCCCTCGTAAGTGGGGTTAGGTGTCCCTCTTGATGGCCCTTTCTGTCCTTTGTTCCCTCTGCTGGGTGAGGACACACGGCGTCCATCTTGGAGGTGGAGACTGGACCCTCATTTGCTGTCACCTTGACCTTGAGCTCCCTTCCTCAGCACCGTGAGAAATGAATTTCTACTGTTCATACCTGGGCCAGGTGGCGGTGTTTCGTTACAGCACACGGATGCACCGAGCCAGGTTTGCTAAGTGTGGGCAAGTGCGGTTTTGCAGCAGGATCTAACAAAGACTGTGCGTCTTTGCTTTAGATGAGCAAGGTTGGTTGACCACCTCTCCTGTGGCTTTTTATGGCCTTTCTAGGAGCCATCAGCAGCACTGAAATGTAGCAGAGAAAGCAGCTTAAATCATCAGGCATCCTTATCTCAGTGCTAGCCGTCCTCGGCTGTCAGGATTTACCCACTGACACCCATGAATCTGAAGGCCGCTTCACACCTTCTCTCCACTCTGGCGTCTCCAAATTCCTTTCATTTTGTTCACCAGAGCAATTATCTGTGTGTGTTAAAAGTTCCCTGGGATATTAAGATGACTAGGTATTTAAAATACTGGTTTTCAACTCTGGCTAGACCTAGAATCATGTCAGGTCCTTTTGAAAAAACATGAAATTCTGTTTTTTTTTTTTTTTTTTCTGGTACTGGGAATCGAACTCATGACCTCGCGCTTGCCAGGCAGGCGCTGTGCCGCTGAGCTAAATCCCCAGCCCCAAACATGAAATTCTGGGCCCACCCCGCAGCAGCAGAGCACAGCATGCAGGGGTAGGGCCCGGGCGCTGCCTTCTAAGGCATCCTCACAGGTGTCTAAGAGCAGCTCAGTGGGGACCTTGCCTATAACCTGGGACGGAGAAGCAGACATGGAGAAAAACGAGAAAATCATAAAGAAACCTTTTTTTCATTTTTAGTAGTCTAACTTTAATATTGTGGAATATTTCATATGTGATATAAAAGTCATATGTGTATATACAATAGAATATATATACAGCACACAAAATAGTAATAATAATAATAATAATAATAATAACACCACCCGTGTAATCAACATTCGCCCATGTACAGAGCCTGGGAAGTTTGCCTTTGTCTCCCCGCCTTTGTTCCACCCCCTTTTGAAGTGACCCCCTATTCTGAATTGATTGTTTATCATTATCTTAATTTTACTCATATATTTACAACTTATGCACGGTCTTATATACAAAATTATATTCCTGTGTGTGGTGGCCCACACCTGTAATCCCAGCATTCAGGAGGAGGCTGAGGCAGGAGGATCGCCATGAATTTAAGCCCAGCCTGAACGACATAGCAAGACCCTATCTCAAACAAACAAACAAAAACCCAAAACAAAAACAACCCCCGCCAAAGAAAAAACTATATATAGCAACGGAGTTTCTGTTGCTTCCCATGTGCTGGACTTTGCAGTTTTTCCATCTGGAGAGTGAAAATCAGCATTTGTTGTAACTTTAATTTGTATTGCAGTACACATTTTTCTTTTTACTATTCATGTTCACAATTGCAACTGAGTCTAAGCATGTCATCATTTGGGTTTTGTTTTTAAGGAAAAAAAATTAGTCCCTGTCTTTATCCATTTTGCCATAGAGTTGTTTTTTCTTGATTTGTAACAATTATTCATGTATTACAAAGAAACATTTAAAAATAAAGCAAATTCTAGGCTTCTAGGTAATGAATACTGAATCAGTGACTTATCTAAAGGCGAGGAGGTTATTTTTAAGGTAAACTTCACATATAACAACCACTGTTGAATTCCTATCATCTTGTCTAGTGAAACTGTATCGTTTATAATTTTTTTGTTTTTATTTTTTATTCTCTTTAATGGTTTGATCAATTTTGAATTCTTACATCCGGTAATCTGACCAACTTCGATGAAGATAAAAATATATGATGTAACAACCACTGTTAATAGCTATCTTTTTGTTCTGAAACCCTGTATCATTCTTATTGGTTTTGCTTTGTTTTGTTTTTGTCTGTGTTATTGGCAGTTTGCTATTGTTGTTTTTAAAAAAAAATCCTCTTTAAAATAAAATAAAAAAATAGAGTAAACTTCACAGTTGATGGTACACTATAACAAAACAACACAGCATAGTAAATATAATGCATCTACAACAACATGGTCGGGGAAGGTACGTGGCAAGCATCAGTTTGGAGAGGGATGTTGAGGTCAGGACCCGCGTTAGTGCGAAGATGGCTTCTCTGAGTTTGTAGTCTTCATGTGGGACGTCTGTTCTCAGCCTGGCTGCATCCTGGCGCTGCCTGGCCAGGTCTGAACACCGCTGATGTCTGACTCTCCTGCCAGGGATCCTGATTTAATTGGTCTGGGAAGCAGGAAGGGACTGAGAGTTCAAAAGCTCTCAGGTGATTCCACAGTGCAGCCAAGGTTCAAAGCACTGCCTTAGCAGAAGGCAAAACAAACAAATACCCACAGCTCTGCACTTCCTCTGCCAAGCCAGCCGAGCAAGGAGGAAAAACCCGAGCGCGGGTAAGTACTTGTGTGCCATTTGCTGTGTTGCTATCTTTACTTATGTGTGCCTTTGAAATGTTGAACCACAAACTACAAAAAATAAATATTTAGCCTGGGTTTCTCAAGCAAACCCAGCTTAACTGTCCCAGCTATTTCTCCGAGAGTCTAAGTGAAGAACAAATCTCCAAGAAATTGAGCTCTCAAGCACTAGATGGACTTAGGGAAGCGCGAGGTTAGAGATTCTCTGTAGGGTTCTCAGGGAAAATACACAGGCTCAGTTAAATGTGCACAGCGGATAGTCAAACACATTTCAAAAAGCATACATTGCACCCGTATTAAATTTTTTTCTTTGCCTCAACTCTAACTGGAGAGTTTGTATTTTTCTATGAGAACTCCGGCCACCATAGCACTTTGTGTTTGAGGTTCCAGGGCCCTGTGCGTAATCTCTGTCCTCCTTGACAGATCTGTTTGGTAGCTTGCGAACGCACGTCCTGACTAGAAAAGGAGGAGAAGAGGATGCTATAAGGAAATACCTACCCTGGTTTCACAGAATGAGATGTCCTTCGAGAGGACTCATTATTCTCGACAACAGTGATTAAAAAATTAAATCCTCGAAGGGTGTCAATAACCACCGTACCAGAAACGGAGGCAAAGAAGGCAAGGACCAACGTTAGGAGCTCAAATGACCAAATTCACATGGCCAG